TAATATGTGTATTATAACAGTAATATTTTTTGTCTCGGTGTTGAAAACAGGATTGAAAGTATTCAAAATGAATTTTAAATAATTTCTATAAAATATTCCAAAATATATAAGCATAATTCAATGGAAAGTAATTCAAACCAATTACTATAGATTGAAATTTTGAATGGTTTTTTACAATTCGAATATTAACGTTAATCAATCTTCTTATATAAATAACTTATCCAATATTCATTTTGCTGAATTAGCTTATTATTTTCTCAAAATTATTTTTGATTAGAATTCTGTTTCATTGAATTTTGACATGTTAGATTTATTCTTTTTGCAATTTAACTTTTAAAATATGTTTTATGATTGAATTTAATACATGATATAACATCAAATTGTAAATAATGGATTATTGAAGAAATTCAAATCAATCGTTAGTTAGTAAAATAGCAATATTTGTATGTTATTTCATATGAAAATGCCTATCCTGAAAATTTTTATAAAATCTGATTTTAATACAATTAGCATGGGCCCTATGGTTCTTATTTAAAAGTAATTTATTCAAAATTAATGATCAATTTTCGTTAGTCAATCTTGTTCGATTCTTTATGTCTTAATCTAAAGTTCTTGATCTGCAAATGGTGATAATCATCAACAAAAATATTGAAAACCTTTGAAATTACTCTGTAACTCTATGCTTTTCATTGAATATGTCGAAATCTCTTTATTATATTGGTTGATATTAGTCTTTATATTGAAATTCAGGAGAGGTTATCGATTTTGTAATTTAATCGTCGTCGTTATCGATTTTGTAATTTAATCGTTATCGTCTTTTTCTAAACGTGCATTTTTACATTAAAAGCAATGCAACTCCAAAATTAATTGGTATTTAGACTTTAATTAGGTGCAGACAAACGAAATGCAGTCCAAATATTTTGGTGATATATGAATTACATAAATTTAGGGAAATTGAAATTATATCTTTTTAAATTTTTAGGAAAACAGATTTATAGAATTGTTTAAGTCATCAAAATAATGCAGACTTAGGTCAAATTTTCCAAATTTAATCATTTGCAAGACTTTCAAGCGACTTCAAAATGTCGAAATATAAGTCCAAAAATAAAATTACGATTACAGTCTATCCTCAATTATTATCACGCTAATTATTGAGTGACCCATGCGTTCGTATGTATGTAATACCTTTTAAAAAGGAGATGAGAGAGATAAACTACATTTACAATTTAAATCTGATGTATTTACTTGTTACATTTACAAATGTAAATGTTTCTCGTAATGTTTACATTTTGTAAGTATAACGAATAAAAATGACGCACTTTTTTTACAAAGTCAAATTATGCGATACAACTTTACTTGTTACATTTACAAATGTAAATGTTTCTCGTAATGTTTACATTTTGTAAGTATAACGAATAAAAATGACGCACTTTTTTTACAAAGTCAAATTATTGTTCGATTTTTGCAGCTTGTAAACGATTAATTGTATAAAGCAATTGATATTAGCACGACATAACTGAATAATTCTAATATTGAAATCAAAAGCCCTTAAAATATCATGATATTTTAATTTCATAACAAATCTAGGAGACTATTTGATGAAAACATATCCGATGTGGGTTTTGTTGTATTATATAACTTGTTATTGACTTCTTAGCTTTCCAAATTTTTTTCGATAATGAGAAAACGAATGAAAAATCAACATTTGGTCCATTTAAAATTTGATTTGTTTACATTTTTTTTACTTTTTGAATTTCAATTTATATTTTCCTCAAGAAATACTTTAGATTTTAAGAAACTAAATCATATAATCTACTAAGAAAATATATTAAATCCTATAATACTCAAAGTTTTGTGATAAATCCGATCTTTTTTATTTTACTTTTATTATGTTTTTGCAAACTTAAGGTCCTCACTAGGTAAAACATAATACTCTTTGAAGTTAAGTATTTTCACAAAGAGAGGACCAACAATATCAAAAGATTGAATAAAGATTTGTATTATTTTATTTATTTTTAAGAACATGTTTAAGAACCCTCATTATCTCCACGAATATTGCATATTTTTCTATTCTAAGACCACCAAAATTACGTTTTAATATAGAAAATAACATATTTATGTGATGCTAAAGTCGAAGTCCTTAAATATTTTTGAAATATTTACAAAATATGCTCTTTCTATCATCGATACTTTAATACAGAGCAAATTTAGTAAATGTCATCACATTATTTTTTCATAAATCGTTTTCGAACTTTTGAAATATTTATTTTAAACCAGTTTTCTACATTTAATATGTGAATTATATCAAAAGTAGATGGGCGATACTTGTAAATCTATTTAAACTATTAGTTTGCTATTATTGAAGAACTTTATAATTTTTTTTTCTTATGTATGGAATTAAAGATAATTTTGCCGATTCCAACTGGTTTTTCTATATGAGTTAAATATGCCAAGTGAAATTGGACTTGCCAATATTGTAAATTGAAGTATGGACTATATATCGATTTTCATTGATTGATGAATAACTCGGAGTAATGTAATTGTTGATAATGAAAAATAGTTTTCAATTGCTGGTAAGGGCCAATGTATGTTCAATAGCTCCGAAAGCAAAAAATGCACGTTTAGAAAAAGACGATAACGATTAAATTACAAAATCGATAACGACGACGATTAAATTACAAAATCAATAATGACCCGAAATTCAGAAAAAATTTCCTTGTCTTTGGAGTTATGATGTTTAATGAATAAGATTATTTTAACTGTGCTTATATGATAAGTTTTTATGGCAATTACCTTTAATAAAACCTGGAATTTTTTCAAAAATTATCCAATGTATATTCCTCTCTCCAAGATTTATGTAAATTAACTATCATTAAAATATCCATTATTTATTTCTAATGTTATTTTTTATAAAAATATCAAAACCGAGTCTTTTTATTGTTTTATCGGAAGTTAAATTTCCTTTCAATTTAAATTCATTCGAGTGATCGATCAAAATTAAATTTTCAAATAAATAAGATAAATAGAATTAGTATGGCCTGAGAAAGAATTTTATGAGTTAACTATTAATTCTATTAAAATTCAAAATCTTATTGAAATTATTTGTGATTTATGCTTTCACTTTGATAATTTTCATCAGATAAGCTTTACATTATGATTAATACCTCGAAAATTATTCAAATAATTTATCGTTATTGAAGTTTCCAATTTCATATCACTGGACTACCTTTTAGAAATTATTTGAAATTATGATGGCAAAGGAATATCATCAGAAACCAATACTGCTGGTTTTAATCAATTAAATGTATTAAATGTACTTTTAAATTTTCAAAAATATGAGGTGTTTGAAACAGCTCTAAGCGATTATCTATTGAAAATCTGCTTTAGATATTATCAGATAAGTATTTTAAAGATCAGAATAAATAGATGTTGTTGTTTGTTTTTCACGATTTGACGAAAAAAATATGAAGATAATTCGAAATTATTTTCAAACTCATTTTTGATAAAAGACCATTGCAATCATATAGGCATAATCAGAAAGCATATTACCAGCCAGAAAATCAGTATGTTACAATCCATTATTTCAAATCTCAAAAACTGTTAATCAAATCTCCTTGGAATACAGCACATATCATCACCACATCTATATATGCAAGCACACTAAAATATTCTAAAAATTCGTGTATAGCATTTCTCGAGAAACTGAAAGTGAATCCACAAATAAATCATTATGCTTGCTTAAAATATCCTTTGTTTTTGATTAAAAGTATTGCTCACCTATTACCTTTACGACAAGAATTTTTAATGATAATTTTTTAGATTTTAACTTATTTGAGGTATGTAATATGAAAAAAAGTTTTGTTTGGGTGTTAAATCAGCACCCATTGCATTATGTAATATAATTCGAAATGAAACTGCATTTATCAATCAGTCAATTAAAAATAAATTTATACTAATTCAATACAACCACTTTTTAAATTTCATTTAAAAAGTGTTTGTATTGAATGTATAAATTCAAATTTATTCCAATTGAGTTGCAAAAATTTTGAGAGGCTCTCAAATGACTCAATTGGAATAAATTTTTAATTTTGGATATTTCAGTGCATTCTAACTCGAAATCATGCAGGCAGTTTTTATTTTCTCTGTGTAGTATATATTATATTTGTACATTCTATCTTCCATCTTAACCACTATCATTTAATAGATTTGACATGATAGTACCTTTTTAAAGATAATGAATGGAAATATTAACCTTATACTGTAAATCGGACAAAAATGCCTTAAATATAATAATTGTCTCTTCTAAAAGATCTTGAAATGTTATTCTCGCTGAGAAATACATTGAAATACTCTCCATTTGCAAAACAAAGTATGTGATTAGAATCAAATGATTTTCACAAATAAAAAATTCGAGCAAATCTAATTAAGGCTGCACTTAAGGGTGCCCTATAGACGATAGACCACCCTCAGAAAAGCACTTTTAAGGCTATTATATTGAGAACTAGAATCTGGATAATCCATTCATTCGAGTTCTAATAAGGTTAATTTTGTGATGTTTACATTATCGTTATAGGGCACCCTTAAGCCCATCTGGCTTTAATTCAAAATTCTGGCAACTGGCGTGAAGCGTCGTTGAAAATTAACCTTAAACATCTGGATTGAAGGCCGTGTCATAGGGGCGTAAGCGTACCCTTAAAATGAGAAAAACTAGACAATAAATTTAGCAAATTACCTCAGACTATTTCAGAGAATTGAACTCAGGCTCAATTCTCTGAAATAGTCTGAGGTAATTACTAGTCTTCATCTGCTTTCAATGATTAGCTTGATTTTATGGGAACCTTTTAATCAAGCATTGAAAAGTCAGTGAAGACTTTTTTTTGTGAATAAATTTCAGAAAAAGTTATTTTAAAAAATATTATTATAAGCAATAAATAGATAATTATTTCTGTTTTCTCTCAAAAATCGGTCATTGAATTTATTAGGAAAAAGTAATAATTCTGATGGCTTTAAGACCCAAAGGCAACACTCAAAATGTTTCTGATCTCGTTAACACTTATGAGAATCGTTTCAATGCCATTAAGGATGATCTCAACAACATCTCGGATCATAGAAAAAGAAACGCTATCAAAGCCAATATGAAAAATCTTGAACAACTCTCTGCAAGAATCGCTCCTCAAATACCAAATGCAAGCCCTGAAGTCGCTGATAAATATGATCAGTTAAGCAGTGAATATGCCGACATGAAAGGAGAAATCGAGGAAAAGCTTGCCCAATCAGAATCGCAGCAACAGGGACAAAGTGAAGAACAACAAAATAATAACGTAAACGAGCAAGATGATGCTGCAAGACAAAGGCAAGAGCAAATTGATCGTGATACGGCAGAAATGGAACATTTGAACAGAGAGACTGAGCAAATTGTTGAAGACATGAAGGCACTCGATGAAGCAGCTACTATCTTAAATAATAAAATTCAAGATCAGCATGAACAAATCATCCGAATTGACGATACAATTGAAGACGCTCACGAAGAAATGGTTGAAGGTAATAAGGACCTTGAGAAAGCTGAAGAACACCAGAAGGCTTCTCAAAAATGCCTTATTTATATACTTATTGGTGTCATTGCATTTATTGTTGTAATTGCAATCATTGTTGGTCTTGCTGTTGGTCTTAAGAAGAAGAAATAATCATAGAAACTATTTGATTGTACAATTGTAAAAAATAGCATTATTTCATTTCGTTTTAAAACTCGTTTTAATTTACTTTGTTGAGAACTATGTCTTTTTTTTACTGAGTCAGATTCTAGAACGAAATACAAAATAACCCTCAAATTAATTCCAAGTTTCCAGACCAATATTAAGGAATTATTAGTTTTCATGATTTTCATAATAAGAATTTAAGCATTACATTGATATATATATGAACTCTAAAAACATAAAAAAATAAATGTTGTGTTCTTTGTTTGCAACTCGCATTAAAATTCCATATGGAGGAAATGCGCATATGAAAACACTACAAAACAAGCAAAATATTCAGTCTTTTTTCAAGAAGCATAACCATTCCGTAATTATTTTTGGAGATTATCAGTACATCTTAGACTTTATGGATTATGGCATTTCCAAATATAAAGATCGCATTGGTTTTGCAACAGCTCCATATAAATTATCTAGTTCTTACTATTGTACAACACAGCCATGTTTTCAAGCATTTCATGGCGAAACACCACTCAAAATTAAAAACCCACCACCCGTTGTCGGAGAGTTCGCCTTGTATTTAGCCAGAATTCTTCAATCTGATTACACACTTTTCCATTGTGTTGAAGAAGTTCGAAGATTATTCTTCGATAGATCACCTTCTTTCGTTGCAGTTGACTATGAGGAGAGACCTCCTGAATCTCCTGAAGGAGTACATGCAAATCTTATTCCATCTCACCTACTTCGTGAATTCGGATTAGAAATTCCAAAAGGCTTGTATGTTTACAATCCAACTGACAAGCAATTACTTCCTATGACAAAGCCATATGAAGAAATGATTGTTCCAAAGCTTATTGATCCAATTCCAGAACAGATTTCTTCTAAGCCATATCTTATCGCTTTCAACGTAAACGAAAACGGCGAAACTGCTGATTCAGAAGGTAACGATGCATATTATACACTCTCCAACCTTTATTCCAAGTACAACAAGTCAGCCAATTTCGCCTTCCTCAATGGCCAATATTCACACTTTTACGAAGTCAATTCAAGACTCAATCCAGCCAAGAAACCATACTTTGTCATCTTTAACTCAACAAATATCACCAGAAACCGCTGGTTAATTCTTGATCATAATTTAACAGATGTTGATTATTATGACGCCTTTGTCGAGAGAATTATTTCAGGAAAGGAGCCATTCACACTCATCAGCAAGCCAATTGAAGAGCAAAACACTACATTCAAAGAAATTGTTGCAAATAACTTCAAAGAACTCGTTCTTGACAATCCAAATGATACCTATGTTGCAGTTACAGCTCCTTGGTGCGGACACTGCAGCGCGTTTAAGCCAATTCTTGCAAACATGTCTGATTACGTCGTTGGAAAGCCAATTAACATTTATTGGTTCGACGGAACAGCAAATGACTTCGGCAAGATACCCGATATTGATGGTTATCCAACATTCTTCGCATGGCCAGCAGGAAAGAAGAATGAAAAACCAGTGAAATTCGATGGAGATCGCGATTTCAATGGTGTTTTGCAATTCCTCAATACAACTGGTGCTTATAAGTTCCCACCTCCTGTTAACACTACAGATGCAAAAGATCCAGCTGCTGAAAATAAGGAATTATAAGTTTAAACGTTAATTTTTAATTTATTTAATCTATTTTCTCTCAATTTTGTGTGTGTTCAAAAAAGCTCACAAAAATGATCGTTCATTGATTTTTTGAAAATATGACGTTCTATCCTTTTGTTTGTTATATTGTAATTTCATCCGATTTGTCAAAAACATTTCACGAAAAATTTGCAATTCAAAAAATTTCAATTCATTTATTTCATTATTTTCAGAGGGTATTCACCGAGGCGCAAATAGCTAATTGCATAGGAAGTGAAGATATCCATGAAGAGTGATACCGGTGAACAATTGCGATCTATTTCATTAATATTCATTAAATAAAATTGCAGAAAGACAAAAAAATATGATATAGGTTCAAAATGCTTTTGAAATTGCATGCTTGTTACTTAAAATAGAGTAATGTGTATAGAGTTTACTATCAACAAGTACAAAATCCAGACTTAAAACTACAATTTATAATTTTTCACGGTTATCTTCCTCTTTAGCCATTTCGGACCATTCCATAAACATGAAGTATTTGCTTAATAGGCATGGTAACTTATTAGCAAGAGTTGGGTTTTCGCAGCATAAATTGTAGGCGAAATACAGTAATGGTGACAAAACCAATGAAAGTAATACGTCAACTGTATAATGGAACCTAGAAACTATAAGGCCAAATGCTCCAATTACTCCAACAAAAAGATATATCCATCCGATAATTTTGCCAATGAAATGATGATGAATTAAGCCAGGGAAGATGAATCCCATTGTATGTCCAGAGAATATCATATCGCCGCATGTCAAACCACCGAAAAGTTGAGTAATAATATTCTTGAACGTTATTTTATAATTTGGATCATGTTCTCTAGGACACTTTGGTGAAGGATCTGGTAAAAACGTTACAGTCATTGTAAAAACACGTATTAAAGATAAGATTGCATAAACTGCCACGGTTCTTCTGATAATATACCATCTTTTCTTGTTGAAAATGATGAAGATGACCTCAGAAACAATCATTAATACCATTAGAATGTTGATATATATTTCCAACTTGACATATGGGATGGCTGATTGAATCGCATCGGGCAAAAGTTCAACCGCTGGCCTTTTCGCGTTAGTTATTACGAGAGCAATGCCGGTAAATGTATGCACAATAACTAAAAAGCCTATAGTTAATAAAGTTTTCCAAATATTTGAATACTTGGAAAGTTTTTCATAACGAGTTAATGGGCGCTCATCGTCACCTTGAAGAGGCTGATTTTGCTCGTCAACCCCGGCGCCCACTACTGGAAGCAGCATCATTTTTTTCAAAAAAAAAAGTAAGAATATTAATTTTAGATTTTGAGAAGAATATTGAAAAATTGTAATATTCGACTAACAGCCAAATTATTTTTAGATTTGATTGTACTCGAGCTATATGCATTAAAATAATTTCACTCTTTCAATCAATCCATTGAATTAAATTATCGAACAAAAATGAAATTGATATGAATAGTTCTAAAATCAAAAATAATGGATTTCAATTGAAATTGGACGATAACTGCTAAGTGTACCTAAAATCCTTGTGATATTTCGTCATCAAAAGTATTAAATTTATAAGTGAAAAGGACAAAAAAAAGAATGTAATGGATTAGCATTATTAAAATCCATTATCCAGTATTTGGCACTACATTCAAAATTAATAAACGGTTTTATTTCAAAAATCGACAAATTTGAATGGATTTTGATCTTCATTTCCTTAATTTTGAACACTCATCGATCATTGATGTAACTCTCAAGTAACTTTTGTTTAATATTTGATCCAAATGCATAGTTCATTTGATTGATTCAATTTTAGATTGTGATTTCATCAAAATTAATAATTACTTCTTAATTTATTTATCGCATCTTCCTTGTATTTTGAGTATGGATCATATTAACTTAAAGAAAATAACTCAAATCTTGTATCACGGTCAGCTCTACTCACCGCTTATACAACTACTGTAATTTGAGTTGTTTTTTAATCCAACAGTTAAATTCTTCCCTCGTAAGCCGAGGTCATGATCTACTTGCATTAAATATGTATATATGCAGAAGATGATAGTAGACCAGATTCATTAGTTAGTAAAAATATTTATCAAAAATTTCACCTATAGATATCCTTCTTAGCATGAAATATTAATTGTGCAAAATATGATCAATCACATCTTGAAGATCCGAATCATAGCCCAATTTTAAGGGGAAAAGTTGTGTAAAGATAGTATATGATTATAGTATATACCATCATCCTAAATCTTTGTTATTTAGGAGGCTACAAAGTACAAGGCCTTTTTTCATTTTTCCAAAAATGAACGATAGAGGAAGTTTGGTCTTTAATGACCCTTAAGTCAAAAAAAAACTTTACAAATTTTAATGAGTGAGGGAATTGTTCTGAACTACGAATATATTGGCTCACATATTATGGATTACATTGAAGCGGATAATCTCTTTAGCACATTCGAAGTAGAAGATATCGAAAAAATCATGAAATTCGCGAATTTAACACCTGATGAGTTCAATTCTCTTCTTGCGCAATCTTGTTCTGTCATTTCAGAACGCAAATTGTATACATGCACTCGAAATGCAAATATTTCAATAAACAACATACAAGATGCCATTTCAACACTTAAATCAGTTCAAAAGTACATGAAGATGCGAATCTTCGAAGGAATTATCGGCATTTTAGAACAGTTACAAAAGGATCAACCCATTACGACAAATAAAATCGAAAAACTTCAAGCAGATTTAAATCAGATCCAAAAAGAACAAGAAAGCGTTGATAAAGAGATGCAAACTCTTCACTCTCAACTCAAAGAGAAAGAAGGAAACGATTTACCAAAAGAATTTCTTTCGAAAATTTCCGAACTTAAAAATTCTGACGATTTCGATCAAATCTACAAATTTTTTAAAGAAATTTCAGAAAAAGGAAATCAAAAAAATGATGCAAAAAGCATGTGAAGAAGAACTTTGGAAAATACAAAATGATCATTATTTTGATACAAATGTACTTCATTATGCATCTTCACAAGGAAATCTGAGACTTGTTAAATCTTTCATTGAATGTGGCTGTGACAAAGAAATCAAGAGCGAAAATGATGGTACACCTCTATACTGGGCAACAAGAGAAGGTCAACTTGAAGTTATTAAATATCTTATTTCAGTTGGAGCTAATAAAGACGCAGTGGATAATAATGGAAGTACTCCACTCATTTATGCATCAGATAATGGTCAACTTGAAGTTGTTAAATATCTTATCTCACTTGGAGCTAATAAAGAAGCAAAGAATAATGATGGATATACTCCACTCATTTGTGCATCATATTTTGGTTATCTTAAAGTTGTTCAATATCTTATCTCAGTTGGAGCTAATAAAGAAGCAAAGGATAATAATGGATGTACTCCGCTCATTAAGGCATCATGGAATGGTCATCTTGAAGTTGTTCAATATCTTATCTCAGTTGGAGCTAATAAAGAAGCAAAGGATAATAAAGGAAAAACAGCACTTGATAAATCGAAAGGAGCAGTAAGAGAATATTTATTATCAATTGCAAGAAAATAATTTCTTGATATATTTGGTTATTATCTCTTAATCATTGTTTCAAAAGATAAAGTAAATATATATAAACTGAATTTTTCTGAATAACGCTTACAAATTATGAACACTTATATAACACATGCAAATGATATTATTTAAATCTTCTAATTTTCAGATTCAAAAATTGAATAATATTATACCCATGAATTATCAATTAAACGAATTTGTATGTCATTAATTGGTGTTTAAAATAATTTGATATAATCCACCAAAACTGTTTTGTCAGAATTTCAATATCTTAACAAAGGGAAAAATGAATGATATGTCTAAAATTATAGCTAGCAAAGAAAATCCTGCATATGTATCTATGTAGCTTAAATTGTCTCATATAAAATGCTTAGTTTCTATGGATTTATAGTGATAAATCCAAATAGACGAAAATGGTAATCCATTAAAAATCTGCATCATATCAAATTATTATCAAGAGGATTACTCTGCAAATTGCTAGTACGAAAATATGCTTTAATACCGCCATTAAATCTTCTACATAGAAGTTTAAATGTGTTTTTTAATATTGTTTTTGATGCTGTTTTTCACATCAAAAAAAACTTCAAATATCCGTGTTTGGTGGTCCTCTGGGTGAATGGAGTGAATAAACATATTTCTTTTCGTGTGGTGTAATTCAGTATGTTCCATATATATATATGGATAATGTTATATTTTTACTGATTTGGAAAGATTTGATATATGATTTCAAACACTAATGCGAAGGAACTCAATTTCATTGAGCATATGATTTCTACATTTTCTTCATCAAGACAAATCGCAAAACCAGCTCATATTAAGTATAGAATTACTTATATGAGGTGATATAAAACCATAGTTTATTACGTTTGTTCTCGATGTCTCTCCTAAATTCATAATGAAATTCTTCCAAATAATGAATATAAATCCCTCTATACATAAAGCATATCTTTCATATGTTAACTCTGTAAATGTGATACATTTATTATAGAGGTGTGTTGATAAATTAAGCTAATTTGAAGTTATCTGTTATGAGAATGAAATATCTGAGATAATATTTGCATATTACTATTGATAAAAATATATTGGCATTGATATTAATCTCTGATTATGTCAAAAAAATTGCCAAATTTTTCGGATTTGATCTTTTCATGGAAGCAGACACTATTCAGCTTAATGAAGAGCAGAAAATTAACTCCAACGTAAAGATCAAAGCATCTGCTATCACTATCATAGGCAAGAAAAACATTAACAGAACTTATCATGAAATTCCATTCCGAATTTTAATTACTATCACTCGCAAGAAGAATCCCATTGATCAAGCAACTATTAAAATAAGACCTATTAATGAAAAAGAAGTGAATTTTGAGTCTAATGATAATAATCAATTTTCACTTATAGAAGATAAATCAGTAGATGTTCATTATGATGTAATTTCGCATGTAGCAGCTTCTGTTGCATTTAACATTTCATATTTAGAGCCAAGGAAAGAAATAAAAAATATAAAATTAATAATTCCGATTTATCCATCAATTATTGTAGAACCAAAAGTCATGTTATTTAATACAGGATTTATTCTTCACTATTCTATTGAAAATAAGCTTTCATTTGCAGTAAATGATATAAATTTAGAAACATCCTTTCCTACATTTCCACGAATTGTATTTCAAACAGACCAACCTACTTTCCCCTCAACAGAATCAGAATTCGATATGTGCGAAGAGCTAAAACCGGATAACATAATAAAAACTTTTATACATGGAGACTTTTTCCCTCCAAAAGAGCGCATGAACATTGGAACATTCACAATAAAATATACCGTTCCTTCACTTAATCGAACATTTTCATTTACAAAGGAAATTGTTGACCAAAATGAACTTGTTGACAAGCCATTTGCCTTCAGCTTAATTGGGCAGCCTGATAAAGTCCCTGTGTTAACACCTTTCAATGTTAAAGTTGATATTTTCAATAATTTAAAAGCAAAAGCTTCATTTTCTTTAGAAATCTTGACAACAGAAAATTCGACACTTTTACCATATGGAAAACACTATTATTCCATTGATGAAATAGGAATTGAACCAATCAGAATTTCAATGGAATTTATCGCAATTACTGAAGGTTTGTTGAAGTATCCCCAAATGCTTATTAAGTCTGATAGTTGTTTTCCTTATAACGTTGATTTTAATGATGGAGTTTTCGCAATTGCCCAAAAATGTGAATAAAAATTTTGTTTGTATGTTTTTATCTCAAATAATTAGTTTATATGATTTATTTATGAGTTGGTTATTTCGAATTAAGTTGTTTTGTTTCATGATTTCATGAATAATATTTCAATCATAATTTTCCAAGTCGAAATTTGAACATTAATTGTAAAAAAATCATTCAGATAGACTCGACAAATATGAACCATTATACCATTTCAATCATTAATAGAAGATTTAAAAAAATGATAAAATTCCGATAGAAATAGTTTTATAAAACAGAATCAAAAGGATTCCTTGCTAATGTTAAGTTAACAAAGGCAATAACTTGATCAAGAACAACACTTCCTTCAATGTTTCGAAGCATGCAGTGTTCTGCTTTCTCATGATAGACAACGTGTACATTTGCACCAACTTGATCACGAATATGATCAATCCATTCGTAATTTGTCTGAGTTCCAACCGAACTATCTCTTCCTCCCTGCATAAACATGAGAGGAAGCCCAATTGGCCACTTTTTGTATTCTGTTTTGCAGATTGTCTGCATTTCGTATGCTGATGCGAAGAGTTGTGGTGTAATATAATCATGAGGAAGATTACTTGCCAAAAATTTTTCAACAAACTTCTTAGGATATGGATATGAGTCAGGATCTGATCCTGTTGAGATTGCAAGAGTTGGGAAAATATATCTTCCGAATCTGGCTAGGATTTTATGTATGAAAGAATTTGATAAACTCTCATGTGTAGCAATCCATAGAGCCTCTATGATAACACCATCAAGCCAATTTGATTCATTAGGATGAGTTAAAATGTAAGAGATCGATGTGACTCCTCCAAGTGAATGTCCGTAAAGAAAAACAGGAATATTAGGAAATACTGCTTTAGCTCTCTGTAAAAGCATGCCGAGTTCTGCGTGAAGATGCTCTGTTGTGTTATTTCCACGATCGCCAGGTGAACGACCGTGTCCTAAATGATCAGTTCCAAAAACTGCGCCTCCATCAGCAAGTATTTTTGGAAAGAATGTGCGATTCATTGAAAGAAATGCTCCAAGACCGTGGAAAAAGATAATTACATATCGGACAATTTGATTTTTAGGGAGCCACTGGCATCCAACAAGCTCGATACCACCCTCTGTAATGATGGTAAAGTTTTCTCCATCATAATCGAAAGTATAGTCTTTCTTTTCTAAATCCATCTGATTTTTGACAATAAAAAATTAAAATTAAAATAATTTTAAAACACTAATGAATGTAATGATTTAGTAATTTGTGGCAAGCTATAAAAATTGAATGAGTTTAAATTTTAACATATCATTATGATCTTAAAATATAAAAAGGTAAATGTGAAGCTCCGTTGGCCCAATTGGATAAGGTGACTGCCTACGAAGCAGTAGAGTCCAGGTTCAAGCTCTGGACGGCGTGATTTTTTTCATCTGTAGCTTTTTTTCTTTGCTATTGAACTCTTTTGGAAAACCCTTTTTGCAAAGAGAACATTGGCCTAATCTCTATGTATTACAATCAATGTTGTAGTTGTTGACTAAACATAGAGAAACCTATTGAACAAATATCTCGAAAGCATTTCAGATCTGATAAGTTGAAATGAATTTTTGGCTTTAATGATTTATGTAGTCGAATAGTTAACTCTTCATTAATTTTCGAAACTTCGGAAATAAAATATTTTAAAAATCATGGATATATGAAATGTATTTAAGCAGAATAAGCATATGTATAATAATGTATATGTTTTCATGATTACCTTTGAGAAATTTATAATGTCAGCCCATTTTTTCTTTCGGTTCTTGGAAACGATGTAGTAAAAGGAAATTTTCCCAACGATCGTAAAAGTGACATCTACCAATTGTTTATAAAATTGTGCTAATATTAATGTATGATATTAGTTAAGATAAAATTCCCAAAATTTCATTGTTGGTCACTTCAATTTTCAATGCTGAAATTACCTGATTCATTCTTAAGCAGGGCGTTCGCTGAAGCCCTGAAGAACACATGCAGTGCAGCATGCTGGAATTGCAATCACTTGTTGAATACAGCAAAAAGTAGTCTATTTTGTGAATCATGCCACAAGATTCAGCCTCCAACTTGCGATAATTTCTTCCAGTTGTTTGATCAACCAAAGCAGTACAAAATAGATGTTAAAAAGCTTGATAAGTCCTACTTATCTCTCCAACGAAAGGTTCATCCTGATAGATTTTACTCAAAAACCGAAAAAGAGAAAGAATTGAGTATCAAAGCCTCTGGATGCATCAATGAAGGATATCACACCCTTAGAAATCCTGTTTCTCGTGGCGAATATTTGCTCCATCTTTTCAATCAAAAGGTCGTCACCGATGTTCCACAAGATTTCCTGATGGAGGTTCTCGAATTCCATGAGGAAATGGACAATACAAATGAGCCCGATGAACTTATTAAATTACTTCAAAAAGCTCAAAAGATGATGAAAGATCTCACAGCTTCACTTGCTTCTACACTTGAAATAAAGGATGGAAAGCTTGCAAAACCAGGAGAAGCTGCAATTATTCTTTCCAAATTGAAATATTTATCCAGAATCCGCGACACACTCAAGCAAAAAATACCTGTTAATAAATTGTAAATCATTATTGTTTAACCAAATTCATTTATACGTTCTATAAAAATATCAAAAATTGTCAAATATACCGGTATCAATATGGTTTCTCAACCGTATGAGTTTTTAGATAAGCAATGGATCAATATTTCATTGCCAATATTATTAAATCTTCAACGTTGCCATGTGGATCAAGAACTCGTCATCGGGAAAAAATGTTTTAGAACAATGTAATTAATGCAAAAATCAATTAATATTTCATGATTATTTTTTAATAATAAGTGTTAACAAAATTGGGTGATATTATCAAAAGTTTGAAAGCTAATTGTCATAATTTTTGAAGGGGATATTTATCAGTCGAAGAATCGAAAACCTTTCTTTTATTGAAGGGAGTATATTTCTAAAAAATTAAATTGAAAAGAATATTTATGACTGTACAATCATAGTTACGAAATGTACTTAGAATTGAATTTGCACCTATTTAGCAAAATTTAATAAATTTGTGTCGTGACATTCTGAGAAAGGGACAGACTAGCCCATTGTCACTTTTTAATTTAGCAAATGAACGCTTATGGAGTGGAGTTTTTGGGTAAATCTGATTTGCTTATAAATGAAATAAAATCAAAAGAAACCATATTGGCATTATATTATGCAAAAATAAATGATCTTACTTAGTACTTTTAAAGTTAATTTCAGAAAAAATTTGACACAATGGTATCCGGCACATACAAGTGGTGTACAACCAAAATATAAGTTAGTTTAAACATATATTGCTATATCTCATGATCTTACTTAGTACTTTTAAAGTTAATTTCAGAAAAAATTTGACACAATGGTATCCGGCACATACAAGTGGTGTACAACCAAAATATAAGTTAGTTTAAACATATATTGCTATATCTCATGATCTTACTTAGTACTTTTAAAGTTAATTTCAGAAAAAATTTGACACAATGGTATCCGGCACATACAAGTGGTGTACAACCAAAATATAAGTTAGTTTAAACATATATTGCTATATCTCATGATCTTACTTAGTACTTTTAAAGTTAATTTCAGAAAAAATTTGACACAATGGTATCCGGCACATACAAGTGGTGTACAACCAAAATATAAGTTAGTTTAAACATATATTGCTATATCTCATGATCTTACTTAGTACTTTTAAAGTTAATTTCAGAAAAAATTTGACACAATGGTATCCGGCACATACAAGTGGTGTACAACCAAAATATAAGTTAGTTTAAACATATATTGCTATATCTCATGATCTTACTTAGTACTTTTAAAGTTAATTTCAGAAAAAATTTGACACAATGGTATCCGGCACATACAAGTGGTGTACAACCAAATCTTCGACTCGATGAACTTGTAATCGAGTTATATTCCAGTGTTGTTCCTTCATTCCTGATTAAGTTGCAAATTAAAGGTCTGGATTCAGAGAGAAGTGTTAAAGTTATCAAAAAAGTCACAAGAGATTTCGAAGAAATGACACAATTTAAAAAAGTCGAATGCATCAGTATGCTTGAAGCTGTTCAGAAAGGTCTGAAAAATGATACACTTGATCCCAACATTGTTTACTCAACATTAAAAATATTATTGCAAAGAAAACATTTGATTTAATAAACATTTAATTTATTATAATTAATTTTTTATTACAGTATAGTAAAAAATGCTATAAATAAATTATTATATTTTATTAAAATGTGACTTTTAATAGTAAGTGAATAAAATAAATCAGGAATTGGGAAAGAAATAAGGTTAATTAAAAATAATGAAAATTACAAGTTTAAGGTTAATGAAAAAGTGACAATGGGCGAGTTTGTCCCCCACTCGTGACATTCTTCCTTTTTCAGAACTCTGATTTTTCAGTGGCTACATTTTCAAATAGGTTCAATTTTCGGACTACCATTTTGTTTTTTGATACTAATCTCGATAAAACTGAAATGATTTTCCTTCAATTTTTTTCAATTGATGAATATATGTCATGACATATCGCTTACATTGTAATCAGCTGAATTCCAAGATTTAACAAATTGAATTACTCAGAAAAAATAATCATTCATTTCTTTTCATGGATCCATGCGACGTTGAGTTCTTTATAAGCAATGATTTAACAAATCTTGGTGTTATAGGAATAGGTTCATTTGGAATAATCTATAAAGTCTATTCCGAACAGTACAAAACAGAATTTGCAGTGAAGAGAATATTAAAAGATCGATTCCGTGAAGATGAATACGAATCTATGATAACTATAAAGAGTTCTGGTATAGTTACATTATATAGATACGTATATCATGGTCCATACATCTACTTAATGATGGAACTATGCAAGACAAGTATAGATAAGCTTCTTCAAGAAAAAAGAGATATGTCTATTTCGGAACTAAATGAGATAGCACTTGGAATGATTCAATCCGTAAAGTGCTGCCATGAAACTGGAATCAGTCATGGTGATATAAAGCCATCAAACTTCCTTGTCGATTCATATGGAAGAATCAAAATTTGTGACTTTGGCCTCGCAAAGAAAAATCTCGCAGATCAGAAATATACAGATTATTCTGGAACAAGAATGTTCCTATCTCCAGAAATAGTGCAGCTACAGCCATATGACGCATTTAAAGCTGATATATTGGCACTAGGTGTTACACTCTACTATTTATATGTTCATTCTTACCCATGGCCAACAGATTCGAAAAGTGCATTTGTCCAAAATCTTATTTCAGGTGTTTATTGCCAAGACAATATTGGCGATTCGTTTTTCCGCAAGCTTATCCGAAAGTGCCTTAATATAAATCCAAAAGAAAGACCATCAGCTCAGGATCTTTTTAATCAGAGCAGAGCTTATATCAGCATTGCAAAAAAGAAGAAAATCATCAAACCCTTTAACTCATGTGGCAGTTCTATTAGTTTGGTTCTTGATAGAAAAATTTTAAAGCCAAGAAGATTATCATTCGGCTCGGCAATACTGTAAAATAATAAATTCGGCATTTCTATGATATTATTTGTTGTTGAATTTTTAAACGCTTCATTTCAGAGTTGATTTCGTGAATTTTCGAAACAATTTTGTTAATTGAATAATTATATGATAAAAATCTATGTTAAACGCATTGAATTATCTTTTTCTCTTTGTTTTATATCATAAATCATCACAATTTCTGTAATGTGATAAATTTACATACTGCATTTCAAATGAACTATCACAAAAATGAAGAAAATGATTTTAACATTGTTATGAAAATGAATTAAAATAGATTATGATTATTATTTATTGTGAGTAAATCCCACAAGACACGAATTTTGTCTTATTAAGAATATAAATTTTTTTCAAATAGATCAATTCAATTTAAATATGATCCATTTGAGTTGGAAATACAATTTTATAGTGTTGGACACACCTTTGACGTGAAATCAAAAATAGTTATTGATTACTCCGATAATGAAAGAGTATATGATGCCGCTTGTTACAGCTAATCCAGCATAGAAATCATCTTCATAACATAAAAATATAGTAGTCTATTGGATTATCACTTATTATAATCCTCTTTTTGATTGTTTGATAAATGTTTCGGCATCAATAGTAATAGTTGTTTCACACCTTTTTTGGATTAGGAAACTGTATAATTATTGACTCTAGAAATGGGTAGCATGATAAAAGATAAGCTAATAAATACTACTGTTGAAAAGAGGAAATCGATATTTATATCCAACGTTATTTTTGTGCCAATTCTATCATCTGGGATTCTCATTCAAACTAATTTTTGTCTTTTTCAATTTTTTCTGAACTTCAACGGCATTTCTAAAAATTGTGCATTTACTGATACATATCGAATAGTGAACCTATTGTTACCAAGCTCTCTCCTTTTGTGCTCAACAGTGAGCCGCCGAAAAAGCTTTTAATGAAATAATACAATGATAAACATCAATAAATTTGGGAGGATGATTAAAAACATCTGATGATAATTAGCTTAAATCAATAGTCATGTAGTATGTATCTATCTTCTGCTATCAATTTTGTTTGATATTAAAAAAAAAAACATATAATTGAAAATTAAGGCATTTGATATATTTTCAGTTTAGATTCAAATATGCTGGATATGCTTAATATTATTCGATCAATAAACATTTCAACCAAACCACTGTCAACCAACATTCATTCAATTATTTTTTTCATTACAATGAGAATTTTAGACGTCATAACTGCAAGCAGATTCATATGGAAGCACAGACAGCCAATTCCAAATTTCAAGTTCACTGCTCCATACATCAAAAGTTACAATGAAGAAAAACTTTCAAATATCACTTTAGGAAAATTAATTGATATCGATTCCACTTTTGTTGAGAAAAGTGGATTGTATCATCAAACCAAACATGGTAAGGCTCACTATTCTAAGTTAAGTATTGATTCAAAACCATTAGATAACAATACTGAAATCGGATTCAAGGTTTATACTTCATATGGTAATAAAGGCAAAATGTACAATGAATTCAAATCAATGAAAATGGTTGTTAATGATCAAATCCATAAAAATCATTCTATTCATTACTCATTTGAAATTGTTCGCAAAGGTATCACAGTAACATCGATTTCTGAGGATGGTTTCATTCCAAAGCAATCTTCTAAACTCGCTAACACTTATCTCTCTGAAATTTTAGATCGTATTAATCATGAGGAAATTACATCCCCACGTGGATTTAAGCTCACTCTCACAAAGCTTCACGACGACTTAAATCAAGCAAATCCGAAGCCAAAGCAGCCAAAGAAGCAGGAAACAAAACCTAAAAAATAATTAACAGATTGCTCTGGTAATATGTTTAATTTTAGTTGCAAGAATGACTAAATCGTTTTTATTGGTATATTTTATATTATTTCCACTTTTTAATTGCCGATTGAATACACCTCGTTATTCATCAAGTTGTTTTATATAACCTAAGTAACAAATCATGTGATTAACAAAAGTGCTAGATTGTTGATAGATATTTGGTTCAATGTGATTTTTCATCAAATTTAGGAAGTGAGAACGGCCTCACCTATCCTCATATTAACATAGACAGAGCTAGCTTTTAATCCTGGATCGCCTGATCTAGAATATATTGAAATAAGATGTCATAATTCGGAAATTGACATTAGGAAATGTAAGTTAGTTTCTATTTTTAGACATTCTGCCAATGCCTGTCATCAGATTTTGGTCCGATTCTCGGAACTAACGGAAATAAAAAATCAAGAAATGATTTACCCACTAATTTTGAATTAATTTGTGTGCCTTTTATTTATGGTGCTGATTTAAAAAAAAAAAAAAAAAAGGTAGTGGGGCTTCCAGGCACTTCGTGCCCTCTAGCCCCGAAGATGTTTAGTATAAATGAAGTTTTTATTCGGAAAATTGTTAGTCTTCTGGTGTGAATTCGGAGGACTCTTCTTCTTCCTCCATGCTTCTGGGAAGAAGCCTTCTTCTGGGTCGAAAACATTATATAATGTGTCGCTTTTCACAAATTATATATGTTTTCATGCTTTGTCACTTTTCTGTCACTTTTTGGGTAAAAACATTTTTATTATTATATATAAATGAATTTTACAAAACTACCGTTACCGTTCTTTGGAAATAAGAGTAAATGTAAAGATATTATATTGAGAGAACTTAAGAAACTACCGAATGGTCTAACATTTGTAGATTTGTTCGGTGGAAGTTTCTATATATCCCATTTGTGCCATACAATATTCCCAGACTCAAAGATTATATGCAATGACTTCGACAACTATATGGACCGTCTCAAACATATACCAGACACAAACAAAATATTGAGTGAGTTAAAAGAAAAGATACCTATAGGTAAGATGGAACGTATACCATTAGATAAGAAAAATATTGTGAGAGAGGTTTTGAAAAAAGCAGAATATATAGACTGGGATAGTATATCTGCTAGACTATTATATAGTGGTTCTATAAGAGTTCATGACATTGAAACACTTATGTCAAAAGTTTTATATCTTAACTATACAAATGTTTTCAAAGAGGACATAGAAAAATATATTGAGGGTATAGAGTTTGTGAGATGTTATTGGACAGAGTTGTATGAAAAATATAAAGACAAGGAAAATGTTTTCTTTATAGTGGACCCGCCGTTCTATAACACATGGGATTTTCAATACCAAGTAGACTGGACTTTGAGAGACTCTTTAGAAACTTTAGACGTTATACATAACCATCCATGCTTTTACTTTACATCCGATAAAAGTGGTTTGGAAACCGTTATGAGATGGTTAGAGGACATACATGACTATGAGTTTATATATGACAAGATAGAATATGAGAGAGGTCCTATAAACCGGAGAAAGTGTCATAACAAAGAAATTTTATTAGTAAGTAATGTGGTTTGAAATAGGACTACTTGTTTTAGGTTTTTTCCATTGTGTCATTTATTTATTTGACGTGGCAGAAAAGTACAGAGAATATGAAGATGAACCAATGCCTGCAAATGTTCAGTATATGTACTCGTAAGAGATATTTTTATCTAATATTAAATGGACGCACAGAACTTAGCGAATGCACAGCAACCTGGACAACCAAACCCAGAGAATATTCCAAATGAAGTTAGAATACAAACTGCAATGGCAAACTATGGTCAAGTGCCAACAGATGTACAAATGCAAACTGCCATGTCAAATGACGCTGCGTTAGGTTTGCCACCATGGTATGCAAATATGAGAGATGGAAAGAGTTTTATACAAACCCTGAAGTGGGATATAAACAACTTTATGCAGATGACGCGAACACAGGAGTTGACCCAGAATATGTTTTCTACCAGAGGAGAAACAGAATGTATGAGCTCCAGTTAAAGAATGCTATGGAACTCAACAGGAAACGTAAGAGACTAGGCGGACATTAGATTTTTACATATAGTAAAATGGGTTTCTTCAGTAAGATAGGAAACTTCTTTCGAAATGTTGGAAGAGGTATATGGAATGGAATAAAATCTGTCGGAAGAGGAATTTGGAACGGTGTCAAAAATATTGGTAAAAGGGTAGGTCAGTTCGTTGGTATTATACCTAAAGACCCTGAACCAGAAGAGCAAGCTCCTGTTATACAACAGCCTGAACCTGCACCACAGTCTAGTTGGCAACCAAATCCAACACCTCAACCGTATTAAAAAATTATATTTTTACCGTTCGATAGTAGTTGTATATGAAACTAAGTTCTAAGTAAAACGCATGTATATGGAATTATTCTTTTTCTTCCATCTGTAGTAAACCATACTTGAAAGTCTGAAATACTTCCACTTGGTGGTTCGTATAACTTTGTAGGTTTTTCGTAAAAGTCATTTGCCAAGCATAAGAAAGAGTTTTGGGCGCCAGAAAATGAAGCATGAACAATAATAGCAGCTGGGTCGAAAACATTTTCATATGTTCCATTAGGGTTTTCGACTTCATAAAAGTCTGGGTGTACTGGATATGCTGCAGGCTGATTTAACATCCTCATAAATCTATACCATGCCAAGTTGTTATATTTTGTAGAAATATAAACGTTTTCTCCAAGGTCTTCTATTCTATTGATTTTAACAGTTGCATTTTTCCTGTCATAAATAATATCGAGATGGTATTCTCCCTCGTCAATGTTATACTGTTTTGCATATTCGATATAGATATCGTTTATTTTTTCTTGAAAAGCTTGAAGAGTTGTTTCTAAGTTTACAAGCAAACTAACTTGTAAAAGTTTTCCCTGTTCAAATTTCTCATACATACGTTTTTCTTTGTTATAGTATCGAACTTCAAAACCGACCGTAAATGGGAAACCATGTATGGCTTCTGAAATGAACTTCATTCTACGAAAGCCAATAGCTTTTGTGACAGATGGGTCTCTTAACCATCTTAATGGGTAGTCAAAACGATAGCCTTCATGCTTTACGGTCTCTGTCTCAAACTTTTGACCGACATTAGTAAAAAGTTCATCTAATGGTTTAGTTGTAGCAACTCTTGAATTTTCTTTTTCTATTGGAAGCATATTTTATCTAGAATAAAAATGTCGAAAGATATTGCTTCCATGAGAGAAATACAACACAACCGACAACTCATTATGCAAGCTCTAAATAAGAACACAACAAACTTTTCAAACTATTCTAAGATATCTGAGTCATTGAAAGAAGGAAACTTAAAAACTGACAATAAACCCAATGACAGATGAGTTTCTATTTCAAGACAATAAGAACCATACTGTCTGTATAAATCCAACAAAAGGAACTTTAAACGAGAAACCTATAAATGAACTTCTTTTGAAAGCAGATGTTGACAACAAAGCTGACAAAGAATATGTAGACGATGCAATAGCAAAAGAAGAAGAAAGAGCTAACAATGCTTATGCAACAAAAGAACATACTCATCCTGAACTAGCAGACAAAACATATGTTGACAATAAAATGTCAAGTGAAGTGACAAGAGCTGAAAACGAATATTCTAAAAAGACTCATATACATTCTATATCTGAAATAACAGACTTACAAGAAACCTTAAACAGTAAAAGTGCCGTTGGACATACACATACCATTGCAAATATTACAAACTTACAAGAAACCTTAAACAGGAAAAGTGCCGTTGGACATACACATACCATTGCAAATATTACAAACTTACAAGAAACCTTAAACAGAAAAAGTGCCGTTGGACATACACATTCTATATCTGAAATAACAGACTTAAACGTTAGCCTTGAAAATAAAGCAGATAAAACATATGTCAATGAAATATACCAAAGTTTGATAGGAACAACAAAAAATATTGAAACTATTGTTGGTGACTTTTCTGTCAATGAAGAAAATAAATATTTTAGATGGCAGTTTGTACAGTCCTTAAGAAATGGTATACGGTATAAACTCATTCTGAAAAATAACAATGAAATGTATGTAAGCTATATAAAGAATGATGGTACACAAGTTAAAGTTCCATTAGACAACAACTGCTACTTAAACTTATATGGAGACGAACAAAAGAAATATTTCCGAGTTTATGAAATGGCAGATATGACATTGCCTGACCCAGCTCCAGCACCATATTATTATGACTATGTAGATGACGAAGGAACACTACATGCAGATGAACAAAAGCAAACATTATATTTAGATTATTATAGATATAAAAGATATAATGCAATAGAAAAAACGAGAATAGTATATTATTATATAGATGACAGAAATAAATATTATAGTCAAGATTTACCTACCCTGAAAACATAAGATTATATTATAAAAATATTCTTACACAAACCAGAAGAAACCTGAAATAGTTGCACTATATTTTAAGTTCAAAAGAGACAATCCTATAATGTCTCATATGTTTGATTTAATGAACCCAGTAGGTTCTATTTATACATCTATGGAAGCAAGAGGTCCTCAAGTAATGTTTGGTGTTGGTGCATGGGAACAAATAGTCGACAGGTTTTTGTATTGTGCAAACTCTTCAAAGGAAACAGGTGGTTCGAAGAAAATTAAAGAAGCAAACCTTCCACCGCACACTCATACAGGAACTACAAACTTTTTCTGGCGACCATAGCCACTCATTAAGAGACCACCCATTATACAACTCAGAATATTATGCTGGCAATGACGTTTTATCTCCAGATTATAACCATTCAGCAAAAAAGACTTTTCGACCAACTGAACCAGGAGGAAATCATGTCCATACTTTCACAACAAATCCAACAGGCTTGGGTAAAGACTACATGCCACCTTACATGACAGTTTACGCATGGTATAGAATTGCTTAGTCGTCATTTTCAACTTCTTTAGCATATTCGTCAGGAGTTGTCTTATATTTGTTAGGAACTGTCTTTGAAAGTATACCACCTTGAACTTTGACAAGTTTGAAACGAGGTCTGACAATAGTAGTTTTATCTTCTGCTTGCAGTGTGTACATTTTGCCATGTTTGCCTAAAACTTCATAATATTCTCTTGTATACTTTCTTCTATTTTTACGAACACGAATGTGAGTACCTGTCGGGTTCCCATTGTTGTCATAGTCAATAGTATTTTCATATGGGTCGCGTTTAGGTATTTCTATTTTTACTTTGTCACCTTTCTGAAGTTTGAAGCCCGGCATTCTTTCTTGTTTGTCTCTTTTGACTAAATTATTAAATATATAGTCTTTCTCTAAGTCAGGGTTGTTTTTCATTTCTTCGGGGAGTGGTTTCCCAAACCTTTTTGTTTACGGCTATTGTAAATATTTAAAACTTGTCTCATCTTTGCCATGGAGAAGTGTCTATATTTGTCGTCATATGACATTTCATTTGCTTCACCACCTTGTGGTTGGTTTAAGTCTCTTAACATTTTTATACAACCGTCAATGACACCAAGAGCAGAATGGTTTTGGTCGACAATGAAATATTGGTTTACATTTTTTGAACGCAGATAGTTTTTTACATCATCTGATTTGAAAGAACTTTCACAGTCAGATGTCAGTTTTGTTGGATGGTATTTGTCAACGAATATTGTCAAAGCTGCTAAGATATCTAAAATAGCTTTGGACTGTAATGGTATGGCTTCACAGTATCTTGTGTTTTGACCGACAAATATTAGCCAGTATGGTGGTCCATCTTCTCTATACCTCGGAATGTTTTCCAAGATATCCATAAACCAAGCATTTGGTGTTGAACTAAAGATTTTTATCATGAGTGCTTTCTTTGTCGCTTTAGAAACATAGGGGTCCTTGTTTGGATTCGTCATTTTTTATCCTATAAGAAATGGGTTTATTTGGCGCATTAGCAGGAGTTGCATCCAGATTTTTGCCCGCAGTGGGAACAATAGCCAGAGGTGTATTTGGAGTTGGAAGGAAGATTTTGAGTACATTAGGTATACTTAAAGAGAAAGCACAACCTATTATACAAACTGTACAGAAAGGTTGGGATGTAGCACGAGATGCAACAAATCTTATTCCAAATCCTGAAACAAGAGGAAAAGTTCAAGGATGGATGGACAATGTAGGAAGACAAGCAGGAAACTATTATAACAAAGCAAATGACTACTATAACCAAGCAGGACACTATATGGACCAAGGTGAAAGATTCTTTAACAGAGGATATAACCATGCACAACAATGGGTAAACAATAACCAACCTCAACCGCCTCAAACGTGGGGAATGTAAAGTTTTTTATTGAGATGAAATGAACAATACAGCATTGAGACAAATGGGTTCAAGATGGATTTGTCGGCTTCCAGCAGTTACACAACGTGTTTGTCAAGTTCTTCCTATACCTCAGGAAGTTTTAGACCGACTTAAAAAACAACAACAACCAGTTGAAAACAAACCAAACTAAAATTTTTTACTGAGATGAAATGACCGAAGAAGTTGAAACGGTAGATTTGACACCACAAACAAAAAGTTCAGAACCATTGTCAAAACCTGTCAAAGAACTTACAGATGAAGAGAAAAATTCAATAATAGAAAGTGCCAGGTCTGGAAATACAAACCCTAACTACAAAGTCACTTTTCATAAAAATGAAACGGCAAGTATCTCAAAAAAGAAACAGACTCTCACAAATAAAATATTGAAGTCTGAAGGAGCTTTCGAGACAACAGATGGAAAAGTTTACTTCACTGACCAACAGTTCATTATAGAACATCTCATTGACTTAGAGTCGAAATATTCTAAACTTTACAACAAACACAAAAAGTTGAAAGGAAAACAAAAACAAATGGCATATGATATTTATGAAGATGTTGACGACACAACTGTTCCTGCAAGTGAAGTAAAGTCAGAGAAACCGAAAAGTGACGAAAAACCGATAGAAGAAGAAAAACCAAAAACTGAAGATAAACCAAAACCAAAGTTTAGTTTCCAAACTAAACCAAGTCAACCTTCATTAGCTGGTATGGGTTGGCGTCAAAGACTTATGGCAGCAGGCGGTTATGTTAAGTAAAGAAAAAATATTTTTTTATTTTTATAAAAATGCCCCCATATAGAATGGATAGAAAATCTGCTAGAATAAAAGCAGAGTTGCAAAGATATGGTTGGAGAGTTTCGAAGAATTTTAAATATAGGAAGGGAAGACACATAAAAGTCTATGACAAATTGTCTGGTCTGACCTACGAAATGGATTTGGAAACAGCACGTGCCAATTATCCAAACAGACTAGAGAGGTTAGAAGAAGAACGTCTTATGGACATGCCTTTCGATGTGTTAAACATTGCATGAAGTAAAAATTTATTTTTAAAAAGTGACATTTTTTAATTTTATTTGAAATGTACGCTGAGTTTGTTGGAGAAGACCGTTGGGAAACTTGTTTGTTAGATGAGAAATATGAAATGGCATACCATTTTAAAACAATATATTTTTACATATATTAAATGCTTCAGGTTGAAAAACAAAGAACAAAAGTAGCAGATACAAAACCGTTAGACTATATCTTTACAAATGCTGGTAGGACTATTTCAGATGAAGAAATTTCATCCGAGTATACAGGTTTGACTATCCAATTCGTTGGCTTCAAAGTCCTTCAGATGCAAAGGCAATAGGATTTAGAAGAGTTTTGTTTTCAAATAGAACTAACGCATTTATGTTCGCAGTATATTTTCATGGGCAGTATAAAGGTTCTGATGGTCTAATAGACAAATTTGACGAAATGAGAATCTTTACAGTTCGTTCAGACGAAAGTCTTGAGAAAACTCTAAATGACTTTCAAACTCAAATGAACAAATATTATTGGGAATTTCAAGAAAATACGACTCTTTACTAAATGGAACATACTATCTGAAACTAGAATATGACAAGATGAACTCCACCGTTTCATTTCAAAAGATTGAAATTAACCCTCCAAGAGATACAGAGTTTTTTATTTTGGAAAGTAGACAAACGTTCTTGGGCACAATTTCTTCGGTTACTAAACCAGAACGAACCATTACCACCAGATGGTCCATTTCAATTTATACTTCCACCAGCAGATTGACAGTTTATAGAAACGTGTTTGACCCTCAAAATGTTATGTGTCATGCAAGTTTCAGTTCAAGCAACAATAGTTTTCTATGTATTGGTAAGGACTTTTATGACTTTGCTTCTAAATTCTACGAACCACCTAGTAACAGTTTCTCTGACTTTCAAGTTTGGTTCACAACAAATGGTGTGCAACATATTATTCCATTGTACTATGACTTTTATCTCGAATTGTCTTTCATATATAACTACGGAAAAGTGCTGAAAAAGTATTGAATGTGAAGATATTAGAAAATAACATTTTTTCTAATATCGTAGAAAACTCATGAAAACAATTTATTTTTGACACTTTCACAAAAAACATAAAAAAGTGCAGTTAAACGTTAAGGTTTACTGAACTGGTTGGATGTCGCCTTCACAGGTTATGTAGAACGGCTGACCCGAGAAGCGAAGGAGAGACTGAATTGCCAATTTCATATGGGGTAGGGGGTTCTCCTTGTTTGGAAGTAGTATCCAAGGACGCTTGGCAAAGAACTTTATAATGGCTTCCTTCTTTGCTTGCTTTATGTCGTCGTAGGCTGTCCCGTCTGGTATTTGAATTGGAATTTCGGTTTCAATTTCGATTTTCAGCGCACCTCTTCCAGACAACCAGCAGCCGAGGGACTTGTTGGCTTTGTCCTTGCCCAAGTACTGCTTAACAACTTCATTTATCTCTATAAGGTAAATTGCCTCATCTAATGGCTCGATGTTGTCCATTGTTCTGTTTCAGAACTAGTCTTGTACTTTTTCAGAACAATACTTGTACTGTTTCAGAACTAGTCTTGTACTGTTTCAGAACAATACTTGTACTTTTTCAGAACAATACTTGTCCTTTTTCAGAACAAATTTCCCGTAAAAGCTCTCAATTTGTGAGAAAAATTTTCTGTTTCAGAACAATACTTGTACTTTTTCAGAACAATACTTGTACTTTTTCAGAACAATACTTGTACTTTTTCAGAACAATACTTGCACTGCTTCAGAACAATACTTGTACTTTTTCAGAACAATACTTGTACTGTTTCAGAACAATACTTGTACTGTTTCAGAACTAGTCTTGTACTGTTTCAGAACAATGTCCGACGTACCACCAACCCAGTCCATTCCCAAACCAGAGGAACCTAAAGCACCAGCCCCTGCACCTCAGTTCCAGCAAGTACCTCCGATTTACTACCAATTTCCACCTCAAGGTTACTACCCACCACAAGGCTTCCCGAACTACCCTCCTCTGCCTATGCCTTACTTCCCCAACCCTTGGATGTTCCAGCAAGCTCCACCCCAGCAATTCCAATCTCAATCCAAATCGAAGAGAGACCAAGAGTTCGAAGAAGGTCTGAACCGTTTACGCAAAGAGTATGCTACAGCTCCAATTGAGAGAAAGTTGTTCCCGGACCAAAAATATAATTTAGGTGAAGAGGTTAGATCTAACACGTTTTCTAACACGTTTTCTAACCTCTTGAATTTTCATGACTTCTTCGTAAATGTTTTGTCATGACTTCTTCGTAAATGTTTTGTCAAGACTTCTTCGTAATGAGTGTAAAGGACCCAAAAATAAAGTTTATGTTAGAATGTTAGATCTAACACGTTTTCTAACACGTTTTCTAACCTCATGAATTTTCATGAATTTCCTTAAGATAGAAAAAATAAAGTTAGTTTTATTTTGTATTTTTTTGTATGTAAGATATGATTTCAGGGATTTTTTTGACGAAGTGTCAATGTTCACTTCGTCAAAAAATAACAGTTATCTAATGAAAAAGTGTCATTTTTTGTATTTTTTTGTATGTTAGATATGATTTCAGGGATTTTTTTGACGAAGTGTCAATGTTCACTTCGTCAAAAAATAACAGTTATCTAATGAAAAAGTGTCATGACTTCTTCGTAAATGTTTTGTCAAGACTTCTTCGTAATGAGTGTAAAGGACCCAAAAATAAAGTTTATGTTAGAATGTTAGATCTAACACGTTTTCTAACACGTTTTCTAACCTCATGAATTTTCATGAAATTTACAGCAAAAATAAAGTTTATGTTAGAATGTTAGATCTAACACGTTTTCTAACACGTTTTCTAACCTCTTGAATTTTCATGACTTCTTCGTAAATGTTTTGTCATGACTTCTTCGTAAATGTTTTGTCAAGACTTCTTCGTAATGAGTGTAAAGGACCCAAAAATAAAGTTTATGTTAGAATGTTAGATCTAACACGTTTTCTAACACGTTTTCTAACCTCATGAATTTTCATGAATTTCCTTAAGATAGAAAAAATAAAGTTAGTTTTATTTTGTATTTTTTTGTATGTAAGATATGATTTCAGGGATTTTTTTGACGAAGTGTCAATGTTCACTTCGTCAAAAAATAACAGTTATCTAATGAAAAAGTGTCATTTTTTGTATTTTTTTGTATGTTAGATATGATTTCAGGGATTTTTTTGACGAAGTGTCAATGTTCACTTCGTCAAAAATAACAGTTATCTAATGAAAAGTGTCATGACTTCTTCGTAAATGTTTTGTCAAGACTTCTTCGTAATGAGTGTAAAGGACCCAAAAATAAAGTTTATGTTAGAATGTTAGATCTAACACGTTTTCTAACACGTTTTCTAACCTCATGAATTTTCATGAAATTTACAGCAAAAATAAAGTTTATGTTAGAATGTTAGATCTAACACGTTTTCTAACACGTTTTCTAACCTCTTGAATTTTCATGACTTCTTCGTAAATGTTTTGTCATGACTTCTTCGTAAATGTTTTGTCATGACTTCTTCGTAAATGTTTTGTCATGACTTCTTCGTAATGAGTGTAAAGGACCCAAAAATAAAGTTTATGTTAGAATGTTAGATCTAACACGTTTTCTAACCTCATGAATTTTCATGAATTTCCTTAAGATAGAAAAAATAAAGTTAGTTTTATTTTGTATTTTTTTGTATGTAAGATATGATTTCAGGGATTTTTTTGACGAAGTGTCAATGTTCACTTCGTCAAAAAATAACAGTTATCTAATGAAAAAGTGTCATTTTTTGTATTTTTTTGTATGTTAGATATGATTTCAGGGATTTTTTTGACGAAGTGTCAATGTTCACTTCGTCAAAAAATAACAGTTATCTAATGAAAAAGTGTCATGACTTCTTCGTAAATGTTTTGTCAAGACTTCTTCGTAATGAGTGTAAAGGACCCAAAAATAAAGTTTATGTTAGAATGTTAGATCTAACACGTTTTCTAACACGTTTTCTAACCTCATGAATTTTCATGAAATTTACAGCAAAAATAAAGTTTATGTTAGAATGTTAGATCTAACACGTTTTCTAACACGTTTTCTAACATGGTCTAAAACTTTCGAAAATCATGAAATTTACACCAAAAATATAATTTATGTTAGAATGTTAGATCTCACCTGTTTTTTCACCTGTTTTTTCTAACCTCTTGAATTTTCATGAATTTTCCCGAAATAAAAAATAAAGTTAGTTTTATTTTTTTTATTTTTTTTATTTTGTATAAAAAAATAAAAATGTCAACAATCGGCACAACAACACTTCAAACAACAGCACCAAACTCTTTAGTCATGAATCCAACATCTATGTTAGTAGAGATGAAAAGCTTCATTCCTTCTTCATATACTTTCGAAACAAAAATCCAGAAGATAAAGCAAGAACTTTTAACAAGTAATTTAGACTGTAGTGCGAAAGATGAAACAAATGAACAGTATCTTTATGAAATGCAGGACATTATTGACCATTTACCCAAATTGCCTGAAATTCAACAACAAAAACTCACTATTCCTGAATTCGATGAAATAGAAGTGAAACCAACTGACTCAGTAGAAATAAAGAAGTTCATACGAAAGGTAAACTATGAGTTTCTAGGATTTCATTGCAACCATAAGGTTATGGACAAAGATTGCGACATGGTATATAAGAATGTTTCTGACATATATAAATCTGAAGAATTTAAGACCTACGACAACTTTGTTTCGTTAGTTGCTGAATGTGTATGGCAGATAAGAGATGAAGATAGAAGAGGTAAAGTATGGAATAAACAGATAAAACCAGCAACTTTTGAGTTAAAGAAAACCATTGACGCTTTAGTTGTTTTAGCAGGTAAGGTTTCAGAATATAACGCAAAAATGAACCCGCAATGTTCTAAATGTAAAGCAGCAATGAGGAGATATAACTACTCCGTCAAAGAGATAGAAAGAATGAGAAACGACTATGCAGACTTAAAGAAAGAAGCAGAAAAACCAGCAGAAGATAAAATGGACATGTTAGAATTTCTGAACAAAAACTATCCAACAGCAGAAGATTTCCTTCTATCTGACGTCAAGAAGAAATATAAAGAAACCTTCGGCATTGTTAAAACATTCGATGTACTAAAAGAAGAAATAGAGGCTACAAAACTGTTTAAAGTCATGAACCATCGCAACATATACCATGTAAAACGCTTGTAAATAGTTATGTGAGAAAACGTGTTAGAAAACGTGTTAGATCTAACATTCTAACATAAAATATATTTTTGCTGAATTCCGTATGAAATTTCATGAGTTTTGTGTGTTTTAGACCATGTTAGAAAACGTGTTAGAAAACGTGTTAGATCTAACATTCTAACATAAAATATATTTTTGGTCATTTACAATGAAGTCTTGACAAAAACTATCCAACAGCAGAAGATTTCCTTCTGTCTGACGTCAAGAAGAAGTATAAAGAAACTTTCGGCATTGTTAAAACATTCGATGTACTAAAAGAAGAAATAGAGGCTACAAAACTGTTTAGGATTTCAAATATACATCGTACAATTCATGTAAAACGCTTGTGAAAAAAGAGGTGAAAAAACAGGTGAGATCGCACCACTTCACCTAAACTTTATTTTTGCTGAAAAATGACCAAATTTCATGAGTTTTCCCGAAATAAAAAATAAAGTTAGTTTTATTTTTATTTATTTTTTTATTTTGTATGTAAGAACAGAAATGACAAACATTGAGTTTGAAACAGTTAGAAAGATAGACAATGACACCAAAGTGGTTAGAATAGGTGATTTAAACGTAAGATACTCAAAGAAATACAACAAATATTCTTTGTCAGACATTATATCTCCATCTGGAAAGAAAAAGGACTGGTTAGAAATGCTTCTACTCAGAAAATTTTGACAAGAAATCCTGAGCTTATGATATCGGTAAAATTCTATGGAACTGCAGCATATCTTATAGACAAAAGTCTTATACCAATAGTTTTGTTATGGTTAGACCCAGTTGTTGGATATAACTTCATAACATATGGTTCATTCGATACGGAACGTTGCAGTGAAGGCTTACTTTACATCGTTCAGAAACCGAAGGACTTCAATACAAAGAGATATAAGATAGGAAGAACATATAATATAACTCAAAGATATGACAGTACAGTCAATAGAGTCAAGGTTGTGTTCGTTAATGATATGAGAGCTGCAGAAACAGAACTGCTTGAAGTTTTTGAGAAAATGTATGGTGCTCCCATAAAAGGTAAAGAAACGTTTGAAGTAGATGAGATAGATAAAGCTATAAAATTATTTGACGAAGTTGCTGAAAAATACATGTAAAGCGTTTATTTTTGGTCTTTTGTGAAAGTCAGAAAATAAAGTTAGTGTCATTTTTTTCATTTTTTTGTATAAAAGATATGATTTCAGGGATTTTTTTGACGAAGTGTCAATGTTCACTTCGTCAAAAAATAACAGTTATCTAATGAAAAAGTGTCATTTTTTGTATTTTTTTGTATAAAAGATATGATTTCAGGGATTTTTTTGACGAAGTGTCAATGTTCACTTCGTCAAAAAATAACAGTTATCTAATGAAAAAGTGTCATTTTTTTCATTTTTTTGTATGTAAGATATGATTTCAGGGATTTTTTTGACGAAGTGTCAACCTTCACTTCGTGTCATAATGTAAAAATAACGTTTACCATGTAAAACGCTTGTGAAAAAAACAGGTTAGAAAGGAGGTTAGATCTAACCTTCTACCCTAAATTATATTTTTGCTGAATTCCGTACGAAAATCATGAAGAACAGCGAGTAGGTAAAAAACCCCAGTCGCCAAAACTCTATGAAAACAGTGAAGAACAGCGAGTAGGTAAAAAAACGTAGTCGCCAAAACTCTATGAAAATCATGAGTTTCCTTAAGACAGAAAAAATAAAGTTAGTTTTATTTTTATTTATTTTTTTATTTTGTATGTAAAGACAGATATGTCAACAACAGAGAACACAACAACTGCTATCGTTCATGAAGCCATAAATGAAGAATACGAGTACATACAGTATAACAAACAACTCCGTCTCATTCGTTCGGTCAAAGACGATATGTACCAGATGCAAAGTATTTTGACAGCATGTTATGCTCCAGATACTAAGCTTCCTAAAGACTGGTTTAGGAACCAAAGCACTATTGAACTTTTGAGCGAAGCACAGCGAGACCGACTTTTTTCTGGGTCGCCAAAACTCTATGAAAATCGTGAAAAATTGCCAAACGGTTTGAGAGGATATTATGTACATAGACTTCTTGTAAATGCTGTTGCAATGTGGGCTTCGCCTCGTTATGCTTGGAATATTTACAGACTTCTTGACGAAATTCATAGACAAGAACGTGAAGAGATGGAAAACAAGCTTGAAGCAAAAGACAAAAGCATTCAGAAAAGAATACCACGTTCGGTACCAAAAGGAAAGGAAAAGAACTATAAGTATATGATTTATACTGAAGAGTTGGAGAAAGAAGAAGACAGAGATATGGTTATGTTGCATTTAGTCAGAAGAAACAACAAAAGCTTTTACGACCTTGCTAAGATTTACAAATCTGACAGAAATTGGTTCTATCGCGAAAACTTACCGATTTCAATGACACCGAATGAAGATGTGAAACAAATAGTTCAAGATACGTTACCTCAAACACACTATGATATGAAAGGTTGTACAATTTTTACCTTCAAAGAAGACTTACCGCTACTGAAAGAAAAAATAACAGAGTATTTTGACAACTTCAAACAAGCAGAGTAAATGAACTCTTTATTTTTCAAGCTTGACTTCAGATGGCTCAAGTAGCTCAATTAGGTAAATTGCCTCGTCAAATCCTTCTGGCATTCCGAGTCCTTCCATCCGACAGGAAAAATTTTTCCTTCCGACAGGAAAAAATTTTCATTCCGACAGGAAGAACTCTTCCATCTGACAGGAAAAAATTTTCCTTCCGACAGGAAGAACTCTTCCATCCGACAGGAAAAAATTTTCCTTCCGACAGGAAAAATTTTTCCATCCGACAGGAAAAATTTTTCCAGTTGTCCGTCCGTAAACCATTCAAATTTTCGAAAATTGAGAACTTTTTGGTCGAACTTCAGAAAAAAATTTTCCATCCGACAGGAAAAATTTTTCCATCCGACAGGAAAAAATTTTCCTTCCGACAGGAAGAACTCTTCCATCCGACAGGAAAAATTTTTCCTTCCGACAGGACACAAACGGATGACTGACGTTCCTCTTCCTGAATGCCTTCCAAAGCCAGAAGAACCGACAGCCCCAGCACCACAACAGACTTACTTACTAAGACTAAACACTTAGATTTTTCAAGCTTGACTTTTTACAATTTGAACTTTGTTCGCATAGATATGAATTCTGAAAGAAGTATGAGGGTCTTGTATGACTTTGTACTTCTCCCATAGTTCATATCTGTCAAACTTACCTGCCATGGACTCTTTCATAAGTTCCATGAAATCGTCTTCGGACAATCCGGGGAAAAGTACAATGTCAGTAAGTATTCTCTTTACATCCTTACTTAAACTCTTTGCTGTCTGTACACAAATGACAACTGAGATGTTAAAGTGTCTGAGCTTCTTAAGAATTCGACACATATCTTGTTCTCTATTCTTAAGCAAAGGATGAGAAGCAAAGTCATCTAAGATAAGAAGACATCTATGAGGGTAAGTCTTCCAATCGTAAGATTGCAATTTCTTCGAAATGTATTCTATCTCTTTCTGTTTGTTTCTGAAGTGGTGTTTGTCTAATATTCTCTGCATTTCCTCATTTGGGTCTTTAAACTTAGAATTTATATACTCATTTATAGCATTATACTTCAAAACTCTTCTTTGGTACTTCTTTATCCAATCTAACAACTCAGAGTCTTTTATACATACTAACTTAGACTTCTTTAATATCTTTGAACGAATTGACGGTTTGGTCAAATTGACCAGAAGTACTACAAATGACAACTAACTCATAGAATGGGTTCTTCTCATCTAGTTCTTGTTGTTGTGCAGCCATTTTAAGATAAGTGAAAGTCTTACCCGACCCAGGTGGTGCAATTAGACCTGTTATACCATTCTGAGCAAATAAGAACTTGTCATGTATAGGCTTTATCTGAGCATTTTCTAACTTCCTCTTGTTCTTGTTTAAAACATTCTCAAATTTCTTGTCAATGTCAGCAAACTTTTTTTCTAACATATTTTTAGAAAAATTAAAATTTTTATCTTTTAGAAAATGTCTAGCGATTTCGCTATCTATATTCGAGACAAGCTTTTCGACAGCAAAACATCTGTCGACCATAAAATCTTACATAGTGTAAACAAGAAAGGGGAATTTGTTCTAAAGTTCTGTTTCTGGGAATATGACAAGAACCATAAAACATTAAGCAGAGAAGTCTTAAAATTTGTCAATGACAGACTTGTTGACAGAGATGACGCCTCTTGGAGAGATGAAGTCCAACAAAACTTCTTAGAATGCAAAGAAGACACATGCGCTGTTCTTGAAGATGAAATAGAAAACAGAATAGATGAGCTATTAAAGGACAAAGAACTTTTACATAAATATGGTTCGGAGAAATTTGACATAACTCCACCAGAAAAGAAGAAGAAAGAAAAGAAAGAAAAGAAAGTAGAAGAAGAGAAGAAAGAACCTGAACCAGTTCCAGAGAAAAAGAAATTTGACATGTAAAAATAAAATTTTATTTTTAGAACATTTCTGGTCAATGTCAATGTTCTCTTCCTCTTTAGGAGTAAACACTGGCTTAGACTCTAAAATCTTTTTACCCAATTTACCTTGAACTTCTACAACTTTAGACTCATAATATTCATAGTCGTCTGCTTTCTTTGGTTCATAAGGTATAACAAGTTTGTATGCTTTGCCTTCTTTAAGGTTTGAGAACCTTCTGTCAAAACTTTCTTTGACTGCTAACAAACCTTCTATGTCTAAGTCTTCAAATTTCGCACCATTTTTAGTCACAATAGCAAACTTAACTGGTTCGATGTTCCAAACTTTGCTGAATGAAGACTTTTCAAAATGGTAGAAGTAAACATTCAAATATGTGAATGGGTCTAGTTCTTCTTTAAGTCCTGACATGTACTTATTTACTGAGATGAATTTTGCCATCTTTTCTATCGGATAAAAAAATATTTTTTTTAAATTTACTCATAAAAAATTTTCTTTGTATATACACCATTCTGTACGTCTAAAAGACTTTTGACATTTGCCAAGAATGTTCGTTTAGACGCTGTCATATAACCATATTCTTGACAATATTGTTTATACGAATCGTACAATGACCTTTCATCTAAACACTCAAAGTCAGTTTCATCTATGAACAGTTCATATACACTCTTGTTTGCTTCTAACAATGTTTGTCTCTCTTCGGTATGTGGAATTTGTCTTGGATTGAACTTTGAAATATCTAATGTCATAAAATATGAGAACAAGTGGTTGTAAAAGTCAGATGTCAAAGTTTCTGCTAAGTCGTCAAAATATTCTGTATCTTGCATATGAGAATCTGACGTTCTGACAACTACATATCTTCTGTCAGAACTTTCTAACTTCATCGGAACAGAATTGTTTGAAACCATAATGAAGTTTGCAACATTTTCACAAACTCTTTGGTCTTTATATTTTCTTTCAACAACTCCAACTTTGTCTGTTATAAGACTCTTCAAAGCATCTGAGTTCAAAACTTTTGTTGTATCTATACTTTGAAGTTCATTGCAAACTATAAGTTTCATATTCTCTATTGAGGAGTTAAACTTGCCACAGATGTTTTCTAAGTTTGTCATATTCGGGTTCGAATAGCCTTCTAACAGTTTGCACAAAATATCTGTAAAGAATGTGTTCTTACCAGTTCCTTGTTTTCCAATTATAATGAGAGCAGTTTCATTTTTAGCACTTGGATGTTGTAAGATGTTTGCAAACCAACATAAGATATACTCATAGACTCTTTCGTTTCCATTGCATATAATTTCTTTGACATGGTCTAACCAAGCTTCTATAATATTTCTTTCCATTCTACTTGTTCATATTTATATCCAGTGAAGATAGAATAGAAGTTTGGAGAAGGTGTATAGAACTTTATACCTCGAACTGAAAAATCTTCTAACTTTGACAATAAGATATCCCAAACATCTAACATCTTCATGCCAACTTGTACGACTTTTATTTTCTTAAGTTTCTGTCTACATTCTTGCTCAGACACTATTGTTGCTCTTGGTTTGTTAAAGACAACATCCCATTCTTTCATGACATAACATTCTGGGGCAGAGTCAACATAAATGACTAAACGTTTCAAATTCTCGACTGCTTTGTTATAGTCTCTAAATGGACACATATTTCTGAATGCTTGGAAGTCATAAAAATCTGAAACATCTATTCTGTACATTTTTATAAAATAAAAAAAATATTTTTTTATTCTTGACTTTGTTGTTGCATTTGTTGCATTTGTTGTTCTTGAGCTATTTGTTGTTGAAGTTGTTCTTGTAATACAATACTTTCACCAGTTGCATCTTCCAATTCGAAACTTTCTGCCGTCATTGACAAATACATAGGACATAAAAGTTTTACAGGAACAAAGTTTGCGTCAACTAATGTCAACGTTATACTTGCCAAAGTGTTTGAGTTCACTAAGGTTGAAAAATTCTGCATTCGAATGAACAATAGGCAAACCAGCAGAGAAAGTATTGTTTATACGCATAAGTATCTTTTGGTCATAATAGTTTCTGTCGACATTCGAATAACACTTTGAACCTAAGTTTGAAACAATATATAAGATTGGTGTGCTTAATGTCAATGGAATAGACATTCCTTGTATGACACCTTTTCCTGTTATAGGAAACTGTTGGTAGTAAAAACCAGAAATAAGTTTTGTATTATAGCTCATATCGTTTATAGTAAACTCAGTCGGACATCCAAACATAATGAAACCTGCTCTAGTTGCAGCACATGTTACACCCGTACTTAAAGTATTAAATAAGTCAACAAAACCTGTTGGTGGTATATCTGAGTAAGTATCTTCAAAGGAGTATTTTTTACCATTCACAACAATAAAGTCTTCTGGTGTCAAAAGAGCAAAACAGGCTTTAGTCGTCATTGTGTTTAAAGTTAGTTTACAATACCGTCCTTGAGGACTTTGTAAGTTTGTTGTTATAGAATTATATGACTCAGGGTTTTTAGTCGTAATAGTATAAACCATTATGTCTTCTGCCATTTATATATATTTAAAAGTTTTTCTGAAAGTGGAGAAGAACTTCATCTAAACTTTCACATGGCGTTTCTTGAAGTTCTCTGTCTAAGAAGTTCAAATATTTTGTAAAGACATAGAACTTTCCTTTGTCTACACGAACAAACAAAACAGGGACTTTCATATCGTTCAAAGTGTGTAAAGTCCTTTACAATGAAATAAAGTCTATATTATTTTTCTTCAAACATCTTTCAAGAAGTTTTGACATTTTTTACTTAGCAAATAAATTTTAATGAAATGTTGTGGTCGTCAAATATTTTTATGACGTCTGGGAAACTATACTTTAAGTTCAACGTTTCACCTCCTTTCATAACGTATATCTTGTCAATGACATTATATGAAACACCACAGCAACTAATGTCGGGTTCTATTTCTTTGATGTTTATATCGTCTGCCTCTGTCAAAAGTTTCAATAGTTCTTTCAAAACTTCATGAGGTGCAATGACATATGAGTTCACTTTTACAGGGTTTGTGTTCGACCAAGTTTAACATTATACTTAAGCTTGACAAATCTTCTCCTGAGTTTGAAGTTTGTCTTTCAGTTGTTGGTAGTCGTTTCGAATATCTGCAACAGAACTTAAGTCTCTGCTAACTTCAGGATATGTTGGTTCTTTTACAGGAACAATTGTTATACCATCTTCGTCCTCGTATGGTTTCCACTTCAACATCTCTGTCTTTGACATTGACAACAACACTTTGATTGTTTGTTTGAGTTGGTGAATTTAACTTCACATCTGCCACCGCCATTAAACCTTTTGAAACACTCACGCTTCTATTTTTCGGAAATGACATTTTACTTAGAATAAAAGATGGACGTATTCGAGTATCTCTTCGAATTGAAGCAGAACAAAGTTTACACACACAAACAATACAAATACATTGACAGAATAGTTCTTTATCAAACAATGGTAAATGTTATAGAATAGCAATATTTGCTGAACCAAAATATTTCCATAAAGCAAAGAAAGTTGGTATAAACTGAAATGGTGAAAGTTCTTGACGTTGACAAAAATATAACAACAAAACTTACAGATATTTCTAAAGGTAAGTTTATCTTACAATATTATGTCAAAACTGGCGTACTGTCAATATTTGACGGAGAGAAGTCAGTTCAAGAACAACTTACTGACCTGCTGCCAAAATCTGCTCGATGGAAGCTGTCGTTATGCCAATCTGAGGAGCCCCAGCAGTTTCATCGAACGAATCTTCAAAAGAGCATCTTCCGTGAAAAAGTGCTATTGGTTTGTAAACTCTTTGCTCTCAGTTCATCTGGACCGTCTCTGTCACCAGTATATTGTATTTGTACAGTACCAACAGTTGAAAATACCACCCATAAAGTCTTCTGAGTCAGCAAATGGAATGCCAAGCCAAAAAGTTTGAACGGTCTCCATTTGTATATTGAGTTTTTTGACCTCTCTGTATGAGTCCATACTTTCACATATGGCATAATAGAACTTTGCATTTCAGGGTTAATGGTTGTTGTGAAGTTGTTGTTAAAGTTCATAGCATCTAATGTCAAGTTGTATGACGCTCATATCCTTCAACTGTAGAATATTCTTCTCTTGGATAATATTTGCCATCTATGTTTATATGATATTTAATACCGGGGTTGTAGAAACAAGAATAGTCATTTATAGTTCGTCTGAACAGTACAAACATAGTATCTGCATGTTTCATTGCAGTTGTTAAAGCAATATCTGTTCTTGCACCTGGGTCAGCACTTTGGTTTCCAACTTCACCTGCAAAGTCTTTGACAGATATTGGTGTATAGGGAACATAAGTGGAACTGCAATATATTTGGCAGCTAAAGCATTTGAAATATCTGGGTCCAACATATAGACTGCAAGTCTGCTTTCTATTCTCTTGCATTCAAACTTTTCGCATGTGAACTTAACTGGGTCCCAAGCAGTTCCAGCAGCATTGAAATAATAGTTTACTTCATTGTTGAAGTTTGAGAAACCAAAGTCTAAGTCAACTTTGTCTTTGCAAAAATTCGGCGAATGATGTTTGATTTGTTCCCTTTACGTCTGTAATAGTGAATGGGTCTTGTGTTGGTGCAATGACTAAGTTATTTTTGCTTGGAGTAAGTTCGATAGAAATTTTTTCCTGCCCAGTTTGGCAAGTATCTTAAAAACCTGAAGATGAGGAAAGATGACAAAGGAACTCTAAGTTTCAGTTTTACTTTGGTTACTGCTGCTGCAGTTTGTCCAGAAAGGTTAACATAAACTCCTGGAACGTTAGGGTCAAGTCTTCTTATTTTCTCAATATTTGCATACTGGTCTGTTTGTTCTCTAGCTTGTGGTTGTACTGAGTTTCTCAAAGCGAACCATTCATAGTTTGCCCATGTTACTGTTTGAACTAAGTCAGAGTTAGAATATATCTTATATCCCATGAAAACTTCTGGAGCATATTGGTATCCGACATAGAAAATTCCATTGCAACTTTTTGTCAGACAACTTGGCAGAAGGTTTTATTTCAATGTCTTGTTCCACGTATAAGAATGAGTTGTCAATAGAAATAATATGAAACCTGTCGCAAGCAATATCTACTGTTGTTGAAGAACCTTCTCCAAACTCACCTACGTTTCCATAAGAAACAGCAGTTGTATATTCGTAAGTTCCAGGAACTATTTCTGACCTTCTAATGGCATTGTCGCATTCGTATACCATTCGGAAAACATTTCCGTTCATGGCATCCAAAACTGTTGGCGTATATTCTGAGCGGCGTACATTTCATATGGGTAAAAATATAGAATAGTTGGATTTATATATCATAATAGAACCCACTCGGACCAAGCTTTACTTTCTTCCTGACTGATTTTTTAACTCTTCTTTTTCCTTCATTGCCACTACTTTCACTAGATGAAGTTACTTCTTCACTATTTTCACTTTGTTCTACTCTTCTCTTCTTCTTTGGTGTCGCTTTTGGTAACTTGCCCTCTGCTTCAAGTTGTAGCATCTTTGCCTCATGTTCACCTAGTATGTTGTAAATTTCCATGTCCTTTTTGCCTTTGGGCTCTGGTCGCCCATCTCAGGTACCTATATCCTAGAAAGATTTTGTCATAGTTTGTATTTGAGTCTTCGCGTATTGTTTGCATGACTCTTTCCTGAGTTTCCGGTTCAAGCTCTTCAAACAGAGCTTGTCCATATGGAATAAGCTCGTTTCCAAATATATGTTTTTGTAGCCATTCTGGTTTTCTTTCCATTTACCAATAATATCTTTTGTGAATGGGAAAGCTTTTACCCAATGTTTCAGTCTTGCGTCATTTATTTCTGTAGTTGGTTTTATTTTGTCAAGGAACATGTTTTTCAATACTAACATTTCATTTGGTACTGTCCATTTGAGTTTTCTTAAATATTCATCCCTTCTCAGTTCATTGTCTGCAAAGTAAGTTTTTATGACATTTTGTAAACTTTCGTTTGCAAGGTCATGTACAATAGGTTCTCTTCCTTCTATCTCCCTAACTTTCTTTCTAAACTCTTCACCAAATATACCATCTCTATGGTTCTGTGTAGTTCTTTGAGATAAATGTTCTAGAACGTCAGGTGTTATATTTCCATCAGCCATGTTCATTTCATACTGGTCCAAAATATCTGCATGTTTCATATCTTTCAATGGCATTAAAGCCGCGCTGAAAATACCAGCTATATCTGGTTCACATTCACTTCCATTGCGTCTACAACTTCTTGGAATTGTGGTTGTAAGTTTATGAACCACCTATCCGGATTAGCTTTATGACCCCATCTCATTGTAGTTCCATAGTCTGCAGAAACAAAAGTAGGTTTGTTTCCATATTGGTTAGGTTCTGAATGAACTTTAAACAATGTTTCATTTCTATATGTTTTGTTGAAATTAAACCTTTTATTTTCACGAGTTCAGCCAAAGATTGAACGTTATATGGTCGTAAGTAAAAAGGATTGTTGTATTTGCGTACATTTTCTTTCAGTACTTCCATTCTATGCTGAATATTTTCATCTGATGTTGGAGTCTTTTGTATGTCGGCGAACATTTTTCGATATTCTTCTATTATGTCAGCCGAATTTTTCTTAGACTCTTGGAAAGATTCCATATTCTCCGCATACTCTTGTTGAGGGTCAAGATTTTTCGGCTGTTCCAAATCTTCATCTAGTTCTGTGAAGTTAGTTTCCAAAGGAGGGACTTGTTCGTTTCCTTCAGGCTCTTCTAGCTGTTGTTGCTGAACTATTTCTTCCATGTCTGGTTGTATCTGAACTTCTTCCTGTGGAGTTTCTTGTACCTCATCTGCTGGCATTTCATATATTCCGAGACCGTTTTTAACAAGTTCCCTATTTAAGCCATCCGCATTCATAACCCTTTCTTCTTTCGTTCCGTCTCTATTTTTTACGCGTTTCATGAAGATAGTTGAATTATCATTTATCTCTGACACCAAATATCTCGGAGTAAATTCATCCATGTCATTTGGATGATATGCTATTAAATCATATCCCTTAGCGAGCTTGTATTTTCCAGGTTTGAAATTATATCCCATTTGGTGCTGAACCATAAAGCTAAATAGGTTCGGGTCAGTATTTCCTTCCTTGAACTTTCTAATAGCTTCTTTATATCTGTCACTAAAGTCAAGAGTATCTGGGTAACCATAATTTTCCTTAAGCATTTTTAAGAATTCTTGGTTTCCTTGTTCTCTACTTCTTTTATGTCCTTGCTCTGTTTGTGGTTGTTGCTGTGCAGTGTTTTGAACTGTTGGTTGTGGTGCAGTGTTTTGAACTGTTGGTTGTGGTGCAGTGTTTTGAACTGTTGGTTGTGGTGCAGTGTTTTCAACTGTTGGTTGTGGTGCAGTGTTTTGAACTGTTGGTTGTTGTGTTGGTTGTTGTGTTGGTTTTGGTGCATGCCTGTGTCTGTGTCCATGTGACGATGTAAATGTTTTAGGTAGTCCTGGTGCAGGTGCTTCTCTTGGAGGGTTTGGTGGTATATAAGTTCCACCAGCTGGCACATATGTTCCATCTGCAGCATAATGTCCTACCTGACTTTTCGTTTTTAAGAAAGCATTTACTAGGTCTGTTTTGGTCTGTTGTAACTCTTTTTCTTGACTTTCCACAACAGTTGCTCTAACGGCGTCATAGGCACTTTGAACTGCCTGTCTCGTTGCTGCATCTGTTATTTTCGTCATATTTTGTGCTACTTCTCTTAACTCGTTGTCGAAACCTTCAGACTTCAGTTTCTTTCCAGATGAGAAGTCGTTCACTAGTTTCACCTTACTATGAAGAGCTTCGAAGGCGTTCTTAAAGTCAGCATTCATTAAAGCTTCATTTGAACTGTCTTCATCCGCTTGTATTTTTGTCCTTATTGACCCTATAAGTTGGGCTGCTTTAGCGTTGGCTTGGGCATCTAACCAGTCATTATTAGCTTTTATATATTCTGCGCTTTTCATTGCCTTTTGCATGGCTGCGTCGTTATTTTTACTTTCTTGTGCTAAGTTTTCATACTGTACGGTTTGGTTTTGCAACTGTAAAAGTTTTTCTGCCTTTACATTTGCTTCAACTTCTTTTTTATACTCATCGCTATCCATATATGTCTTCAGGGCTTTTTGTTTTATTTCTTCATCTTTCAGTACTTTATATTGAGTAGTATGGTTTTTCAAATTTATAACATCTTGTTCCATTTTTGCTACTTCTGCTGCTTTTTCTGACACTTTTTTCGCATATTCCTCTGTACTTAGTTCTTTCAGTTGTTCTTCTTTCTTCTTTTTCTCTACGTTTAACTCATTGAGTTTCTTTGTGTGTCTGTCATATTCTAGTTTCTTTTCGTTTTCACTTATTTGTTTCTGTATGTCTATGTTTGACTTTTTGACATCTGTTATTTGATTTTTGAGTGAACTCAAATTCATTTGACTTTGAGGGTTATAAGCTGTTCCGTCTGCAGCTCCACCATAGCCTGCCATTTTCGCTAAAAGTGCCGCTCTTAAACCTCCACTCTGTGCACCAATAACTCGGTTTAAAAGCATAGGGTTGCTTGACATTTGTTGCAACATAGTGGGGTCATTCATAATTTGTTGTTGCAACTGTTGTTGTGGTGTCAGTTTTACTATTGGATGTTTCAATGCTCCCTTCCTCTTACGTATATTCTTACGTAGCTTACGTGGCATTTTAAGTGAAGTAAAAAACGGTTTTTGACAGATGTTTATATGACACTTTTTGTTCAGCACAAAAAACTACTCGGTCAAAGTGTTGTCAGTTTTGTAAAATAACCGTCCGATCTCATTCTATAAGGGGAAAAGGCTTCTCAAAGTATACTTCCTTGGAACGCCCGTAACTTTTCCTGTAGCGACGATAGACCCTTACTTGTCCGGACAAAGTTATACTAAACATCTTCAGGGCTAGAGGGCACGAAGTGCCTGGAGGCCCCACTACCTTTTTTTTTTTTTTTTTTTTTTTTTTGATTTGATTAATATTTTGATATCCAAATTGAATTATTCATCGTTTTCATTTTTTTCTCAATTTTTTTATTCGCAAACAATCATCTGTTCTGAATAGAATTTTCCAATAATTTATTTCGCTCATGGAGGCAGTACATAATTGATTTAATTTTGAAAGAAATTCCTCAGATTAAAATGACATCGTTAGAAATGAGTTCACGTTATTTTGGCACTTTTCGATAGAGAACTTCAATTTAAATTTCTTATTTATGATATTGTAAGTATGGAAATCATAAAAATTATTAGCGGATTACGCTCTCAAATTTTTGATATAAATTGAATTAACTTTTCTTGAAAACCAAAACATTAAATTATACAATATATTTAGAATATAATGTCCGAAATTTTGATTTCAAAGCTGCGACGATAATTTCATCGTTTCTCTGGCCCTTCACATTTAAAAAAACTATCCCAAATGTCCGAATTGCGCGTTAACCTTGAGAAGATCAAAGAGGCAAAGGAACGTATTCGCCCATATGCTGTTGAAACACCATGCAACTTCGTTCCAAACCTTTCAAAGATCACAGATTGCCAGCTTTATTTCAAGCTCGAGACTCTCCAGAGATGCCGCGCATTCAAGTTCCGTGGAGCTCTTTCTAAAATCTCCACACTTCCAAAGGGCTCAACCATTGTTTGCGCCTCTGCCGGTAACCATTCACAAGGCTGCGCTCTTTCTGCCCAGATTTGCGGTATGAAGTGCATTGTTTACATGCCAATCACAGCCCCAATCACCAAGGTTGATGCTACAAGAGGTTATGGCGCTGAAGTCAGACAATATGGCTTCTCCTTCGATGAAGCTAACAAGAAGTGCGCCGAGGATCTTGCTGCCAACCCAGACTGGATCTTTGTTCCACCATTCGACTCAGATGAAGTCATTGCCGGCCAAGGTACAATTGGTCTCGAAATTGCTCAGCAAGTTCCAGACGTTGACACCGTTGTCGTTGCTGTTGGTGGTGGTGGTCTTGCAGCTGGTACAGCTGTTGCCATCAAGGCTCTCTGCCCAAAGGCCAGAGTCATTGCCGTTAACGCCGCTGTTCGTCCAGCCTCCTACCTCAAGTACAAGAACTTCAAGGGACAGGAAATCGACCAAAATACAACAACAAAGTTCATTGGTAACCCACTTGCCGATGGCATTGCTGTCATCAACCCAGGTAAGGTCACATTCCCATACATCGAGCAGCTTGTCGATGATTTCGTCGTTGTTACAGAAGATGAAATCTCAACAGCCATTGCTTACCTTGCTGAACGTACAAAGATGATCTGCGAAGGTGCTGGTGCTTCACCATTCGCCGCAGTTCTCTTCAAGAAGTTCGAATACCGCCCAGATGAGAAGATCGTCTGCGTACTCTCTGGTGGTAACATCGAACTTCCAATGCTCGCTCGCTGCATTGACAGAGCTCTCTTCCTTCAACAGCGCCGTGTTAACTTCACAATCTCCCTCCCAGTTGCTTGCGGCCAGTTCATCAAGATGCTCCAGATTCTTCAGCAATTCAAGTTCGAAGTCGTAGGAACATTCGCCCTTCCAAATGCAAACTGCCTTGCTAACCACATCAGATACTGCGTTACGGTTGATATACCGAATCCAGCATTGATGGAGGATGTTAAAGCTGAATTCGAAAAGAACGGATGGACAATCAATATCACTGAAACACATCCTCAAGATCAGTAAAATTTTACGTCTCTTTTTGCAATAATTTCATATATTTACTAATTTTTTTTAATTCATTCTAAAAGCAATTTTGATTTGAGTTTGGTCGAAACTCACTACAGTTTTTTGTATTTTGATTAGGGTTTCTGAATATTTTTATAGAAATTTGTATTTTATATTCTAAATTTTGGAGAAGTTGAGTTGTAAAACTAGAGATTTAATAATAACTAGTCAAAGTAATATAAAGTAACAGTAACATTTTTAGGTAAAGAGTTAATAATAAAAATATTAACGAGGTAAATCTTCTTCATCATGTCTTCTGATGATCTTCTTAACATTGATAAGCATCATTCTAACAAATCCACCAAAGCATATATATATACCAGCAAGATCTGCAATTGTTCCAATAAGACCTTTGTTAAATAGAATAAATATAAGGCCAATTGCAAAGCAAATTGTTCCTGGTAGTCTCTGCTTCTGTGTAAACAGTTTTTGGAATTTTTCTAAGCCTAAAATTACAATCAATCCTGCGAAAAATAGAATATTGGATAAAATTAGCATACCTCTATGAAATTTTGCTACTACTCCGATTGCAAATGCAACACCGCCGAGCCCTGTGAGGATCGAGCCAAGTTGTTTTTGCTGATCTTCTGACATCTAAATCTGACACTTTTCCAAAAAAAATTCATTTTATAAAAAATAATTTGAAAAATACTGGAAAATATTTTCAAAAAATGGAATTTGAAAAAAATTTGGAAGAATCACATATTTTTTAGTACGGTAGATATACTACAATTTTAAATCAAATCTCAACTCTATACTCAAAATTTGGAAATTATATGTTCTTCATAAAAATTTCATCTGGATTTTCTGTTTTAATGTGTAAATTCATTGTATTGATTTGCTTTCATCATATACTACTCGGGCTATCATCATTTAGCTCATACATTTGCCTCAATTTCTATGACAGACAAAGATTTATCTTCTTATGCTATATATTGGGTCTCATTTAAAGCCAAATTTTACACTATGGAAGATGTTACTTCTATTTAGTTAGTATTTTCATGAATTCTTATTCGGGGCATTTTTTCGTCACTTTTATAAATTTATGCTTACTGTTTCATCAGATACCACCCTTTTCGGTGACTTCCCACAAGAGCCAATCGAGAGAGTTGACAATAATAAAGAAAAATATTCTAAAAAGTATAAATTAGTTCCTAAAGTTGTCGAAGTTAAAGAAAATAAAGATACAAATACAAAGCAAAATCAAAAATCAGAACCACAGAAAGCAAAGATTAATCCAAACGATCGCCCAACAGAACACAAAGCAATTCTAAAAGGTACTCATGGTCATAAATTATTTGCAATGCTCAACAGCATCAAGATAACACCAAAAGCACCTCAACCGGAAATAGAAAACGTCGAACCAAAAGGAAATGTTGCTAAAAGAAAACTTACTATGTCTAAATGAACTTTTAGACATTTATAACCATTCTATTATTTATTTGTATGTTTAGAAATTAACTAGAGTAAAATATAGAGTTTATTATTTACTATTTTTAATTTATATTAGCTTTTTTTAATATTTTTGAATTAAAAAGAATAGAAACAGATATCAAATTCTACAAACAAACACTTTATGAACCAACAATATTAGTTCCTAATTTGAAACTTAACACAAGAAATCTTAGACTTCAACAGACTCTTTGTCCTGTTGATCGATTTCATTCATCATCTTCCAAAGTTCTCTGTTAAAAGCATCTAATTGGCTTCTTACATCATCAATTTGATAACGATAATTTGCCAATTCTTTTTTATGCTTTTCTTTGGCCATTCTGAGCTTCTTCTTTGCATTTTGAATCTGCTCACTAATATTTTTCGCTTCAGCTGCAGTCTTATTATCTATTTCATATATAGCATCTTTTTTCTTTTGCATTTCTTGGATTGCCTGCTGTAAATTATTCATATCTTCTCTTCTTCTTGCAATTTGATCTTGAAGCATATCTACTTGTTTCTTTTTGCTTGCATTTTCTCCATATTTTTGGAAATCTGGCATATTCGTAAATAATAAGTTGTAGAACTCGTTGAATGAATCTAATTCTTGCTGAACTTTAGCTTTTTCATCTTCTAATGATTTAGATGTCCTTAGTGCAAGTTCTAAGTTTGATTGCTCTTTTTCTAGTCTTTGACGTTCTTCATCAGGCTTAACATTAAGAATATCATCTAAAGATTTAATAGCATTTGTCAATCTCTCTATTTCATCATTATTTTCTTGGATTTGATTCTTTTTTGATTGTAATTCAATATTTTGACGATCAATCTTTTGTTGTAATGCTTCATTCTTCTTTTGTTGCTTATCGATTGCAGTAATTAGCGATTCATACTTATTATCAATATCCTCAGCGTCCATTTCTGTTAATAATTGTTGTTTTCTTTGTTCTTCTTCAAGTGTTTGTTTCCATTTAATTTCAATTTGATTTAATTCATCTGTAACAATTGCCATCCTTTCACGTGCAGCATTTTGTTCTGCTTTGATGTATGATTCATTAAATCTTCCAAGATTAATGATGTTTGAAAAGAATTTTGTTAAAAATTTCTCATCATGGTAGTTTTTGATTCCGAAAGAGTTAAGGTTAAGTTCATTTGTTAGATGTTTTAGTAAAAGACTCTTATTCAAGAAATCTATACCTTGTGCAAAGGTATCTGGTATAGGTTCAGGTCTTAATGCGAATTTTGGTAATTTGTATGCGTGCTCTGGGTATTCTACTAACATTTGGACAAATTTAAATACGAGGTCGAGCATTTGAGTAAATTTTGTTTGTCCGTTGAAGATTATATCAGCATTGGCTATTCCAAGTCCTTTGCTAATATCAATAATCTTCTGTTTTGAAAGATTCAGCGTGGTTGACATTTATATGGAAATTATTAAACGTTCACTTTTCAAAATCTTCTATTTACATGTCAAAAATTTCTATAAAAAAACTTTTTTTTATCAAATTTTAGTATGGTAGGCAGATGAGTCAAACTCAAGAATTGATTCTTGATCCTTCCATTATACCAACAGAATTATCCGAATTACATTCAATAGAAGAGGATTTGGTGCATTTGGACACTGAAAATATCGAACAAATTTTTGATAATTTGAAAAATTTAGACAATGATATGATTAATTATGTAAAATCCTGTATTCTACACCTTTCAACACAATTCCGCTTGAAGTGGGGCGTGTTCTCTGAAATATCAAAGAAATTACAAATTAATTACTTTGGCGATTCGCGATATCCGTTTTCAAAATACATGTCATCTATACAGAAAAATGAAGATGTACGAGCATACGATGAAGTATTGAGCGAAGATTCACCAATTTCTGCAATAATTAATAATGATTTTTCAAAATTAGTAGAATTTTCAGTAGATCCCAAATTCTCTGAAGCTGAAGTCATGAATGTTATAAGTTTGCCTAATCTAAACTTGCTCGATCTCTCGGCATATGTAGGAAATTTAGAGATTTATCAATATCTCAAATTAAATGGAATGGAACCCACAACTAACACAATGGAGAACGCGATCATTGGCGGTAACTTAGAAATTTGCCAAATTTGCCATGATCAAATTAAAACTGTTACTGAAGCCCAAATTATTGCAGCTATTAAATGCCATAGGTACGAAATCCTGCAATGGTTCATAGACGAGTTTACTCCAAATGTTGTTTACCTTTCTCTCTCAATAAATTCATATTCCACTTTATTATTTAGCTATTTCATCCAGAAGAATGGAGGAGTGAATAGCTACATTGCAACAAACCTGCTTATTGATGCATATAACACAAATAATACTTCTTTACTCTCTTATTTAATTAAAAATGGAGCAGATGTCAATAGAAAGTTCGGAAGCGAGGAAGAAACTTTGCTGATTCGCGCTACAAGAGATAATAAGTCTTTTGTAAAGCTTCTTATTGATTCTGGAGCGAATACAGAGATTACAAATCCAAATGGCCTTACACCTTTGCTAATAACTGCAATGACAGGAAATATTGAAATTGCACGCATTCTAATCGAAGGTGGAGCAAATTCAAACGTTACTAACTCTTCTGGACAAAATTTAATCCAAATTGCAGAAAATTTCGGGAATACGGAATATGTCCAGCAGTTCAAAAAGCAGCAAGAATATCAGATATGTAATATTGCTTAATTTATTGTTTATTTGTTTATTAAAATCCTTTTAATTTTCGTGTTTTTTAAAATTATCAATGTATCTTTTTAATAGCTTAAGGGATAGTGATTTAAATGAAATAATTCATAATAAAACTTGATAATTAAAAGAATTTCCTTTAAATTGAGAAAAAAATTGGTAAATTTTCCTTTATTTATGAAGAATAGTTAGTAAATTAGGGAAAATATCATGGTAAATGAATCAAACAAATAAACTAAAGCTTTATAAGCAAATAATAAACAAAATAATTACGTAAATATATTAAGAGATGAAACAGGAGTGTTTGAAGACCTGAAAGAAGACCTAATTGAAGGAGTTCCTCTTGGTCTTGGCTGTGGTTTGTAAAGTGGCGTTGGAGCAGGCGGTTTTTCTCTCTTTGGCGATTGTATTGGTTTTCTACATTCAGTTAAGTTCTTAAACGGCTTCTTCTGCTTTTGGAGATCGTATTCTATCCTTTTCAGTTCCTTTTTCAGGCGATTTCTTTCTTCAAGTTGCTCATCAATCGTTTGGGAGTATTTCTGCTTAAGATTATCAAGCTTATCGATATGTTTTGAGGCATCTCCAATAGTTGTTTTGGATTTCTGGTCAGATCGAGAATTATCTAACGCAATTTTCAAAGAAATGGCTTCATTTTCACGTTGTAATTTTCTATACATCAATAATGCAATTCCTATTTTATCTCTGACATGGCCAAGCTGTTCTACCGCAAATAATCTGTTTGCTTCTTCTTTCTCCAAAACGGAGATTTCTTCGCTCTTCTGACGACAATCAGTTAAAATTATATCTTTCTTCTGTTGCAAATCATCAGTTTTCTTAGTAAGAAGTTCAATTTGATTTGCAATTTCGGCATTTTGCTGTTTAACCTTGTTAATTTCGTTTTCCATTGGTTTAAGAATCGCTACACCTTCTTCGAGAGTCTTAATTGAAGAGTTTTTGTCCTCAATTTCGGCTTTCTTTGCATCAATATTTTTCCTGAGTTCTTTGATCTGCTTTATGAGGTTATCGTACTTCTGACGACGATCTTCATTAAGTTTGGCTAAACTTTCTTTGGCTTCTTTCAACTCTTGGACCTTTTCTGCGTCGTTTTTGTGCTCTCTTACATGTAGATCAATTTTGGCTTGAATTGCTTGCATTTCGTTAGTCATCGCAAGCTGGTCATGCAACTCTTTGATCATTCTCTGGTTTCTGATCAATTGATCGTCTCTTTGACGAATTAAAATTTTATAATCCAAAATCAATCTCTGGGCAACTTCATCTTCCACACCAACTTCACTCTCAAGGTTATTTCGTGAGAGAATACTCCATCCATCAGAAGATTTAACTGATTTCGGAGTTGTAGGGCTATTTTCGGGTTCTCCAAGGGAACGCTGAGTAACAGATCTTTTCTGATCAGGAATAGGTATCGAATGAAGCGATGAATCAAAGTCATGCGTTGATTTATTATGTGGAGAGTTATTTTCTTTATCCAATTCAATGGAATGAAGTGATTGATCATCACCTGTAAGAATATTTGAGTGTAAGGATCCACTTTCGTTGTTATCGATTGAATGTACTGATTTTGTATCTCCTTGAACGGATTTCGAATGATGTGATCTATTTTCTTCGTTTATTGACCTGGAACGCACTGATCTTCGAGAACTATGGCGCGATTTCTTTGACTCATGCGTTTTTGGTTCTTGAGATGATAAAGAATGATAAGATTTATCAGAACCAAGAGTTTTATTCTCTTGAGTATGAGAACGATGTGATTTCGCATCATTTGGCTCATTATTTCCTTGAATAAGATTCGAATCTTCTCTATTTTCTTTTTCGTTTTGAGGATCATTTGTTGCATTCTGTACACCTTTAGCCGGTGGTTGCGCTTCTAATTGGCTTTTATTCTTCTTTTCGGATAAAGTCGATGAAATGAAAACATCTGGCATATTCTTTGCATCTGCCATCGAACATTGCGTGCTATAAGCGCTACCTGTTGATGAGTATTCATTTCCGAAATAATCGCTTGTTTTTGTATTATTTGTATGCAGGCTGTTTTCTGTGTTGTTTTGCGTTGAATGGTGATGATGCTTACGTCTTTTCTTGCTTTGCGTGGTGTTTTCTGTCGTATTTTTATCTTTATTTTCATTTTGATTTGTAAATTCTCCAGATTTCGAATGATGTCCTGCAGATTGGAGTGAATTAATAGTAGATGTTGTTTCACCTTCAGATTCAGGGTCTTCTTTTGGTAAATCCTTCGGTGATGATGTCATCTAATTTTTCCCTCCCTAAACTGTGCTAAACGATTTTTCAAAAATAGAATAAATGGGTGAATCAAATAATAGCTTTGTCTATAAACTAATATCCAATAATATCAAGAATTAAAGACCATTCCTCATAACTTAGAATTAAAATTTTTTACCTCTTGCATATTTTAAAGATTCATACTTAATAGATAACATTACTACATGAGGAAGGAATTCCTACATTCATTAAAAGTAGATAGTGTATATCGATACCTAGTTTGATATTGTTCATATCATCCAAATGAATTTTTCACAATATATTATTATCCTTATCAAAAGTCATGCAAAATTCATTGATATTCAAAACGAAATCTAAAGAATATTTATGGAAATTTATTTTTCTATTACAAACACTATTTTATTCACTATTTTAAACATAGTATGAACAATAACATATGCATGCTAGTTACCTTAAGCTAGATTTAAACATTTAACATTATTTTCAACCAAAAGTACCAATTTGTTGTTTATATGGATCATATTTTCCTTTGGCAGCATCAATGAGTAGAGTGTGTACAAATTTCTTAATTTCAATTAGTTTTCCTTCTGAAATAGTTTCGAATTTTATCGAAATATTAGAATCCATGATAATTGCATCTGGTTGTAGTTGGTATACAAAACTTGCAACTCGCATTAATAAATCAGGTGAATGAAGAAACTTGATTTCCCTAATTAGTTGTTTGTCTGAAATTTCTGTATAATTTTGCTGCAAACATAGTGCATGAGGTTTACCATCTACTTCGGTAGGAAAATTCTTCGTGAATTTATGATGTTTGAGATATTCATGAAAATCATTTGACAAAATTATTAATTTAATCGAGCGTAAATCTTTAGATTTGAATTTACTGCCAAAATCAGCATTGAATTCATCTAAAAGCTGTTGTGCAGCTACTCTATAAATTGGATCAGTTGTTGCTGGAGAAGCAAAATACGTCAATAGATGACGGACATCTTTTGCAAAGTCTGTAGCTTCTTCGTAAAGACCGGCATATAGTTTCGTTTTGATTACTTGTAAGGTTGTTGGCTTTTCTATTTTCATATCGCATGGAAATTCGGGTGATCCGAGGAATAACTTATGAATCGGTCTTGAAAATAACTTAGATAATATATTTAAGCAATTATTATATTGAATCGAGTCCATTTACTTATTTTTGGTAAAAATATCCAAGAAACTTTTTAAAATAATGAACATTTGATAGCAAATTGTACAATTTAAAGAATATGAAACCAATAATTTCATATACATACACCACGTTTTCCTTTGAAAATTATGAAATATTAAATAATATATACTAATATTTATAAAAACAGTATTTAAATATAACAAACAAACATATAATTAATTATCAACAGCCTGAAGAAGATAACTTGACCATGAATCAGTAAATCTTGCCAAAAGTCTCGATGTTTTGCCCCAAAATCCTAAAGATTCATCTTTAGCCTTCTTTATTTGGCCATCAGACCATTGGAAATATGATTTCAGATTCTCTTCAGCGTCTTTTTCCTTTTTTACGTAAGAAATAAGCAAAGCAGTCACATCTTTCCTTTCATCCTTCACTTCTTCCTTCTGTACTTCAACTTTGGTCGATAGTTTTCTATGTGTTTCAGTTAATTCTGTTAATTTCTTTTCAATTTCTTGTAATGACATGCCGTTTCGCTCAAGAGAAGCTTGTTTCTCAGATGCAGTAATTGCACGTTGCAATGAAGCATATTCTTCTTCTAAACTTGTAATTTCTTGATTTTCTGACAATAATCTTTCTTCTCTTGATTGATTTTGAGCTGCATCGAGCTGTGCCAGTACTTGTTTCAATCTGCTATCTTCTTCTTCAAGTTCGTATTGAATTGATTCAGATTCTTCTTTCGATTTCAAGAAACTCTGCTGTAATTGCTCAATTGTGTTTTGATATTGTTGATTTGTTGATTGTTGGACTTCAATCTTTTTCTTTGTTGCAGAAATCTGCTCATTATACGTCGCAATTTGTTTTTCAAGTTCATCTCTATGTGATTTGAGATCATTTGCTCTTATACTATTTTGTTGTATTAGTGATTGAAGTTCAGCTGCTTTCGAGCGTGCTGCAAGCTTCAATTTCTTAGCTTTGTCGAGATCTGATTTAAGTTTTTCTGTTGTTGACTGGGCAACATTAATATTCTCTTGAGATGCTTTCAAATCTTGCTCCACAAAGTCTAAACTCCGTATTGCATCAAGAATTTCGGTAAATTTCTCTCTTTCAGAGTTTAAATTTGTTTGTTTTTGCTGAATTGACTCTAATTCTGTAATCAAAGCATCTGGATTATCCAAAAGTTTCATTGCCGGAAATAGATTTTGGATTTTTGTGAATGCTTCAAAATATTGCATTTTTTGTTTTCGTTTTTCTTCAATTACAGGGTCAACTTTGACTTCCTCTTTCGTTTCAGTATCAACTTTTGTTTCTTTTAATAGCTCTTCTACTTCATCAAGATCGATATCCGAAATATCTGACTCATTTTCTCCCTTTTCTTTTGTTTCTTCCTCTTCGTATTCTTCCTCATATTCACTTTCCTCTTCAGCATTAAGTATCTTGGCCGCTTCCTTTACTTTATTGATAAACCCGAAAAGCCGGTGCGTCATGATGTAGAAAATTTATTTAATTATTTCGATTTATGTGTGAGATAAGTTACTATTGTACATGTCAATAAAATATTTTGTATTTTTTTTACAAAATTTTTCATCTTTTCAACTTTTTTTTTCATAAAAATCAACAACTTTTTTTTTATATTATATGACTGATACAGAACCTAAGGTTACGGATGCCAAATCTCTTTTGCAAGATCTCTCACGCGAATATGATGAGTTAACCGAAACTAGAAACAATCTAGAAAAAGATTGTAAAGCTTTACAAGACCAAATTCAAAATCAGATACAAAGGATTAATGATGTCAATGAAGACATTACGAAACTTCGTGCCGAATACCAAGAGCAATTGCAGAACATTCAAAACGCAAAGAAAGATGAACAACAATCAGAAGGAGTGATCTTATATTTAGTAGATGAAAATACAATTAAGAATCCGGCTACCGTATCGCAATCTGTCGAAATTCGTGATAACTCTGTCATTTGTGCTACTTGTTTTTCTCCAAATGGAGCAAACTTAGCCATTGGCTCTGATAAAGTTCTTCGCGTTTATAATTTTGAACACGATTGCTTTGTTCTTGAAGCTCCATTTGCTGATCCAAATACTACCGATTCCATTTATATCAGATCAATTACATGGACACCAAACTCTAGCCAAGTAATTGCTGGTGCTGAAGATCATACAATTTACATTTTTAATATATCGCAAGACGCTGCAAGCCCCGAAAAAAGCGATCCAACGCCATGTGCAAGAATCTCTACAGCTGGCCAAGAAGTCTTTCAAGTTCAGTGCTTTAAGGATGGAAATAGGCTAGCGGCATCACTAGGCGATGGAAGCATTCAAATTTGGAATATTAAAACAATGCAAAAAATTACGCAGTTAGTTCGTAGTCCAGAGAAGCCATGTATTACAATCTCAATATCCAATGATAGCAAGATAATTGCCGCTGGATATTCTGATGGTTTTGTCGCATTTTGGAATCTCGAGACACAGTCAATGATTTTTGAACAAAACTGCCATTCAATGACTGTATATTCATGCATAATGCTTCCTAAATACAACAGAATCGTTACATCATCATTAGATAAAACAGTTAAAATTTGGGACATTATTGAAGGAGGTCTTTCACTTTGGAAGACTCTTGATAAACACTCAGAGTATGTACTGAGCTTAGCACTTGATCCAACAGAGAATTGGCTCATTAGCGGCTCGAAAGATATGACTTGCATCATTACAAGGCTTGATGAGGGCCGAATGATTTACCAACTGAAAAGCCATGAAAATTCAGTTATTACTGTTAGCTTCAGCCCGCTTGGAAACATGTTTTGCAGTGGTTCTGGAGATATGTATGTTAAAATATGGACATTCACACAGCCAACTCAAGTGTAAGGAGTTATATTCATTTAATATTAAGTAGTTGTATTTATAAGTTTTTAAAATTTTTATTATATTATTTTAATGAGATCCAAATCGATTTTTCAGTTAAGTTGCAACCATTTACAGGATATACCTATATTCCTATTTACTAATTTAATCACAACAAAAATATTCTCAATATTTTTTTTCCTCCCTTTCAATGAAATTGAAAGAACTTTGGAGGAATATATATATATACATGTTTAATAGGGACGAATGCAAAAAGTCAATTAGCATATAATATAATGCTTATATTTAGTAAAATTAATATACATTTCAAGGCTAGATTTCAAGAAAAATTGAAATCGTGATTTTTTGAGTGACAATAATATTTGTAATTAGATATAGTATCCAAATAACATATTATTGTGTATTCTGAAGTTTACACTTTTTTACAAGTTATCAAAAATTTTTCGCAATATCTTGCATAATATATTGTTTGGTACCATTCTTAATTGAATGAAACCTAGCGGTCATTCAATTTATTGTGTTGTTGATTCAAAAATTTTGAGACAGAATTTCTGAATTAATTCAATATACATACAAAGTGTGTGAAATATGTTTCTCAACGATTTCAAGTATAGTATGAAAATAAGAGTCTTTATTAATTTAAATAAATAATAAAAAAATTAGGCGACCCGCTCTTGAACCTTTTCCAGTCTGAAATTTTACATGACAGTCTTGTGAAAACGAAATTTATGTAAAAGTACGACATTTACGATAACATTGATGTCCAAGGGAGAAATTAACCAAACTCAATAACATTTTGTATGTAAGATTACGATATCGTAAAATTTTTGATTGATGTCTAAGGGAAAAGCAAGCCAAACTCATTATGACAAATTGATGGAGATTTTTACAGGATATAATGATGTCTACAATGCTTTGTACAGGCTGAAAACAAATGACGAAGAAAAATTAAACGCAATATACAAAAAAATCAAACAAAACCTGATTGACTCTTATCAAATTCAGCCTGATGTGATTATCAATGATATATCCGAACTTTCAATTTATAACAACCGCTACATGAAGTCATATTTAGCGATTGCCAAACAAATTGTTGACAAATACCATCTAAATCAGGTCAACAATATCAACGAAGTTTTTAATTACCTTTTCTACAAAGAATACAGTATAGTATTAGATGAAAACGGGAAAAAAATTTTAACGATTTTGAAGTTTCTCATTATACAGCTGATATTCACGAACAAAAAACAATTCACAGATCTATTATGGATGATGACAAAATATCATTGATAACCTTTACAGAAAGAGAAGGATTTGATAAAAATCAAGAATTAAAAAGTAAATTATATCCATATTCAGATGAAGGTCTTTCGTTACTTGAATTATGTTGTTATCATGGATCTGTTGATTGTTTTAAGTTTTTAATAACAAAATTTCAATCAATAATCACTTCAGAATGTCTTATATATTCATTTTTGGGTGGAAATCCAAACATTATGAATGAATGCTTGAAAGTTATAATACCAGATAATCTATGCATGAAATATGCAATTATATCACACAATATTGATTTTGTCACGTTTTTGATGAATGAACACAACATAAAAATTAATTTAGAATTGTGCTCTCAATACAATAATCTCCAATCATTTTTAGTTTATTTGGACCAAACAAATGATATCAACAAATGTTTTGTTTATTCTCCGAATTTCCATCTTTCATCACTTTTAGAATATCTTATTTCAAATGGAGCAGATATCAATGCTAAAAACAAAGATGGATGTACCTCTCTTCATTATGCAGCCAGGAATAATAACAAAGAAACAGCCGAAATTCTTATTTCAAATGGAGCAGATATCAATGCTAAAAACAAAGATGGATGTACCTCTCTTCATTATGCAGCCAGGTTAAATAACAAAGAAACAGCCGAAATTCTTATTTCAAATGGAGCAGATATCAATGCTAAAAACAAAGATGGATGTACCTCTCTTCATTATGCAGCTAGGTATAATAGCAAAGAAACAGCCGAAATTCTTATTTCAAATGGAGCAGATATTAATGCTAAAGACGAAGATGGATGGACCTCTCTTCATTATGCAGCCAGGAATAATAACAAAGAAACAGCCGAAATTCTTATTTCAAATGGAGCAGATATTAATGCTAAAGACGAAGATGGATGGACCTCTCTTCATTATGCAGCCAGGAATAATAACAAAGAAACAGCCGAAATTCTTATTTCAAATGGAGGAGGGGGGCACAAACTTGCCCAGTGAGGTGAAGTGAAAAGTGACAGGTTTACATGTCAGAAATGTAAAGTGTCAGATTTGAAACAAAAAATGGATTAATTTATTATTATATGATAGAGAGATTTAGTAAGTTACTATCAAATTTGTAAGTAAGGGGAAAAAAAAGTAAGAAAGAAAAAAAAATTAAAAAAAATAAAAAGCCACTCGCTTCGCTCGCGGTTGACAAAAAGAACAAATTCGAAAAATAATTGTATGAAATTACGAAACTAAGCCACTCGCTTCGCTCGCGGCTTAAGAAAAGAACAGATTCGAAAAAAGATTGTATGAAATTACGAAACTAAGCCCCTCGCTTCGCTCGCGGCTGACGAAAAGAACAGATTTGAAAAAAGATTGTACGAAACTACGAAACTAAGCCGCGAGCGAAGCGAGCGGCTTAAGTAAACAACATATTTCAGATTATCGATACTAAAAATTTTTTTATTTTATTACTTTTTTTTTTGCATTTTTTTAAAGGGTGCACACGAGAGGATCATGTAAACTTCAGAATTTAGAACCTTATTTTTAGGCATTATCTTGGCTACCTATTTAGGCTCGAAAAGCAAAAAATATCAAAAAATACAACTTGACTCCATTATGACCCTTTCATGGAGGTAGTTTTTATCCGCTAGTATTTTCCCTTTGAATCTCTTTACAATTCGAAATCAAATTCAAAACTCAGTAGAAGAAAGGAAGAATCGACTTACTACGGTTGTAATACGAATAAATACATATATTTAATTATTTTTATTTACATAATAATTGTTTGAAGCTCATATTCCATCAAATTTTTAAATAAAAACATTAAAATGTTGAAAATGTTCATATATTTTAATAGGGTTTTGGCACTTTATTGAGGAATTACTACATACATAGTCGAACTGAACTTGATATTTTGAAATTTAAATTATTTATCAAAATTAAAATTTAACTTGAAATTTATAATTATTTAGTCATATTTTGCATAATTCTAAGTAGATTTTGTAAAAAATCAAGAAAGAAAAATTTTAACGTGCTTTATTTTTTCTTTTTTATAATAATACATATTATTATATAATTAACATATTCATAATGTTTCACCCTTTCAAAAATATAATCCTCCTCCTCTCAAATAAACGTACATATGGGTGGCCTCTTTTTTCAAAAAATTAAAATTTGAAATTTTGGGCTCAAATATTAGAGATTTTTTCAACCTTCAACGATATATGTTGTCTATATCAGACCTCCTTTCTTTTTGATACTTAACATTGTTCCTAAATCTTAGCCGTTAAGGCTGTTCTGAAAATATTTTTTTTTTCGAAAACATTCGAAAAAAATTCTTAAAATTCAAAAATCCCTTAATTCCTGAGGATTTTGGAAAAAAGTTTTTACATGAACATGTGTATATTAGATGAAGTATATTGATAAGGTAAAAATCAAATTTTATTGCATATTCATCGAGAAAATAAACTAACGAATCCCTCAAAATTGAGAGGGTAATCCTCCTCCTCTCAAATAAACGTACATATGGGTGCACCCTTAAGAAGCTATATTCTGAAGTTTACATGATCCTCTCGTGTGCACCCTTAAAAAAATGCAAAAAAATTGAATACTTTACTGGCTGGGCAAATTTGTCGCCGCCCCCAAATGGAGCAGATATCAATGCTAAAAACAAAGATGGATGTACCTCTCTTCATTATGCAGCCAGGAATAATAACAAAGAAACAGCCGAAATTCTTATTTCAAATGGAGCAGATATCAATGCTAAAAACAAAGATGGATGTACCTCTCTTCATTATGCAGCTAGGTATAATAGCAAAGAAACAGCCGAAATTCTTATTTCAAATGGAGCAGATATCAATGCTAAAAACAAAGATGGATGGACCTCTCTTCATTATGCAGCCAGGAATAATAACAAAGAAACAGCCGAAATTCTTATTTCAAATGGAGCAGATATTAATGCTAAAGACGAAGATGGATGGACCTCTCTTCATTATGCAGCCAGGAATAATAACAAAGAAACAGCCGAAATTCTTATTTCAAATGGAGCAGATATCAATGCTAAAAACAAAGATGGATGGACCTCTCTTCATTATGCAGCCAGGAATAATAACAAAGAAACAGCCGAAATTCTTATTTCAAATGGAGCAGATATCAATGCTAAAAACAAAGATGGATGTACCTCTCTTCATTATGCAGCCAGGAATAATAGCAAAGAAACAGCCGAAATTCTTATTTCAAATGGAGCAGATATTAATGCTAAAGACGAAGATGGATGGACCTCTCTTCATTATGCAGCCAGGAATAATAACAAAGAAACAGCCGAAATTCTTATTTCAAATGGAGCAGATATTAATGCTAAAAACAAATATGGATGTATCCCTCATCAAATAACAACCAGGAATAATAGCAATATTCACTTTGATTTTTGAGAAGTTTACGGTGTCATAAAAAAAAATTCAGAGGCCTGGCGTTACGAAAAGCGTGACACCGTAAATTTCTCAAATATATATGTAAACTTCTCAAAAATAAACAGTCTCATATTAAAAATGAATAGTTTACGTCATAATGCCTCGTGAATCCAACTTTGAACTTTGCATCTGCAATGCAAAGTAATATGATTTTTGATATTTTATTCAATAACTCTAAAGAATAATTTTGCAAATTATCTCAGATTTTTCAGAGGATTGAGTTACGTTTATAGAAATAATACGCTTATAACAAATAAGTATATTAGGATGCATTCATTTAGAAAATTTTGTGTTTTCTTGAAGGATCTTTCGTGAAATTTTAACATTCTTCTCTAACTTCTCAATTTCTTTATCTAAATCACTTACATTAGAGTTACTCTCGAGTTCAAATGAATTGGATGAATAACATGATGATGAGTCAAGAATTTGAACATTTTTGTGTTTTTTGTATGAAATATGTTCTTTATAATCTTGGTTTTCTTTGGTACTTTTAGATGATTTGTGATGATAAGTTGTGCTTTCTTCATGACAGTCACGATGTTTCTTTCAGAAATTTTCAATTTGTTTTTGGAGTTTGCAAATAAACTTTTTAGATTGACAAAGTTCGTATTTAAGTTTGGATACTTTGTTTGTCAAGTTTTCAATTGTTTCTTTCGAATTAGATTGAGAATCACGACGCATCTGCTTTAACAAGATAGTGTTTTCTTCCATCTGTTCTTGAACACTTTGTTTGGATCGCTCAAGTAAAGATCTGAGTTCTTTGTTTTCTTGAACAACATTATCAAGTTCTTTTTGCAAGCGTTCAACTTGATTTGTTAAAAATCGTGATTTTTCTTGCTCTTTAAAGAGTGAAGATGATGTACTGTTGTATAACCGTTGAAGATCGGAAATTTCATATCGCGTTTGCTTTTCAGAACTGATTGCATCTTCTGATTTGACTGAAAATTGTTCGATCTTGGATTTGAGGATAGAAATTTTAGATTCTTTCTTACTCAGTTTTTGAAGAAGATCGTCGATCTTAGAACGAAGAGATGAATTTTCGGATTCTAACGACTTAAGATTGATATTGTTTTCTCGTTCATTCTTTTGGAACTTATTCCTTAAACGTTGGAGTTCAACGCTCTCTGTATCTTTATTACCAAATTGTTGATGAAAATCATTAAGTTGACGTTGCAGATCTGAAACTTTCTGGACTAGAGCTTCATGAGTTTCTTCGAAATCATTGGTTGAGATCTTTGTGCGTTTAGTTTTTGTTTGTAACTCGGTTTCAAGATTGTTAATCTTTTCATACATTTTGGATTGTTCAATGTTGAATGTTTTAATGTTTTTAATTGATGAATCACGTTCTTCAATGAGTTGCTTGATCCATTTAATGAACTCATTCGTATCTTGTGGTGAATCTGGAAATGCATTATGAATCATTCTCATTGAGTCTGATGACTTATTTGACTGGTTTCGAAAAACAACATCATTGAATATCATGCATCCTGCTAAAAGAGAATAGACTTCTTTGAATGCATTCTTTAATGAATTGACATTTTTACTCTTGAATGCATCTTTTGCAATAGTATCAAGTTCCGACAATCTTTCATCTATGCTATCGATTTGAGATATATAGTATTTGTAGTCGCTTAAATGGTTTGAATTAGATACGTTATCGAATCCGTTTTCTTGCAAAAAAACGCGAGTTCGTGATGCTTGTCTTGATTAAATAAATTTATGACTTATTACCTCAGTGTATATGTTTGATTCAAGTTTTAAATAAATTATTTTGCTTACAAAGGCTCTGTTATCTATATTCGATTTGAATTTTCATTTAAATATCAGGATGAAATCAATATTTATAGTGCATTATGTAAAACTATCTATGCACTATCATAGGGAAAGACTTATTTGACTATATGAAATTGAGCTGAAAAAATGCCCGTTTATTTTTATTTTTTTGATTTTAATTGAGGAAAAATAACAAGTCAACAGAGCTCAACTTTTAATAATTCAATAGATAGTCCTAACCAAAACAGTGTTAGGAAGAAAATATCTATAATTACCGAGAAATTTACGCTTCCAATGCTTCAATCTTTCCCAGAAGTTACGTTAATTCCTGATAAAATTAATTTTCCGAAGACATTCCCTGGAAAGAGTGTTGAATGCAAAGTATTAATGGGAAATTCAGGTATTAAACCTGAAGAATATACATTATCAGTAACAGGAGATTCAGAATTTACAATTCCAACAAATAAAATTACAATTCCTCCTGGGGGAACATATGCTATGCTTGTTTCGTTTAAACCTACTAAAATTGCAGTTTATAACGGTGCTGTAATTTTTGAAGGAAGATATCCATTTTCACTTACGTTAACAGGACACTGCGTTCCTTCAATCTTCGAAATACCACCACCACATGCCAAATGCTGGACTTTTTCACCAGATGAAACAGATCAACTAATTCAATTCAGCAACAGAGATGTATCTAAGACTTTATCAGTAGCTGTTCAAACAAATACAAACGCCTTTACAATAGAACCTCCAGCGTTTGATATTCAACCATTAAGCACATTTAGTGCGAAAATTCATTATGATAAAACCAAAAGTTCAGTGAGTAATCCAATGCTTTCAATTTCATGCAGTCAAACAGAAGAAATGTTTGAAATACCACTACAAATTGGCCAAAAGCGAGAGACAATTAAATTCAATCTCGGCACAACATTAGTCAACAGAATCCTCAAAAAAGAATTTAAACTTATGCAAGAAGAGCAAGCACCGTCAGTATCTTGGCCATTTTCGATTGTTTCGAATGGAGAAAAGCAAAATAAATTAAATTTCGAATTTTCTAGTCCAAAACCAGGCGAATTCTCCACAACTGTCTCCATGCAAGACTTTGATATATTACTCAGTGCTGAAGCAAAAGAAATACCATTTTCAATCAATGTACCTGATCAATTTCCAAAAACTCCTTTCACAATATTCAATCGCAGCAAAGATATATTACAGATACAATTAACAGGATATGGTATCCATCTTCAGAAAAATTACGTAACAATTGCTCCAGGTGAAATTGCACACGTAGTTTGTGATGAAAATGATGTAATTCAACCTGGAGCTTCATTAAAACTTGTTTGGGAACATAATGGAACCATTTTCACAGAAGAAATACCATTTAAAGTAACAGAAGCTACCGAATTAAACCCATCAAGCATAAAATCATCCTCAGCATTAAAATCTTCATCAGAAAGCGAGAGAACAGAAATAAGTATTAATAGATCAACCCAAAGTACAAAGAGACTTAAAGCTAATACACATTTAGTTGTGTTTTCTGGTTCTTCAAGGAGATTTCCACTTAAAATTACATCAGATCTCCCAGTTATTATATCACCTCCACCATTCATACGTCTTCCACGTAATTATAAACCAAATGACCCTTTCAATCTCAAATTACATAATGAAGATTCAGATATTATGTATGGATTTATAACAATAAGGACGAAACTCGATGAAATACGTATACCTGCAATTGCAATGCCATGTGTATCCCAATTAGACATACCAGAATCAATATCGATAAACAGAATTGGAAATCTTTCAATAAAGAATTATGGGAAAAGTACAGCTTATGTTAATTTACAGAGTCAAGATGCAAAAACATCTAAAACGGATCTAATTATTAAACCAGGAGTAACATCCCAAATAGAAGTACAGTCAGAAAAAGATTCAGAAATATTAGTTACATCAAAAGAGATTCTTACAACAAAAATTGAAGAATTTTTAGAAGGAAAAGATACTGATGATTCAAAGTTAAATGATGTTTTGCAACAATGCCGCACTAAAGATCTTAAAGCGCTTTGCGAATACTCGACAACAACTAAAACTGTGAAAGTTTTGGTTTCAAATGAATCAAAGAAATCTAATTTCTCAGTTTCAGTTGATAAACTCGTTTTCTATGGCTCTGATAGCCAATCATTCTCACTGATAAACATGTCAAGCGCTCCAACACGGTTCCAAGTTACTGTTTCTTCTCCTTTCATTAGCGTTGACCCTCTCTCTGGGTACGTTTCTCCATATTCATCACTTAGATTCGAAGTCAATGCATTGAAGAAAGTTGATGGTGAAATCACTATAAAGATAGGAGGAGAAGTCCTAAAAATCACAACATCATGTCAAGAAAAGAGTCTTGTTGTATCCACTTCATCTAGTGCTATTAACTTCCCAAGTTGCAAGCCAGGAACAATGAGAAGAGCTTCATTGAAAGTATCTAATAAAAGTTCACATAAAACTTTTATTACTGCTAAATGTGAAGCTCCATTCTTTTGTCCGTTCCCCGAATTCGAAATAGATCCAATGTCTTATGTTCTTCTTCCAGTTCATTTTACACCTCAGATTGAAGATTCTTTCAATGGACTTTTAACCTTAGAAACCGACTCAAGAACTTCTGTTGAAGTTATTGTTCACGGAATATGCTGTTAAAATTATCAAGAGTAATTATTTGTTTTGTTTTATAAAAGTTTTATGTTTTAAAATCTTTACGTTTCTCTTACAAAAATCGAATGAATTTAATATGTTATACGGAATCATTTTTGGAAATGACTGTAGTCACGAAATTAATCATCTAGCGCCAATTGAAACCATCACCCAATTGAGAATAAGATGAATAAACAGAATTAAATCTCCTACTTACAGGCTATTAATTTTCAAATTATCAAAAAATATGTAAAAATACTTCTTTTACTGAAACAAATATCACATTTGCGGTCGAATCGTCATGGATTTACCTCAGTTTGACACATTTAATCTATGCGAAAGCGTTCATTTCGATTTTTTCAATGAACTTCGATTTCGTTATTGAAAAATTAAATGAGTCGAATATATCCTGAGCATTTATATTAATAAAGAATAAAAGTTAAAAAAAAATAATGTCCATCTGACCATTTTAAATTTGTTAAACAGGATGCATATATCAATTTACAAATCATCCAAATTCCCGATCACATTGAACATTCAATTAATACTTGAAATGAATAGGGAAATAATAAGGATGTCAATTCGGAAAATTGTTTTCATTTTAGGAGAATATAATTTTCCTTTTGGAAAATTTAAAAAGTGAGACGCGCAGGATTCGAACTTTTTTAAAAGTTGATTTAAATATATTCTAGTGTGATTTCTAAGGATAATATCATATTTAAAATAAGAATATACTAGTTTGGGTGGTATAATTTTTTCGATAAATTTGAGAATATGTACGTTTAGGGCATCAAAAGCGTCAATTCGCTCAGCGAAAGCTGAGCTAGCTTCGTTCTCGAAAGAATAGGGAAGGAGTGAAAGAGAGTGATACAGAAGTTGACACATTCATATCATTTCAACAAATTTTGATCAAATTGAAATTCAATGAAATTCAATTCACTTCATATCTTTCAGTCAGTACATTGACATCCTTCTACATCACAATGATAACTCGTACATCAATAGTTCTACAACTAACTCAGAAAAAACAAGATTTTTACTTCCAGCTTACAGCTTTTAAAAAGTTTCGATGATAAAAATCACTCTACTCTTGTTTATCGATATGTTGTGATAGTAGGTAAACGTATTCTTATCGATATTAGTAAAAATATTTTTACGAAAATCTGAACCAATTACAGAGTTATTCATAAAGTTTATGATAACTGTAATTACTTCATCTTTGTTTTATATTTGAATAAACAATTTAATTTGCATAATTTTTTTTAGTTGAAAGACAGGAAACTTAGTTGAGTTTGTATTATTTTTATCGTTCAATTCATTGTATCAGTGGGTGATCCAGATATTTAAGATATTTAGAAAAAATTTATTAATTTGATTAACAAATTTTAATCAAAATAGCAAAAATCTATTTGATAGCTGTAAGCAAACAATAATTTTTATTTCAAGCAAAATCAATTATTTTCATCTAAACGTATAAAATTGTCAATTTTATGAGAATAAATTTAAAATCTCATGAAATGTAAAGGAGAGTAATATTTTTCAATTTTCTTTTTTTCTTTGTCTCAAATATTTTCTATTGTGAATTTTCTTGTTATCAAAAAATAATTTTAATATTTGTTTATTTCATTACATACAATAAAATTTTAAAAACTCTATTTCTTCTCAAGAAAATTTTTTTCCTTCATATGAAGAAACATTCTGTTCTCCATTTGATGCTGAGTCTAAATCTCGATTTTTGAATTTTCTTCTTTCCAAATTTCTTTTTTCCAAATTAGAAGTTTAATTCAAATTTTCAATAGTTTATATATTTTCTCAAACCGTCTTAGATTTTCTTACTTTTTGGGGATTTTCTCTCAAAATATACAAAAATAGTAATATCAATACATGTGTCTAATATACTTTAAAACCATCGTGATAAAATTCAAAAACGAAGAGATCTTCTCTCCAAATTTTTTTCAAAATCAAAAAAATGAGATAAAAAAGTACGTTTGGAAAATTCATTTTTAGCATTTTAGGAATTTTCTCACTTTTCTTCCAAATTGACATCCTTACAAATAACCCATAAAATCATCTTTTGATTGTTGGTTTTTAAGATTTTATTCAATCGCCATTCAAGTGCTTGATCGAGGGTTCTTCACAAAATTTCTATCGTCTAATAGTCAAATGAAAATCTTTCCTTTCTCCTCAACTCCAGAGAACTACCCAGATCAGCATAACCAAACACAGCTCAGTGATATCACAGACGAACAGTTCAATGCTGAATGGCAAAATCACACTTACCAGTGGTACCATCGTGTTTATCAAGCCATTTGCTTCCTTTTATTCTTGGGTCCGATCAGATTAGTCATAGGCGTTGGCGGATTTGCCCTTATGAACTTATTTGTCATCTATGGCCGTATGATTCAGCTCAAATTAACAAATAACAATCGCAAGTTCATGAAGAAATTCTTCTACTACTGCTTACAAGTCTCTGTCAGACTTGTTTCGTTCGCTTTCGGCCATATGAAGATCAGAATCCATGGAAAAGCCGATCCAGACACCAGAATCATCATTTCCAACCACAGTGCATACCATGACCCATTCATTGTTTCATATTGCATCCACTGCAGTGTTGTTTGCAAGTGGGAAATTGGCCAATCCATCTTAAAATACATGTTAGATCCATTAGATCCAATATATGTCCGTAGAGATCAGAGTGGCGGCCAATCAAAGCTTATTGTTGAACAAGCCGATAACAAGGAACTCCTTCCTGTCCTCATTTTCCCAGAAGGAACAACACATAAAGGAGATTATCTCTTTAAGTTCCACAGAAGCGCTTTCATCACACAGCACAAGGTTCAACCAGTCCTCATCAGATATAACCAGCCATTTGTTCCAAGAGGATGGAACTCCTACGGCTGGACTCAGACAAATACCCTCGAATACTTCTTCATGTGCCTCGCTATGCCATTAAACTTCGTCGACGTTACATTCCTCCCAGCTATGACACTGGCTGAGAACGAAAACTCCCCAGATAAGTTCGCTGAAAACGCAGAACTTCTTGTCGCTAATTTCTTCGGAATCAAGGCAACAACACGCTCAAACGATGAAATCTTTAAGCACAAGAAAGCACAAAAGGCCGCACAACAGCAAAATACTCAAAATAACCAGGAACAGCCAAAGCCTGAAGAAAATCACGAAAAAGTCAACTAATTCATCCTTGCAACTTCTTTATATTCATGTTTAAACTGAATAGTATTTAAATTTTACTTATATTATATAGTCTGATCACGAATAAAATTTTTTATTATCTAGAACTAGTTTTTTTATTAGTTCGTCTTGTTTAATCATTACAAAATTTTTAATGTTATTGGTTGCATTGAGAATTTGGATCAAATTGTACCAAAATTTCGAATGAATAAACGCAAAGAAATTAAATTTTGTTTTTAATACTTACAGTAATACAATTTGTAAGATTAGACCATATTGTAATATGAAACATCCTTTATCTTCTTTGAAATACATAAATACAGCAATCGATTTTCCATCTTCTTTTTGTTTCCTTGACATTTGTACAGTGTGAAATAAGAAGTTCGACTGCACATTTTCTATTATTATCTGCTGCACATTGAAAGGTATTTTTCCTCATAATCTTGATTTTCATCGATATTTGAAGTGTATGAAATAAAAAGCTCAGTAGTTTCTTTACTATTATAAACTGCTGCAATGAAACACCATGCTAAAGAAGAAATTCTGTAGAATCTCATTATTTTAATTCCGTTGCAATATGAAGAGCAGCTTATCCTTTTTCATCGTCTCATTAATATTTGCATCATCTGAAAATAGAAGTTCATCTGCTTCTTTAATATTTTTATCTGCTGCATAATGAAAGGCAATATATCCATCTTCATCTTTTACATCATGCGAAATTCTTTTAAAAAAATGAAAATATAATGAGTTATTATGCATTATCAATCAAGAGATTGATCTATTTTGAAAGAAAATAAATGAAATTTGAAAAAAAGTAAATTAAAAATTTATTTTAGAAGAGCTTTCAACTTCATTTCAGCTTCTTTCGCCAATGACGATACCAGCTGTCCATCATTTGATTCTATTTCGAGTGTTGCCTGTTCCCCATCAATTGCAATCAATGCCACAACGACATTTCCATTCTTTGCCTCAGCGAAAACAGTTTTAGACTGTTGGTCCTTTCCAGGGAGGACATTTCCCTGAATTGCGTTTGCTGTCGCCTGCAAAATTTCCCTTGGAGGAGCAGAAATATTCAATTTCACGACTTCTTTCTTCTTCAAGTTCTCTTTTGCAGCTGCCAACTTCTCTTCCGGTGCTGGAGAAAGGAACAATGATGGGAACAACTTGATTCTACACTCAAGAACTTCGGAATAAGAACAATGTGGAATTAATAACACTTTTGCAACGTTTGGAGCTGTCTGTTTCTCAACATGGAACGAGATAGTTGATTTAATACTCGAATTAGGTTCAATCTGTGATGTAGGTTGAAGAGAAACTCCTTTTACAAATCCTGTATCTTCATATTCAATGGAAACAGAGTCAATTTGGGTATCTAGGAGGTTCTCGAAGGTCAGTTCTACATCAATAACAGTATTATCATCATCATGGACTGTGAAATTGGTGGCAGAAACTTTAATAATTCCATTTTTGCCGATATTTTGGACTTTTGACTTTTCTTCTGGTCCTTTAACTGCTTTAGCTGCTTTTCCTTTGCCTTTCTTGGTCGGTTCGGCTTGTTTCTTGCCTTTTCCTTTCTTTCCAGCGGATTTCTTCTTTTTGCCTTGTTTTTCGTCGGTTTCCTCCTGCTTGACGATGGATTCTTCGTCTTCTGGTCCGTCCAAGTCTGGATTTGGAAGGTCGATGTCAGATGGAATTTCCAATTTTTCTTGTTCTTCGTCGTCTTCATCGGGTTGGGTCAGAACAGACGAGAGTTCACTCAGAGATTCCTTTCCATCATCGGAAGCGAGGAATTTGACAAGGGAATCCATACAAAGTGCTCGATCTTGTACATCCAAGAAGAAAGACATCTCAAACATAGGTAATTTGAGGGCGAAACTCTGTTCGAGCTCTTTCCTCTTCGATTCGTCGGTCGCGCAACGCAAATAAATCTTAAATGCGGATTGTATGCAACTGCTTTGTACTCTTGGGCCAAAATTGGAGACAACAGGCTGTAGAACTCTCTGGAAATCACCTGGGTCGCTGGAATATTCTCCCAAAATGTGGGAAGCGATCAATAACAAAGGATCAGCCGCTGTTATTGAAATTTTTGAGAGAATCGTGCCCATTTCCTTGGCCAACCTTGTCCTGGTGGTTGGAACTCTGACGGCCAAATCCAGGAACTGTTCACCTAATAATTTATAACATGAGATATTTCGCTCGGAAACAATATCCATGAGAACAGTTATGTACCAGTCGAAATCAGAAACAAGGGCGTAATCGTTTTGGACGCAAATTTCGATCAGTTTCTGAATAAGCATATTTTTCGTGGCTGTTCTCCTCGCGAGTTGGATATTGTCGAATATCTTGGACACTACGCTGTCAATGGTCTTGGAATTGGCCAAGGAAGCCAGTAAATCCAAGGCTTTGACCCTCATTGACTCATTATCGTTGTCGAGACATTCGGAAATGACTTCTCTGTACTGGGAGATCAGTTTCGGCTGTATCTCAAGAAGCTTGAGGAAGTATGAAAGTCCCAAAAATCGTAAGTTTTCGTCTGTAGAATGAATATATTTTTCAATTGTCTGGGTTGCAAGGGAAATGAGAGTGGAATCTGCAAGTCCCATCTGTAGTATTGAGTTGACGACTTCGAAAATGACATTTGGTGAGGTTACGGTGTCCATAATATTTGAATAAAGAGGAATTAACTTTTTGGCTGTACGTGGCTCGACAGTATTAAGGAGAGTAAGAATCTGGATAAGTCTGAGTCTAATCCAGTTGACATTTGTGGTCTCGAGCATCTTAAAGAACTTTGGAATTAATTGAGTAAATTGTTGAGGGAATAATAAGCAAAACATGTGGAAAACAGTGACTGTTGCATAAACTACACCTTTGTCAACATCATCCAAGCCGAGTTTAAGTGCAGAAAAGCCTGCTTTCAAGGCATCTGGATAATGGCAACAGATATGATAGAAAGTAGTGATTGCTTTTTGACGTACGTATATTTTTGAGGAACTCATCATCGAAACAACATCGTTTGCAATGTGCATTGCGATTGGTTGTGTTAAATAATTTGGAATTGAAGATAAAACACAGGAACAAACAAGAGGATCCTTGGAAGTCAAGTCACGAGCGATTCTATTTGTTGCCATTAAACATACTTCTGAGCTTGCTGTCCATAGAAATTCGGCTGCTGTGTAAGCAATTCTTTTGGCTGAGTAATTGTCTATGGACATAACATCGAGAATGTTAAAATCTGACCATACAGTGTCGTATCCGTTCATGCCGATGAAGATAATTACTTGTGCGGCATCCATTTTTGGTGTTGAACGAAAAGATTTAAATTGATCTTGAAGTTTTGCGAGAATTTCAACCATTTTTTCATCTTGCGTGCCATCTCCTATTGCCTTCAGGTATGATTTTGCAATATCATACAGCGGAGGCTTAAATAAATCGCTTGCAAGATTTTCCAATTTTTGCATTTTGGCACTTTTACAAATTTACGATGGCACTTTTCTGAACTTCCACCAAAAAAATTTTTTGTTGAAAGTTGATATCTGTATCTGTATACCCACTTTTTACATATGACATACATATCAATTATGACTCAAGGACTGCATAGTTGAATACCCAAATTAATCATTATCATGCAAAAAGAGGGCTGACTAAGAGTCATTGATGAATTCTTCACCTTTAGGAACATCTAAAGCAGATACTTTATGGGAATTGTATACATACCAGTTATTTGGACCTAAATCACAAGTTGAAAATTTTGAGAGGAGATAAATGGTCGGTTTAAACCCTTAACACATCTTCTGTTTGCTCTAAAAATTTTGATAGGCAACACAATGAGCCTAGTTAATATGTGATCATTTGATTATAGCGTAGTCTAATTCTTGATTTACTACATGTTCTGATTCGATTATTTACGATTCTATTAAACATAGATCTGTTGTAAAACATTAACATATCCCATATTTTTATGGACCAAAAGTGCTTTTGGTATAAAAATCATTCATTTTTATATAAATGAAGTTGAGAATTATTCCATACTTTCTTAGCCAGTATGTATGGATAATTATTATAAGTCTACCACTCTTATCTATCGTAATTACACCCAGAAAAGTCACTACAAAGGACTTCTTTTCACAAGCAAGAACTAGTCCATTTAATGACTCAGAAATACCAACTTGGTTCCTTCATGGAACTGATCTTCATGTCAGTTCAACTCGTAAGGGAAGTTACGAAAACATTTTAAACCAATTAAATAGATCAATTAATCTTTTAAAGCCAAAGAAAATCATTTTGACAGGAGATTTAGTTGACAACAAAGATGAAGGAGCGAAACGTCCCTATACATATCAACACGAAAATGATTGGAACGCATACAAGAAATTATTAGCCGAATTGAACTTAACAGGCGATTCCAGACTAGTTCAAGTTGCTGGAAATCACGATATCTACGATCTCATCAGCTATGACTCTAAGCATCACTATGCAAATAATACTTTATACAATTTTTCCGATTTTCAAATGAAAAGAATACCGCTCGATATTCCAGGCATTACAGCATCCATTCTAGCTATCAATCCATTCCAGTTCCCAACTCCTCCGATTGATCTTACTTGGTTTACTTCTCCAAAGTACGGTATTATCAAGAATGTCACTAACGAGATTATAAACAACAACGATGACATCCAAATACTTGCTCACCATCATCCAGCATTGATGTGGTATCCAAATAACGGAATGGATTCTTCATCATCATATGCTCAGTACTTAAAGCGCACATCCAATGTCCGCATGATTCTTTGTGGCCACAGACACCCAGAGCATCCAGTTTTCCAACATTTCGGAGACGTATTAGAAGTAATTGGAACTCCATGGCTTTTCTACAACGACAGAGTTGGTTTAATCACATATGACAACAGGAGAATCACCTACCATGAAGTAGACATCACAAAAGATCACGTAGCAGTCATGACAGCTCCTTCTCCAGTGAAACAAGTTTCAGGACTCGATATTTTCTCAGAAAGAAAGACAAGAATCAGAGCTCTTTACTTCGGAGAAACCCCTGGCAACTTGAGTGTCAGAGGGTCAGCTAATGGCAAGCTAAACTGCAACAGACAGATCGAAGAAAGTGTCTGGTTATGCACAATGGAAGCAGAGTTTTCAAATGGATATCATAACTTGACGATGGTCGGTGATTGGGAAGGAAACATCTCATTTACGGTCAATCCAACAGTAAGAGGTTTCGATGAACAGAGTTATTTAACTGAGCATTCCATTGCTTATACATTTTTGTTCGCTTGGTTTTTAATTGTTTCTATTGTTATCACGTTACCTGTCAATTTTTCGACTGTTGGAAGTCAAGCAGAACAATGGATCATTGGAAAGAACAACAACAGCCATTGGATGTTTGCTATATTCGGTGGTTTCATATTAGTTAGAAATAGATTGTACAATTCTCCTAAGTTTATTAAACTCGGAGCAATTCTTGCAACAATTTGGCCATTGATTCTTCCTTTGAATGTTTTCGCTTTGGACAAGAAACCAGCAATGTATTGGAGCTGGGGATACGTAGCAAATGCTATAAACATATTCCAGTTTGAAGGACAACAATTCGCTGTTTGGTACCTATACTTTGTAGTGTTAGGTTTCGCTTTCATTTCTTCATCAATTAAAGCAACATTCTGCTTATCGTGGGTGTTCGCTATTGACTTGTTAGTTTACTTGGGAACATTGGCTGGATGTTCTTATTACGCATACAAGACTTGGTCATGGTTTGGACTTGGTTTCGCTCTCACTTCTCCATGCTTCGTTCTCATCCCAATTGTTTTGCTAGTTTTCACAATCATTTTCGTTATGAAGTCTCTCAAAGGAAGAGAAACAAGAAATAACGAATTATTTGACAAATCTCTAGTGGAATAAGATAAACTCATTTTTTCAATAATCCATAGAAAATTTGAGAGAATCTCATTGAAAAAATTGAATTGGAGATGAAATTTGTGAAAAACGAGTTTATTTTTTATAAGAATAAACTCATTCTCTTTATGTTTTTGATAATTTAGTATTACTTTTTTCCTTAATCAATAAAATAAATGATTGGATTTTAGATTTCATTGAAATCCTGATTCAATTATCAGGTCAAATTAATTTTTATCCCAGTATTTCGGGTATATTGAAATTCAAATGCAATGTGATCATTTTAGACTTAGAATGACGATTCCATTCCTAACATTCATGAAGATTATTCATATCTTTCTGATCAAGAAGAATGAAAACATTTCCTTATCATATACAAGAGAAAATATCATATTAAAAACGAATTTCTAACTAAATTTCAATTCACATTTTTGATTTTTGCCAATTTGACATTTTGACAAATGAAGCGAGGAGTAGGAACTACTTTTGATATTGTTTCATTTGCAGTAGTGTCAACATTCCTAGCATTTGCCGCTTTAGTGTTATCATCAAGAAATATGGTACTTGCAAAACAAATTAAAAAAGATACAACAAGACTTACTCCAGGAAAGCCAATTTTTGCTAGAGCTATTATTGATTCATTGTATATAGTTCCTGTTGCTAAAGAAGAAAGTAAAGCCACTACATTTGCCTCAACATTAGCCGGTTTATTTTCATCTTTCTATAAAGATACAGGATATTCTCAGAAATACATGAAGGAAGATCAATATTTGCAGTTTTCAGCACAACATATCGACAAAATCCTCGCCAAGCATCCAAAAGCAACAGATTTACAAGAATTATCACATGTTAAATCGATAACAGATGATTTATTACATCCAATAGGCTCAAATAGTGCTGTTAAATTCAGTTTCAATGTGCAATTCAAGTCAAGCAACATCAGAGATATAAAACAAAAAATTGTTGAAGCGAATTACCCAATAGCTATCAAATACACCAAACTACAAGAGAGATATTTCTTCCCATGCACTCTAGATCTCTACAAATCGAGTAAATCCTGTGAATATTCCCAAACTACTCCAGAAACATTCGAAATTCCATTTTTGAGCAGCTCAGACTATACATTTTCCAGATCAGGCAAACAAATTCCAGTAGAAAACGAAACATTACTAATTGTTGGGTATTCTGATGAATATAGTCCGAAATCTTTCGTCAACATCAGCCAGAAAGAGAATACAAAGGGAGCTTTCTTTGTTAGAACCAACAATTGCAATCATGGCCACACATCTGTCTTTTTATCGAATCTTTTGACATCAGAAGAAGAAAGAATCCTTTGTCCCAATCTCAGGAACCCAATGAACTGGGTACCAACAACACTTCAATGCCTCAAAGATACAAAGGACCCGTCAAAATGTCAGATTCCTCAGAAATTCAAAAGAGGAAATAAAACCGTCACTTTTGCCGATACGTTAATTTGTACCAATTCCAAGTACTGTGATACATCATCTAAGTACGCATTGATTGGTTATGACCGCCCACTCATTTCTTTCTCTAATACGGGTGTTCCTTTAGCAACAATTGCAAAGATTTCAGATGATAATGTTGTTTCTGAAGTTTTAGAGACATTACCATTCCAGCACTTAAATCTGGCCTTCACCATTAAGGATTTCCAAGAAAATTCGAAATTTTGCGGATATTCTGCTTTGATGTACGATGAATTAGACACAATCATCCAAAGTGGTACTGGGACATGGATAGCTTATGGAGTTCAAGCTACTTTTCCATCTTCCGCTTATTCTAAGGAATTTTCTAAATATTATTCAAAATTTTCTTTGTAAATTTATCTTTTAGGAATAAAAATATGTATTGTACTCATAAAAGCTCAAATATTTAATCAATACTCAACATTTTGATTTCAATAATATTTTATTTTTTTTGAATTTGACTTTAATAGTGGAATATCATTCACATATATCTTAATTTTATCTTTTTAGAGAATATTTACTTAGTTAAAGGTCTTAATCCGCTTAATTAAATCTTTTGATATTGAATAAACATATCTTGCGCAGTCTAAACACACTTATAATATAGCTTCTTTAATCTAATTTCATTTATATATAAATAGATTCGGTAATTAATTTTGGAGTGGTAATAAAACATGAATGTTGGATGAGTAATAAAATAATTAAACTCCAACAGTTTGTCAGCCATATAAGCATTGTTCTAATCTAATAATTCAAAATCAAGCCATGCAATGAGTGATATCAACTAAAAGGAGCTTATCTAATTTACATATTGATCAGTTTCTTTGCATTGTAGTTGACTTCTTTAAGACTGTTAACAATAGCATCAAAGGGATTTTTTAAAAAGAGGAATTTGAGTTATGCAATAGCTGCAAAATTTTCGGAAGATGAGACTGTCACCTTTTCTGCGCTGTAAACTTTCTTCAACAATTTTTCATTGAAAAAAATGAGTGATATCTCGGACATGGTTTCTCGAGATCTTCGCTCATATTCAGTGGATCTTAGTGAGTTTAAAATTGGTGATAGTATTGGTGCAGGTGCTTTCGGAGAGGTTTTTTTGGCAACTCACATTAACACGCAAAAGAAGCGTGCGATTAAGAAATTATATACGAAAGAACTTAAAGGACAAGATTTGAAACTTTTTGTTCGTGAAGCGGAGATATTAGCTGTATGCAAAAACAAATTTTTATTGCCATTCTTTGGATGCACTCTAAAATATCCATTTTCGATAATCACAGAATACATACCATGCGGTACTCTATTCAATGCAATCAACCACAAAGAAGGTTCTCCAGATTTAAGCGCAACAAATAAATCAATCATCGCTTATGGCATAGCAAGAGGATTACAATACCTACACGAACACAATATAATACATAGAGATATTAAATCAAGAAATATTTTACTTCGCGACAACCTTTATCCAGTTATTTGCGATTTTGGACTTTCAAGACGCGTATATGAAATAGAACAGCCAAATCCAAATTCAACAATGACAAGAGATGTCGGAACACCACATTACATGTCACCCGAATTAATCTTTAACAGACCTTATACGAATAAAATCGATGTCTACGCATATGCCATCATTTTATGGGAAATGCTTAAAGAGACTACACCTTACAAAGGCATGTCCGATATCCAAATTGCTTACGCGGTCACTCAAAAGGACGAAAGACCAGAATTTCCTAAAATTATACAACCAGGTTTGAAATCTCTCATTTCTAGATGTTGGGATAAAGACCCTGATAAACGTCCGACATTCAAAGAGATCGTAAGGGAGTTTAAAGATGGCAAAGTTTATTATCATGGAACAGAACAAGATGAATTCAAGAATTTCATGCATCACAAGGACCATCCCTCTCGGCATTTGTCAACACCGCATAGTTCTGGTGGCAGAAGGCGCTCTGTCCCTAAGATTACCCCTCCATCTACTCCTCATCAGAGGAAATCAAAGTCAACGATATCATCGAAGAGCTCAGAATCAACGGATTGGGTATTAGTATTGAATCCGTCGGACCCTGAATTCATAAATAACTACTTTAAAGCGATCGAAACAATAAATGCGATTACAGCTAAGGAATTCTTCACAGTTATACAAGAAATCATCGCTGTTATTACAGATGTCAACGTACAGATCAGAATTATTCTACCAATGATAAGAGTTATCTCTAAAGATGTAAATCTACTCAAATCAATGATCGAATCCGGTCTTTATTTCTCACTTCCCTTGAAGAATAAAAATATAAGAGAGGGAACTTTGATGGTTTTCGTGATTTCTATGACCTTTTATCCTTCAATAATGAACCAAGACTTCTTGAACTTGCTCAGACCGTACATTTCGGAGAACTGCGACCATATAATACGCTTGCTGAACCTGTATTTCAAGCCAGGAGACCATTTGATCTATATGAAAGTTGTGGTCGATTTCATTCTCGAAAACTACAGGGAGTTCCTGAGATTTTCCGGCTTGAACTACCTCAGATTACTCAACTACGTGTTCTCCTCCAATGAAACAGCTCTCGCAAACAGATTTGGAGAATTTTCCGAAATTTTCCTCAAAACAATTTCAATTGGAACTGACGAAGAAGTTGTTGCTGAGAGTTACAAGTTCATTATCAACTATTTTGACTCAAAAATCGTAATCAAACCTGAAATTATCGAAAAACACCTTTTGAACGAGGCCCTTGTTGATCTTGTTGCTGCCTATTTAATTAGGAAGCCGCAGATCGATATAACTGAAGGCATAGTTTACAAATTGATTCAAGTTTTTCCAAAATCAAAATTGGCTTTTTACGAATTACTTGATTTGTTCTGCGACAGCCCAGATAAAATTGGTTCCGCACTTCTCAAGCACTCAAGGACATGGATGCCCAACACAGAATCAACTTTTGATTACAGATTAGGAATTATTATCATGATTGTCTCAACGAAAAACCTCAGACCTAAGATTGCCAAGTCCTCATCATTCTGCAAACTTCTTTCGAGCATTCTTGATCATAATACTTCTGAATTTATCCCTACAATTACAAATATTTTAATTAAAATGTTTGATGAACCTAAATTGTACATCAAACTATCTGAAACAGACTTCTTTAAGAAGTATATACAGGTTGTATCAGCGTTCAAGCTTCCAGACCTCACAAAAGGAATGATTGGATTATTTGAAACGATATCTCGAAAAGTTTTCATTGAAGACTTTTTGTTATATGTTCCTAATCTTTTCGAAATGCTCAAGGACGAGTCAGAGTACACTTTCCCGGCTCTTTCGGCTCTAACTGTGATGAGTACAAATGAAAAGGTCAAAGAGCTCCTGAAGACCTATGATTTCAAGCACGTACTTCATAAATTGAAGCAAGTATCTAGTTACAAGAACTATGTCGCCTCGCTTCAACAATATTTATCATGATTTTTGTTTTGTTTTATTTTTATTATAAATTTTGACTGTTATTTGTTATGATTTGATCTTAATCATATTAGTTTTTCATTGTTGATATATTTATCCATAAAATTTTATTAAAATTTTATGAACGTTTTTTTTATAACCCAGAAGAATCTTGTAAACATCATCATAACTCCAAACAACTAAACATTAAATTAAGGATGTCAATTTGGAAGAAAAGTGAGAAAATTCCTAAAATGCTAAAAATGAATTTCCAAACGTACTTTTTTATCTCATTTTTTTGATTTTGAAAAAAATTTGGAGAGAAGAACTCTTCGTTTTTGAATTTTGTCACGATGGTTTGAAAGTATATTAGACACATGTATTGGTATTACTATTTTTGTATATTTTGAGAGAAAATCCCTAAAAAGTGAGAAAATCTAAGACGGTTTGAGAAAATATATAAACTATTGAAAATTTGAATTAAACTTCTAATTTGGAAAAAAGAAATTTGGAAAGAAGAAAATTCAAAAATCGAGATTTAGACTCAGTATCAAATGGAGAACAAAATGTTTCTTCATATGAAGGAAAAAATTTTCTTGAGAAGAAATAGAGTTTTTAAAATTTTATTGTATGTAATGAAATAAACAAATATTAAAATTATTTTTTGATAACAAGAAAATTCACAATAGAAAATATTTGAGAGAAAAAATTGAAAAATATTACTCTCCTTTATATTTCATGAGATTTTCAATTTATTCTCATAAAATTGACAATTTTATACGTTTAGATGAAAATAAGTGATTTTGCTTGAAATAGAAATTATTATTTGCTTACAGCTATCAAATAGATTTTTGCTATTTTGATTAAAATTTGTTAATCAAATTAATAATTTTTTTTCTAAATATCTTAAATATCTGGATCACTCACTGATACGATGAATTAAACGATAAAAATAATACAAACTCAACTAAGTTTCCTGTCTTTCAACCAAAAAATATTATGCAATTTAAATTAAATTGTTTATTCAAAGATAAAACAAAGATAAAGTAATTATAATTATCATATACTTTATGAATAACTCTCTAATTGGATAAGATTTTCGTAAAAATATTTTTATTAATATCGATAAGAATACGTTTACCTACTATCACCATATGTCGATAAACGAGAGTAGAGTGATTTTTATCATCGAAACTTTTTAAAAGCTGTAAGCAGGAAGTAATAATCTTGTTTTTTCTGAGTTAGTTGTAGAACTATTGATGTACGAGTTATCATTGTGATGTAGAAGGATGTCAATGTACTGACTGAAGGATATGAATTGAATTGAATTTCATTGAATTTCAATTTGATCAAAATTTGTTGAAATGATATGAATGTGTCAACTTCTGTATCATTCTCCTTCACTCCTTCCTTATTCTTTCGAGAACGAAGCTAGCTCAGCTTTCGCTGAGCGAATTGACACTTTTGATGCCCTAAACGTACATGCTCTCAAATTTATCGAAAAAAATTATACCACTTAAACTAGTATATTCTTATTTTAAATATGATATTATCCTTATATTTCACACTAAAATTCATTTAAATCAACGTTTAAAAAAGTTCGAATCCTGCGCGTCTCACTTTTTAAATTTTCCAAAAGGAAAATTATATTCTCCTAAAATGAAAACAATTTTCCGAATTGACATCCTTACATTAATCCATTCATTCGGAAATGATTTGTCTTTAGATATTTTTGGACTATATCATCCGCAAATATATTGTTTTCCGAATGTCTTTTGACTTGATTAGAGTAGAAAAGATGATTTATAATTGATATAATTCATTTTGATGACATTTCAATCAAAATCCGACAAAATTAAATGAATAAAAGCAAAATTTTAAGTATCTAAAGAAAGCCATATTCAAACTAACAATTTAGTGATAGTTTCATAAATTTTTATTAGATTTGAAATTTGTAAACTTTTGTAAACTAAAGTTCGTTACTCAATGACAACTACCTTCACCTACAACGCGGCGCCTAAGACAGTTACGAATGCTCAGTTGTACAGAGATGAAGATCAGCCCAGAACGTTCTGGCATATCTCTGTTGATCCGCGTGTTGCGAGAGGCTCAGTCTATTCACATCATAAACCACAAACCGATCAAGTTAAACCAATTAAATACAAACCAAAACCAATTCCACCACCAAAAGAACGCGAAGAAGATGTTCATCCCGAGGAAGAAGAGGTTTCTCAAATAAATCAAGAACCAATTCTTTCTGAGATTGAAAGACCTATTGAAGATGATGTAGCTACAGCCGCAGAAACATACATCGAAAGACCAGCTACTCCTCAAGAAGTTAAAGACGAACCTGGAATAGATGTCGAAACTCAAACAAATGCAGCAGAACTTTTCGATTTTGATACTGAAGTTAAACCAAGAACAATCATTTTAGTACAAAATATCCTCGACAGAGCTCTTAGAGAAGTCCAAGAGGAAGAAGAACTTAAAAATCTTCGCCAGCATCGTGATAATTATGAAGTTGGCCGCAATATTACTCTTGCTAATCTTCAAAAGCGTGAAGCAGCAACAAAAAGAACCCACGACGAATCAAAGCGTCGCGAGGAACAAAGAGAACGGCATTACCAAGAAAAGAACGAAAAGAACAAAGATATTTCTACACGCGGATTTGCAGAATCATACGCAGAAGAAATTGTTAAGAAAGTCTTCGATTCTCTTACTTATTATGATGAAGTTGAAGAAGAAGTTAGAACACAATTCTTACCATGGCTCTCAAGCGAAGTTGCACTTGCTATTACTCAGAAGGATTTCCTATTAGAACTTCAGGAATCAGCTCAGTCAAAAGCTTCAGAAATCGTCAAGGAAAAACAAACTCAGACAAGGAAAGAAAGGATCCAAAAGAAACAGGAGGATGCAAAGATGTCATACTTCTTGTTGAGAGAAACTCTCATCGAAGATCGTGCAGCCGTTAATATCCGCAATGCACTCCAGAAGGCAGCAGAACGCGAGGCGGCTAAAAAGAAGGAAGAAGAACCAAAAGAAGATGAAGAACATGTTAGCGAATCCGAATCAAATTAATTACTTAATGTTTTTTTCTTAGATAAAGTAAACTCTCATCATTATTGTTGATCTTAATTATATGATTTAGTTATTTTATATAATTTTCTTTCATTTTTAGAAAAAAATCATTATTGATTGAAAACCATTACCATCTAAATCATATTAATTGTATCACATTGAAGATGGTATTCATTCTTCTATGATACATGCCTATAAAAATTTAAATATTGTTAATTTCTTTTCCAAGCTTCTTTTTCATAATAATGAGGGCATTTTCGTCATAATCGCTATTATGCAAAATTATTTATAAAAGGAAATAGGTATAGTTTTCACTAAATCTGACCAGACCAAAATCGACTTTTTGAGAAACTCATATAATTAATTGTATGATTGACATCAAAAAGTCGAAGGTAGATCAATCTTTTAGAACGCAACTAATTAATAGAAATTTGTTAGATTGAGTGATCCGAATGATATTTGGAAAAATTCATATCCAAATTTAAATCTCGAATACAGATTTAATGAGCCTCAATTCATCAATCAAGATGGAAATGTATTAGAGGGGGGCACAAACTTGCCCAGTGAGGCGAAGTGAAAAGTGACAAGTTTACATGTCAGAAATGTAAAGCGTCAGATTTGAAACAAAAAATGGATTAATTTATTATTATATGATAGAAAGATTTGGTAAGTTACTATCAAATTTGTAAGTAAGGGGGAAAAAAAGTAAGAAAGAAAAAAATTTTTAAAAAATAAAAAGCCACTCGCTTCGCTCGCGGTTGACAAAAAGAACAAATTCGAAAAATAATTGTATGAAATTACGAAACTAAGCCACTCGCTTCGCTCGCGGCTTAAGAAAAGAACAGATTCGAAAAAAGATTGTATGAAATTACGAAACTAAGCCACTCGCTTCGCTCGCGGCTGACGAAAAGAACAGATTCGAAAAAAGATTGTACGAAACTAAGCCGCGAGCGAAGCGAGCGGCTTAAGTAAACAACATATTTCAGATTATCGATACTAAAAATTTTTTTATTTTATTACATTTTTTTGCATTTTTTTAAGGGCGCACACAAGAGGATCATGTAAACTTCAGAATTTAGAACCTTATTTTTAGGCATTATCTTGGCTACCTATTTACATAATAATTGTTTGAAGCTCATATTCCAACAAATTTTTAAATAAAAACATTAAAATGTTGAAAATGTTCATATATTTTAATAGGGTTTTGGCACTTTATTGAGGAATTACTACATACATAGTCGAACTGAACTTGATATTTTGAAATTTAAATTATTTATCAAAATTAAAATTTAACTTGAAATTTATAATTATTTAGTCATATTTTGCATAATTCTAAGTAGATTTTGTAAAAAATCAAGAAAGAAAAATTTTAACGTGATTTATTTTTTCTTTTTTATAATAATACATATTATTATATAATTAACATATTCATAATGTTTCACCCTTTCAAAAATATAATCCTCCTCCTCTCAAATAAACGTACATACGGGTGGCCTCTTTTTTCAAAAAATTAAAATTTGAAATTTTGGGCTCAAATATTAGAGATTTTTTCAACCTTCAACGATATATGTTGTCTATATCAGACCTCCTTTCTTTTTGATACTTAACATTGTTCCTAAATCTTAGCCGTTAAGGCTGTTCTGAAAATATTTTTTTTTTCGAAAAAATTCGAAAAAAATTCTTAAAATTCAAAAATTCCTTAATTCCTGAGGATTTTGGAAAAAAGTTTTTACATGAACATGTGTATATTATATGAAGTATATTGATAAGGTAAAAATCAAATTTTATTGCATATTCATCGAGAAAATAAACTAACGAATCCCTCAAAATTGAGAGGGTAATCCTCCTCCTCTCAAATAAACGTACATACGGGTGCACCCTTAAGAAGCTAAATTCTGAAGTTTACATGATCCTCTCGTGTGCACCCTTAAAAAATGCAAAAAAATTGAATACTTTACTGGCTGGGCAAATTTGTCGCCGCCCCAATGTATTAGTTTATGAAAACAATTTTCAAAATTTTGTGTTTTTTGGGGCAATATCAGTTAGCAGTGCTAATTTATTAATTTGTGATTGCAAATTTTATAATTTTTTTGAAGTTCAAGATTATCATGCTATTAGGCAAGATAATGGCAGATGCGTTCAAGATAAAATATGTGCATATGATATAATTGGAGAAGAAAATGGCGTTTATTGTAGCATTACAGCTAAATCTGGCCAAAATTATTTCCTTGATTCTTCAATTTCCAATTGCAACGCCCTAGATGATTTCTCATTTTGCTTATTATATGGAGATATTCTAGTAAGCTATGTAAATGATACATTTAACTTTGGAGAAATGAACACAGCATACGGACTTTATTTCACAAGCACTGTCAGAGTAAATAATTCCAATTTTTATAATAATACTGCATATGAAGAAAGTCTTTTGTACCATTATCAGTCAACTTGCAAAATTTCTAAAATAAATTTGATTAAAAATATTCAAAATGGAAATTGGGGGTTAATTTCAGGAACAACGTCAGCAAACATTGATATATCTGACAGTTATATCCGAGATAATGCATGCAATTATATATTTTGTGCTGTTGATAGTAATTGTTATGTCAATGTTCACTACTCTAACACCCAAAATAACACAATGAAAAAGGGTGAGAAAAATAGTGCAAATGTTAGAATAGATAATGCAAATAGTATTTCGTCAGTAAAGTTCGGGAAAACAATTAAGTACTGCAACTTTAACATTAATCAAATTGTCTGCAATACCATTCGATATTCTTATTCAAACATATATCGGATATTGCTTTCGAATTTGTTCCTTGCAATTATAGTATGATTAAAAGAAGATTAATTTCCGCAAATGAGAATACTTTACAATTTTAAAAATAAAATATAAATAAGAATATACCAATATAGCACTCACATTTGGCATGCAAATTTAGAGATAACACATGAGTTTTAATAGACATTTTGACTTTTACATTTTTAAATAAAATGCAAAAGTGTAAAATGTATTAATCAATGTCAACTATTCGACTGAAAAGAAGATGTTGACGTGTGTTTCGTTTGAAATGGTTCTCTTTGAGATGTGATTCAAAGACATTTTCGAACAAGAATGTTGTAGAAATGATGTTACTCACTTCGTTGGTTGCATCAATAACATACATGTAAAGCGTGTGTCTTCCTGTCTTTGTTGGGACTGGGACTGAAACGATACTGCTTATCGATATCAGTCTTCCGTCATCATAATGGATATTTGCTGTGTAGTTCAGTGTCTCGTTCTTCCTGTTGTCGAGGTAACTGACAAACTTGACATTGCCTGGTCCATCACGATCTGATAACTTGGTGATGATCGAGATGGAAGTTGCTTTTCTGTATAAAATTGGACATGTTGTGATTTCTAAGACTGGAGCATTATAATCAAAGATGAATTGATATTTATATGCTTGTGACAACATTTCTTCGTTGTCTAATGCATAAAAGAATATTATGTGATTTCCATATATTCTGAGAGATAGATAAAAGTGACAGATTTTGTAGTATTGATAGAAATTCGTGAGTTTGAGTGATCCAGATAATATTTGGAAAAGCTCATATTCAAGTTTAAATCTCGAGTATCGATTTAATAAACCTCAATTTATCAATCAAGATGGAAATGTATTAGTTTACGATAATATTTTCCAAAGTTTTGTGTTTTTTGGGGCTGTATTAATTAGTAATGCAAATTTATTAATTTATGATAAGGATGTCAATTTGGAAGAAAAGTGAGAAAATTCCTAAAATGCTAAAAATGAATTTTCCAAACGTACTTTTTTATCTCATTTTTTTGATTTTGAAAAAAATTTGGAGAGAAGAACTCTTCGTTTTTGAATTTTATCACGATGGTTTTAAAGTATATTAGACACATGTATTGGTATTACTATTTTTGTATATTTTGAGAGAAAATCCCTAAAAAGTGAGAAAATCTAAGACGGTTTGAGAAAATATATAAACTATTGAAAATTTGAATTAAACTTCTAATTTGGAAAAAAGAAATTTGGAAAGAAGAAAATTCAAAAATCGAGATTTAGACTCAGTATCAAATGGAGAACAAAATGTTTCTTCATATGAAGGAAAAAATTTTCTTGAGAAGAAATAGAGTTTTTAAAATTTTATTGTATGTAATGAAATAAACAAATATTAAAATTATTTTTTGATAACAAGAAAATTCACAATAGAAAATATTTGAGAGAAAAAAATTGAAAAATATTACTCTCCTTTATATTTCATGAGATTTTCAATTTATTCTCATAAAATTGACAATTTTATACGTTTAGATGAAAATAATTGATTTTGCTTGAAATAAAAATTATTGTTTGTTTACAGCTATCAAATAGATTTTTGCTATTTTGATTAAAATTTGTTAATCAAATTAATAAATTTTTTCTAAATATCTTAAATATCTGGATCACTCACTGATACGATGAATTAAACGATAAAAATAATACAAACTCAACTAAGTTTCCTGTCTTTCAACCAAAAAATATTATGCAATTTAAATTAAATTGTTTATTCAAAGATAAAACAAAGATAAAGTAATTATAATTATCATATACTTTATGAATAACTCTCTAATTGGATAAGATTTTCGTAAAAATATTTTTATTAATATCGATAAGAATATGTTTACCTACTATCACCATATGTCGATAAACGAGAGTAGAGTGATTTTTATCATCGAAACTTTTTAAAAGCTGTAAGCAGGAAGTAATAATCTTGTTTTTTTCTGAGTTAGTTGTAGAACTATTGATGCCCGAGTTATCATTGTGATGCAGAAGGATATCAATGTACTGACTGAAGGATATGAATTGAATTGAATTTTATTGAATTTCAATTTGATCAAAATTTGTTGAAATGATATGAATGTGTCAACTTCTGTATCATTCTCCTTCACTCCTTCCTTATTCTTTCGAGAACGAAGCTAGCTCAGCTTTCGCTGAGCGAATTGACACTTTTGATGCCCTAAACGTACATGCTCTCGAATTTATCGAAAAAAATTATACCACTTAAACTAGTATATTCTTATTTTAAATATGATATTATCCTTATATTTCACACTAAAATTCATTTAAATCAACTTTTAAAAAAGTTCGAATCCTGCGCGTCTCACTTTTTAAATTTTCGAAAAGGAAAATTATATTCTCCTAAAATGAAAACAATTTTCCAAATTGACTTTGTAATAAACAGAAATTCATCAAAAGTGACAGCTCTCAATTTTTTGACATTTGTAAATTCTAAATTGAATGAGAAAAATGAAATAATACTAAGCATAATACAATATTCTAGATATAATTATAATTAGGAAAAAGTTAGTTTTGAGAGTACTTTTCATAGGAGAGGTAGGGCAACGATAGAAAATTTTTGGAAAAAAAGTTCGGAGATCTTAAACGTATCATATTCCCTGCATGGTTTGGTATCTTCCGCCATGCGTTGTGCCAAACATATTGACACTTTCCAATAATTAATTTATGGTATGAGTCACAGAGTTAGATTATAAAAAGAAAGTAAATAATTGCAATTAGAAATCATATATGTCGGAAATCAAATGTTGATGAGCAGAAACCTTTTACTCATCATAAAAGAGATAAATCACTAAAGATTTGTATACATTAAAATTTGATATTTGGTGCTCGAAAACTGTCTGATGGGACTCCTCCAAAATGAACCAATCTATCGCTGAGGACCAAATTAGATGATGTGGATGGTGTATTCTCTAATTCTAACTTAGGAAGAATGGGAACAAAACGAATGACGACAACAACATGTCAAACATAGATTAAATATCTATGAATCAATAAAGTATACGTGCATTGAAGGTGATAACGATCACTTGAGGCTTATAACTCTTTGACTAAATTATGCAATAATTAAATATAATCATTTTTATATTTTTATACTGATAGTAATTAATATACTATCCTGCTTAATAAATGGTATGATCAAATTTGTTTGAAAATTTAATTATGTATATGAAACTATGTCTTCTATATAAAAATCAAAATTTTCGGACGAACCTAGATTGAACCTTTATGAAAATCTATCATTTTTGTTAATTGAGTTAATATGAATCTTTTACATATGTATATATAGCATTGATAGCTTATATAATCATGGTTTATTCCATATTAACATATTTTTTCAGTTAAATTTGTTAATAATATCATGTAACAAATTAATTCAAGATTAGAATGTCTACAAAATGCTAACAAATAAGAACAAAATACGATTTCTCGACTTAAATTTTAATATGGAGTAGTTTTTCGTTTAAATCTAATTAAAAATGAATAAAAACTTATCTTGTACTATTTTCATTCAAAGATTTTAATAATGTAAATCATGCATTTTCATAATTCAGTACAGTTCTTTTTAGAATTAAAGTTGATGAGGATGATATTTGTGATTTAAAATAATTTGTTAATGTTCACCTTTTATTCATCACCTTGTGGTATGCCCTAAAGCAATAGCATTATCAATTCTGCTGAATTGATCAACTCAAAATTCCAAAAAAAATTCAAAATTTCAAAAATGAAATTAAACAATTTGAATTTTCACATGAAAAAATCAATTTCGAAAAAAATTTGGAAAATCAAAGTATTTGATAATTAGTCAAATAATCAATTTACATCGTTTTTACTCATAAAAAACAACTAATTTTTGATTTTGATATCATATTTGATAAATACTCATTCCAGAGTTGACGTAATGTATTAATTATTGTTAGAGATATTGCTTTCGCAGCAAAATTCTTATTTCATGAAAGAAAAAAAAAATGATTTTATTCCAACAAAAACAAGTAAACAGATGAATGGAAACGTACTATATTTTCATAAATGTAGTAATCAGCGTGTCAGCTTTTGTTTATCATGTTCGAGTCAAAATGTATTAACTTGTAATAAGAAATATTCGAAGATTATATGAAGTATTGAGCATTCTTTGTAGAAATATTTGTAATTCATTACTAACATATATAATAAAGTTGTTTTTTTTTCCTTATTGCAATAATTTTGTCTGATTTTAATAACTTTTCATGTATACGAGTTGTGTGAATATGCATCATAATATGCGTAAATATACTTATTTGCGACGAATAATGTGGTTGCATAATGGAGGTGCTAAATTTTGATTTTTAATATGGGGCTTTGGTATGTATAATCATGTTCTTATCTCAACGTAGGAGTATTGGTGCAATATGATTAAAATTTACGAGGTTGATCTTAAATTGAATAATTCTGGAGTATAAATCACAATGCAGCTAATTCTATGTTAAAGATAGATACAGATTGTAGTAATCAATTAGGGAGTACAAATTCATTCTTTCATTTCTGTCGTATTGAGCAGAAAGGAAGAGATCATAACCCTAGGAAAAAAAGCCCAAATTTGTCACTTTTCATAGTACGTTAAACTCAATTCGCTCGGCGAATGCCGAGCACACGTACTCATCATTCAACATAATATTCTCATTCTTTGGTTATTATAGTGCCAGACAACACAAGATTTCAAAGAATTACTTGAGTTTTCAATTAATCTTAATCCGATTTTAGATTTATCGAGAACTCCATCATCACAATCACATACTTCAGTGCGGTAACTACAATTATCCATATACAGAAGGAAGTTCTTTTCGAACAACTCATTTGGAGTCTGTTTTGGAAAGAACTTCTTTCTGTCCGACTTAATTTCATAGTTCCTGATCAACCAAAAGACAGAAACCACACACTATCTACTTAGGAAAGGAGTTCTTTCTAAATCTTCCTTAAATTGAGATTTTACGAGAGATAACCCTTCTATTGCACTTAAAAATGAACATTTTGATATCTTTAGTATCACACATGGTCATATATAGTATTTCATCTACATGAATACATTCATCTTTCGAAGTCTCTCATTAAATGGGAGGCTTCGAAAGATGAATCGTTTTATTCATACAACTTTAAATCTCGAACACATTTAGAGAGTGAGTATATCATTTTATTCTTGTTTTGAGTTTATTCTGATTCAAAATTGCAGTGAAAACAGAAGTTCACACATCATATCTGAATGTGAGCTCATCTATACTTATACGATCTCAATACCTCCACTCTAAGCATAAGAGGTGAAGTTATATAAAAATTATCAGATGCGTTGAAGTCTCAAAAGTATTGCCTGAATGCTTGTTTCATATTTGTCCAAGTAGTTTCAATGAATAAATGTATTGTTTTTTATAATTTCGATTTATTTTTAGAAAATATTCAATATAAACCTTTATTGTGTTATTTACATCTCATAAATTCTCTGTCTAAATCATATAAAAGCGCGTTTTACCCCTATGAATCAAGAAATTCATTCAATATTCATGGTATATTTATTAAATTTATACGATTTACTAATAATCAATATTATATCCTCATAAATAGCAATATATTTTGGTAATCTATGATAATCATATACAATATTTGAAATCAAATTTTCATTAGTTTAGGTTCCTTGTTAATAGTAAACCATTATATTTATTACTAATAATAAAATCTATGTGTCGTATTGAAATTCAATAAAATTACTTATTCGGTCCAAAAAAACAAATTAGATAAAATTTTTCTTTTTTATGTAATTTTTGTTTTTCATTTTTCTCAAGATCCTAAGTTATGTTCGAACTTTTGACATCATATCCTATCATGCTAGGCTATATATTATAGCATATCCAAAAGGCAAGGAAATCTATCAGAGAAGCCTTTTTGACCTATCGTTGCCCTACCTCTTTCATAGGCATATAGAATGAAATCTTCTGAAAAATAATATCACATAAACTCATAATATTTTCTAATATATAACTATTTTATATAAAAATCAAATTCAATGATCTTAAAAGCGAAGGATAAACCTCAAAATTTACGAATATAATGAGTGGGAATATAATGCTTATCTATCATAAAACCATATGAAATATCAATTTTTGCTTTACGCCTAATTTTTGACGACAATTAGCAAAAAATGTTAAATGTTAACACTCAGTCCATTTGAATATGAAAAATAAAATTGACTTTGATTAAATGTTTTTATTTATCATGCAATTCTTCTTGCGACCAAAGATTTGAATAAAAGTTCAAAAAATAAGATAGCTTAAAAAATAATATACGGTAGTGTTTACTAATAGATGAATAGTATATAAATTCTATTAAAATGGATTTGATCCAAAAAAATATATAAAATTTGATCATAAATAAAATCGTTTTAAATTACTTCTTCATTTAAATTATAACAATTATTTTTGATTTTTATTTATCATCCACATTCAAATTTGAATCTTATCACAAAAGAAGGACCACTTTTATGACTACTGCCAAATCTATAAGCAGAGAATGGCTATTTGAAGCTAAAAGAAGAATAGAAGAAGGTGAATCTTACAAAAGTGTGGGAAAGGAAGTTGAATTGGAAAATGGTAAAATTAAATTGAATGTTGCCGAAAATACAATAAGAAAAGCATTTCAACTTCAAGAAATCAAATTACCAAAAGTTAGTCGCGGCAGAAAACCAAATCCACCAACATTTGAGCAAAAACAATTAATTAATTCTTGTGTTTCACAATATAAAGGAGGAATTTCAAAAACTTATTTATTGATTAAAAGGTTTCAAAATATTGCTCAAAATCCCGATTGTGAGAAAGAAAAAGAAGAAATTGCAAAAGAATTTGAAAATATAGAAGATTTGACAAAAGATCAAATTTTTGACAATTTACAAAAAATAAAGCATCATCAAGTGGAAAAATTTATGATGGAATCAGGTTTATCTTCAAAAAGAGATTACAAACCAGCAGATCCAGTTAGTATGGCTTAGTTGGGTACTGTGGCACTGCGAGCCTCCTTACCCAATACTTGTGAATTTGACACTTTACAAAACCGTTAACGTATATTTTACAACACAAACGACAACACTAACCTAACCTTAAATATTTACAAAGCCGCCAACCACTTCACTAACGAACTCACTAATGAAAAAATAAACGTTCTCATAAATTTTCTTCTATATCTTCATCGTCAGTGTTAACCCTATTGTAGTCATACTTGAAGCCATAAACTTTCTCTAACTTCTTAACGTACAATTTACATAACTTACCTTCGTCATCGTATGGTTTAATGATATAACTATTTCTATCTTTATACACAGTCAATGAAAAGTCAACTGGTCTAGGATGAAGTGTAAAGAACATGTTATACTCAGGAAGGAAGAATAAATGTTTAAATGTATGTTTGTTATACTGTGGAATTCGAATGAGTTGCTTTTGTTCTGTCATTTACATCCAAATAAAAATTTTCAGTAAAAATAAAATAAACTTAAAAATTAATGATATCACCACCCTCACACGTATGAAAACATAGCACAAAAATAAATTTAGGTGAAGTGGTGAGATCTCACCTGTTTTTTCACCTCTTTTTTCACCCTGTTGAATTCATTGCTTTATAACTCTCTTCCTTTCTCCAACTCTTCTAACTTCTTCCTAAGTTTAGCAATGTTGTCCTCATGAAGTTTAATCTTTCTCAAAATTCCTTCTCTATCTAATGGTTGCTTTATCTTTCTAAACTGAACTCTACCATCCTTCATAGTATGAATGTAAAAACCTTCTGGAATAGTTCCTGATTTAATGTATTCTACCAAAAACTTTTGTTTCATTGCTTCAGTGACTTTATTTGTCATTTCAATCAAATAAAAATTTTAATATTAAATAAAAATAACGTTATTTTTTCAGTAAGGAAACGCAGGAGTTTTACGATTTATTTGAGGAGTAGGTTCTGGTTTAAATGTTGGAGTCGGTTTAGGAGTTGACTTTTGAACAGGAGTTTGTACTTCCATAGGTTCAGGAGTCATTGAAGGTTTTGCTTGTGAAGGTGTCGGAGTTTGTTTAATTTCAGCTACTTCAGTATTATTTACAACATTTGCTTTGTTTCTTTTCAACATCATAACTGCTCCTGCTGTAGCTAGCAAACCTAGTGGGAGACCATATTTTATATAAGGACTTGACCAAATGCTATTTTTGACAGGAGCTGGTGGAACACCTAACCTTGGTGAGACTGCTCTTTGCCATTGTGCAGCTCGTAAGAAATATTCAATAGGTGCTCCATAATCGTTTGGTAAAGTTTGTTTCATAGATGGTGAAGGTTCACGAGAGCTTGATGAAGAACTCATTTATAAGCTTTAAAAATAAACGTTCATCCTTTATTCCTCACTGCCGTCCGTAGCTAAGTTATAGTCATCTAATCTTATTATGGGGATGCCATAGCACGCACCTGAATGGCAAAGCAACAATCCCTCATAAATCCAATAAGTGGCTTTGGTACATTTTCAGTTGCTAGTTCAATAGGTCCTTTAACAGACAATTTGTATGTTATTGGAGCAGTAGATGTTTGACCTTGCTGGAAGCAAAAGTCCACTTCTGTTGGAAAACCACATAAGAAATGTGTGTTGTCATAGCTATCCCATTTATGTTCCACACTACCATCATCCACCAATGACCTCATAACATCTTCATTAAATCCTATCATATCATTGTTTGTATTGCAAGCGTTCGCAACCATTTCATAAAATACAGGTCCATATGATTTTTCAGGTTCTGCAGGCATATTTCCATAAGCTCCCATGGAAAGCTGAAGATATTTAAACTTAGGGTTCTCAAAATTAACATAATAGTTGTCTTTCTTTCTAAATAGTGCCCAAATACTTTTAACATTAATAGGCGTATAAGCTGCTGTAAATGTTGCACTTGAACTATCTGTATTCTTTGAGAATGAACCGTCCATAGGAATCCAATCCATAACTTTAACAGGAAAACATAAAGCCTCGTTTGTATAATGTTCTACAAGTTCTGTATAAATGTTAGGGTCTAAAGAGAATGACTTTGGATGAATGAAACATTCATTAAAATCCATCTTTGTTCGAAATAGTTGCTGGTTTACAGTTGTAATAGTAACTGTTCCACTAGCTTCTACTGCCTTCGTTATCATAGTGAATGGTTCATTCCATGGAACAAATTTATTTGTCGGTGGATTTGAATCTGAAGCAAATGCAACTTTAAGAGTTGGATTGAAAGCAATGATATCATTTACAGATATAGATGTGCATTGTAAGGCGTCGCTACTGAACTTTACTTTAAGCTGAATGTTTCCTGCAAAAGCTGGAATAAATCGAATAGCTTCTAATGGAAGGAATCTTCTAACAGGAATTCTTAAACGAAGCTTAAAATCAAATGATTTTCCTGCTGTAATTGGACCACTAACAATTTGTCCTGTTCTGCATGTTCCCGAATGACTCCATACATCTTCATGTCGAGTCTTTGAGAAAACATCTACTTTCTTTATTTGTTCGGTAGTTTGTGAGTTTGAAGTTATATATGCTTCTTCTCTTGCGTTGTCTTGAGAATATACGATACGACCATTTGCAAGGATTTGATATCCAGCAACTGCATAGAAAGCGTCATCGAAACCAATCCAAAATCCTGGTGGGTTTGTTTTATTGGAACCTGAACCAATTTCTTTATCTACAATAAATTGACCTTCCATTTTATACGTAATGAATGTATTGTAAAGGTCCAACATATTTTCACCAGGAGGTGAGAGATTGAATGTTACCCATGTGTTATCTTTAGCAGTTCCAGGTTGTGATGGAATCTTTGCGTCAGAATATTTTCTATTAGTGTCACCAATTTGAACTGCATTGTCTATGATATCGAAATATGAGCGAATCTGATGAATATGCTCTGCTGGAGTAAATTCGTTTAACTGTTCGTTCTGCATGTATTTACTTCGGATAAAAATATCTATTTACTTCATTATTCTCACTCTTCTTCTTGGCATTCGTGGTGGAAGTTGTTTCTTGACATTTTCAATGAACTGTACATTCTCTTTTGTCTCAACTTCTTTCACTGGCGGGTCAGGATTCTTTGACTCGGTTTGTTTTCAATGAAATTCACGAACTTTGCAATAAGCTCTTGGTTCGTTATTGAAAGTACATCTGGCTTCTTTTCTTCTGTTCTATTGACTTTTCAGTTTGAATAGAAGGTTAATGGGCTTCGTGGACTTCACCCTTGCCATACCTTAATGTTGTCGCTTTCTGCATTCGCTAATGGAACCTTTCTTTTTCTTACGTATATTTTACCATCTTTACTCTGACTTACGTAATAGAAAGGATGTTGTATTCCTCTTGCGTCATTTAATATAATAGACTCTCGCTCTGATTTTGACAAGCTCATTTTACATCGGTTAAAGTTTTAATTTTGTTTTTTATCTGCAGTCAAATGACTCAGACAAGTCCTACGGACAAGACCCAAGGGGTCATAGATGTTGAAGCATTGAAGAAAGAAATTCGTGAGCAAATTTTATCCGAACTGAAGGAACAAAAACAAGAACAAAAGCCAGAGAGACCAAAGAGAAAACTTAGTGAAAAACAACTTGCTGCATTAGCTGCTGGAAGACAAAAGAACCCAAGACTACTGGCGAAAAAGCTAGAGAAGAAGCTGAAGCAAAAGCTAAAGAAGCTGAAGCAAAGAAAGAGTAAATGGTTTATTTTTATCCGAATTAAATGTATAGACAAATACCTTTATCTGTTGCGTTCAGTAGTGAAAACCCTGACGTCAAAATAAAGGGGAACAGAGTAACGTTTAAGTTTCCAACAGACTGGATTGTGAACATAAATGAAGAGAAGTACATTGGCATAACAAATATGTATATAACACGTGCTTTCAGAAAGGTTGACTTTATACTTCAAGTCGAGATAGAAAATGACGAACAGTCTTTAAGCGCCCAAAACATTCACATATACAAATACTTTAAAGACGATACAACATTGCACAATGTATGATTTCATTTAATGAGATGTTCGAGAAAAAGTTTAACATTGAAGTACAAACTTTACAGCCTTTACGTGAGTTTCTTGCACAACTGAAAGAAGAAGGTAGTCAGCCACAACTTATAGACTTTCATTATGAATTTAATGAAAATGAAGATGGAACACATGACTGTCAGTTTGTTGTATTCTCACCATTCAATGAAGTCGCTAAAAAGAAAGAAAATCCATTACGTATAAGATTTCAAATCTCTGAACCAAGTGATGATTTCAAAAATGTTTTCAATTATGATGCAATGCTTCCGAGGAAAAATGAATTTTCAAAGATTGTAACACCTGGCATTTGGGATAGAAAGCAAGCTATATTATATTCAAACTTAAGTAAGGGAGTTGAAAATGAGTTCATTGGTCATACAAGAACTACACCACTGCCAAATCCTAAATACTATAAATTAACTGGCTTCAATCGTGAGTTTTGGATAGACATGTTCTCCACTCATGACCATAACTGCCCAGTGTTCTTACCTCCAGACCATAAGGACTGTCTCTACATTGAAGCACAACTCTTAAACTCTACCATCGCAGTATTGTAAATGACCACATGGGCTTCGCCCTTGCCGCTAGCGGCTTATTTTTACCACGAATGACCTCATTGCTGACAAAAATAAATGACCTCAGAACTTCAACTTACGAATAAAGCTTGTTTTAGTCGTTATTGAGAAGTTAAACTTCTCTTCAAAGCAAGGCTGACATGACTTACATAAGTCAAATCCAATCTCTTGACCGTCATAAAGTGCTTTGTAAAGTTTCATTAAACTGAACTCAGAGTCTTTGTCATATGTTCCAACAGGTATGTGAATGTTCTTATCTTCATTGTAATAGCATTGTATAGCTTCAGGAAACATTTCATTTGCTGTTAAAGCAAGGACGTCTTGTTTGACACCTTTGCAACGTGCATGGAATGCAACTTCATTTAAATCATTCGTGAGTAAGTCTATGTAAGTCTTCTTTCCACAAAATATTGACTTGTATGCTAAACTTTGTTTTCCAGGTGTTATTTCTGCGAAGTCAGAATGAAATTGACCAAGGTTCTTTCCTATAAGTTCGCGACCGTATCTCTTCTTAAACTCTGCTGCAAGCTTTGGTATGTCTTCATTGAAAATATGCATGCTATCACAGTCCTGGTAAAATATTTGAAGTCCCATATCTTCAGCAGTACAGAATACTTCATTCATTATTCTCTTCGACATTGACAGAATGTTAACACCAAGTGGACAGAAGTTAAAGTGTCTGCAAATACTTTTCGTTAGCTTGAAAATAGTTTTATCTGAACCATCCAAACCTTCGAACTTCACTATATGGTTGTAGTTTCTGATGGCATATCTTATAGCATCTTTGTCATTTACTATGGTTATTTTTGACTCAATAGGAGATAGAATAGTTTTGCCATAAATACTGTTCAGAATGAGCTTTATATTTTTTGCAAAGGATTTCCTTCTTTCTTATACTTTAACCTTAACTCAAACAACTTCTTTACTTCATCTCTTATTCTAATATCTCTGTTTCCATCGTAATAGTATCCTTGCAACACTTCACATTTGACACCTTGATATTTTATGAGGTCTTGTAATGTTATATGGTCAACATACATTAAACAGCAAGTGTTTGAACTTCTGGGAACGTTAAGTTCTGGATTTAGTTCAGGGTCACAAACTATTAAAGGAAAGTGTCTATGTATTCCAATCTCTGTTATCTTAATGAGAACAAAGAAGCCAGACATAAACTTTTCACCAATGGGTTCCTTTTGGTCGTCATCGAATAAATGTCTCATGAAATACTCTGTGCTTAACATTTCTTTCTTCATAACCTTTGGAATACCTTCTAAAGTATAAAGTCTTGCTATAGCTGATGGATATAATGAAACAGCGTCGAAGTCAGCAATGAGTTTCTTTTCGCTCTTTTGTTTCATGTTATCTGACAGCATACATCTTCCACCTTGAATACAGCGTGAAATAAATTCTCTTGGTTTATTTGAGAGGTCATATAAATTTCCATTCGGGAAGTACACTCTGTTCTCAAACAATTTGTTAGCAATAGAACAAATACTAACGTAGTCATATACGTTTAAATCAAACTCTTTCAATATGTCATTGCGGAACTTAACAAAACCTTCTCTTAAAATTCTTACATCTTGTTTGCAATAGAATGTGCTATATTTTTCTAAGTCGAAGTGGTTCTCATCTATTCTGCAGTTTTCGATTAAATCTATGTTTTTCATGAATGTATCCGCATCCTGGATAAACTTACATGCTTCAGAAATGACACCAATTCTGTTGTCATTTGCTAACAAAACACTGCTGTAGTAGTTGTATGGAAATACTTCTTTCGGTCCTGTTTGTAAGTTAAACATAGCAGGAAATAGTTTAAGCTTCTTATTTATAACACTGTAAGAGTCTTTTATAATAATTGCCCTTCCTTTATATAAGCCAGTTATTTGCATTGTTCGTGAACCTTTAATGATGGGAGTTCCTTTCACTTCTGTCATGTGTCTTAAGATGAAGTTTATATCATAACTGAGGTTATGGAAATATATTAAACTCTTGTCAGGAAGTCGCTCCAAAAATTCTGTTGCACAGTTCTGACCCCAAATGCTTTCACTCACTGAACCATCTTCACTGTCATAACAGATGTTAAAAGCTTTATGAAAGCCGTCTGTGCTACACTCAAAGTCAGCAAAGAAAACGTGCTCAGGAATGAACTTGCACTTATTTTTATTTACTTCTTTTGACTCGACTTTCTTCTTCAGTTGTACACAATACTTTGGAGCATATGTCAAATCTTTAAATGGTGCAAGGTTCTGTTTATATAAGTCAGTCGTATATGTGAAAAGTTCTCCATAAGAATAGGTTCGAAATATTTGCACTCCCACAATGTTTCATAACATCCCATAACGGTGTTGTTCTATCATAACGAACTACATATTTGTTCTCTCTCTTTGTATAAATCTTCATCTGTTCTCAATGTTCATTCCACCACACTCCTTCAAGATTTCTATATAGTTGCGAATGAAATATGTTGTCATTGGTAATCTTTCATTTAGCGTGTAGTGGTCTTCAACAAGAAGTAAGTCAATAGTTCTAACAGTTTCACATATCTTTGGTATGTATCTCTTTATTTCATTATGTCTTGAGTCATTGAAGTAACCAATGGTAACATTAAATGTTATACCTGTTGCGTCAGAAATTTCTTGTACTTTACTTTGAGGAAAGTCTCTAACACGAATGACTTCTCTCATGTGGTCAATAGTTTCTTCATTTACTCCAGCCTGAATGCAAGCATAAACGAAGCAGTTATCTTCTGTCATAAGTGTTGCAGTTCTTTTGTTCAGTTCATTGAAGATTTGGTAGCGTTCAAGATTTATAGGTCAGTGTGCTTTCATCTCTATATGGTCTCTTTTTTGGTTTGCCTTTCTTTACATCTGACATCGTTAAGCCTTCATATTCTGTTAAATCATACATCTTTATTTCAGTAAGATTCTTTATGTTTGTCAAGAAGAAGTCATAGTGCATTTCAACAATACCTGCAGCATTTGCTTCTATCTCTGATATAAAGTTCTCCTTCAAGAGCTGATGTAGTAATGTTCCAATATTATTGAGGTTTAACGTAGAACATTCATACTTTCCACCAAGTTTATAACATACCATCCATCTCTGTTGTGAGTTTATTTTAATTTTCTTTAAGAGTCTCATGAAAACCTTACCGAAATGTTTGTGTAAGTAGTCTCTGTTTGGTTCATCTAAAGCTTCGATGTTAAAGTCAATGAGTCTATTGCCTGACTTCACATTTCTCTTCCTATTCTCTTCATCTTTCTTTAACCATCTCTCACCTTCTTTTGGTTTGTCGTCAATGGAACGAATGACATCGTTAGCTTTGCGAACTTGTTCTATAGCACTTTTAAACATCTCTCTTCTCTGTTGTTTCAGTGTGTCGTCTCTTCTTCTTGTTTCACCAACGTTTGCATTTGTTATGTCAAACATTTCTCTTCTTACTTCATGAGGTACCGAACGTCTATGATATAAGTCAATAGCAACGTCATTTAAAGGAAATGCTCTTGCATGGACTTCGTCCTCGCCGCGTTGCGGCTTTATGAACTCATGAATTCTATCATAACTTATTGCACCATTATAGTCATTGAGGATGTCAGCGAGTGCTTTTTTGTTTGTTGCGTAATGCTTTGCAACATCTATATTAGCTTCTGTAAGAAGTTGTTTTATTCCGAGTGTTCTAACTTAGACAACTTCCGATACATCTTTAGTAGGAAATAAAAAAATATTTTTTGAAAAAAATTAGATTAGATTTTTTTTAAGTTATTTTTCAAAATAATTTAATATTTTTATTTTAATGAAACACATGCAAGATTGCAAGTTCTTTTCATACAATGCTCTCGCTACTGCCATCAAGAATGAGTTCAATAATGCTTCAAATGTTAATGTTATCTTTAACAAGAAGTTTGTGAAAGAATCTAAGTTTGGTCAGTATGTCAGACCATTAGCTATCGTCATTGACCGCAAACGTTATACTTCACAAGAGTTAGCAGTAGTTTTGAAACAAAAGAGTTTCTTCGTGAATGTCAAAGATACTCATTATACTGTCATAAAGAACTCTAACATTGACTTCTTCAGTATTGCTATGAATCTTTCCGAACAGAAAGAATATAAGAAAGGTGAAACATCTGTGAAATATTATCCTTCATCTCTGAAGACAATAACGAACAAAGATGTTATACAGAAATTCTTACCAAAGGTTGAAGAAGCTTCTATTGACATTGACGAAGGAAGTGAAATGGTTGAAGAAATAGACCCTGAAGCTATTTAAGCAAAAATATATTTTGGTTAGTCTTCATATGGAATTTTACAACAATTCCCCAATGTATAAACTTTTCATACGCTTTTTCATAAGCTTTATATACCTTCAGAAATTTTGCATAATCTTTAGAAGCATTTAGATATTGTTTAAATGCTTTGTATGTCTTCAGAAATTTTGCATAATCTTTTACATTTTGTTCGTTCTCTTCTTCTGTCATGAGTTCCGAATATTCTAAATTCATGTTCTTTCATATGAGATAAAATTTTATAAAAAAAATAAAATTAGCTTAGATTTTTTTATTCTTCCTCTTTGAAGTTATTGAAATATTCTGTTATTTTTTCCTTCAGTAATGGTAAGTCTTCTTTGAATGTAAGTATTGTACAACCTTTGATGTCATAGTGTGTTTGAGGTAACGTATCTTGAACTATTTGTTTCACATCTTTATTTGGGGTCATTGAAATCGGTAAGTTTTCGCGATAGAACCAATTTCTGTCAGATTTATATATTTTAGCTAAGTCATAAAAGCTCTTGTTGTTTCTTCTGACTAAATGCAACATAACCATATCTTTATCTTCTTCATTTTCCATCTCTTCAGTGTAAATCATATACTTATAACTCTTTTCCTTTCCTTTTGGTACTGAACGCGGTATTCTTTTCTGTATGCTTTTGTCTTTTGCTTCAATGACTTCATCTTTTGCATGAAGTTTCTTTTCCATCTCTTCGCGTTCTGCTTTATATAGTTCATCTAACATCATGAAAATATAACAAGCATAACGAGGTGAAGCCCACATTGCTACAGCATTTACTAAAAGTCTATGAACATAATAACCTTTCAAACCAGGAGCCAAATTCTTGCGATTTTCGTACGGAATCTCTTCTCTCGGTTTTCCGAGGGAAGCAATCATATGAGGAAATTCTTCTAAAAGTTCTTTTGTCTGTTGGTTTTCAAACCAATGATATGCTTGCTTTGTAGAACGAAGAGCATTCATTATACTTTGCATTTGGTACATATCGTCTTTGACTGAACGAATGAGACGTAACTGTTTGTTATACTGTATGTACTCGTATTCTTCATTTATAGCTTCATGGACTATAACTGTTGTTGTGTTCTCTGATGTTGACATTACTGTCTTTACATACAAAATAAAAAAATAAATAAAAATAAAACTAACTTTATTTTCTGTCTTTCACAAAAGACCAAAAATAAACTCTTTACATGTATTTTTCAGCAACTTCGTCAAATAATTTTATAGCTTTATCTATCTCATCTACTTCAAACGTTTCTTTACCTTTCGTGGGAGCACCATACATTTTCTCAAAAACTTCAAGTAGTTCTGTTTCTGCAGCTCTCATATCATTAACGAACACAACCTTGACTCTATTG